CCTTTTAAGCATAAATAGTTTTTAATTATGCGGACTATATGCTTCAGAATTGGACCCTCGAGCTTAGCCAGGCTTAGTATGCATTTTCTTTAAACGAAATCCAGATCATGGAAATGTTATTACCAAGTGTGAATTGCATTCAAAAAAAAAAAGTGTGAATTTATCGAGCTTGGTCTCAACGGGAGCAATTATTCAGAAGTCCACATGTGATGAGGCCTTGAAAGTTAAAAGCCCAATTTTTTTTTCTCTCGCCACCATTTGATCAATGACTTGAAAAATGAATATCTTTCTAAAAAGGACCCTTATGCCTTATAGAAGTCCTCGAAAGATAAATTTGACTAGTACATATTCAATGGTCCTTTCTAAAATCGCAATTAGACTGCCTTACCTCGATCTTTCAAAATTTTAAATCAAATGCCTGATTCTAAATCAACTATACGCAAACCTGCGTCCCATCTAACATTTAAGTCTCTGGCATGAATTTGCTTGCTGAGACCTTGTCTTCTTTTCCACACCACCCTCCTCTTAGGTATATAAGGATGGATAACTTTGGTGTTAGCTGAATCTCTACTAAACCAAAGCTCTCAGATATAATAGAGGTTTGTTCGGAAGGCAAGTTAAGCATTTTTGGAGGAAATAATTTTTTGGGGACCTTCAAAAATTGAATAACCAATATCCTGATCAACTACATATCACATACGCTAGTACATGATGCATTTCCCAATCTGCGTTCAATTTTTTTTAGTATGCAACCCTTCTCGCTATATCCTATTATGAGAAATCAACCGTGATGTTGGTTGCATTATAAGATTTTTTCTCGGCATTAGGGGGAGATTTGAAATTTATAATTAATTAAATGCCGGGAAATTGATAAAAATCTTCAAACCCATGTACTAGCCTTAGAGAACCAGAAGTTCGGTCATGGAACAAATTATCTGCTAGAAATCTCAATGAGTGACTAAGTCCATAGAAAATATTTTAAGAGTTGAAATCCCCAACTAGGACTAAAAATCTCTACCATTATGCCAGAAGCATATATTGATTTAAGAATTTACAAAACTAGATCTAGTATAGAAATTTCGTCACTCCAGAAATATAGAAATTTTATCCTGAAGATATTCGTCTAGAAGGCGAAAACCCCCAGTAAAATTGTAGGTGCACCAAATAACTAAAATACTGGGAAGCGGAACAACCAAATCCAAATACTTTTGGGAAATGTCATATATTTGGTTGATACAAAATTGCCATGTGTATAAAAGATATTTACAAAGCTGTTACAGTTGTCGACAACATATTTTGCCTCTATTGCTCATAAAATCTGGATCCAGAAATGAAAATAGTAGTATAACGCATGCAGCGTGCTAACTGTTTTCATAGAAAATAGCAATTAAGGCATACAAATCAGAATTCGCTAATAAATTAAGGCGAGTGGAGGGTTTTCGCAGAGACCCAATATTAGTCATGGCTTTATATTCCGCTATTCAATAAAACTAGCAGTAAATAAATTAGATATGTAGCTAATAGTTATAGTTATCACATATTTATATGGGTAACTTGTTATATGAATTTTGTCAAAATGTGATGAATGAAAATCACAAAATAAGAAATATAAAAGTTAGTAAGTTACTAACTATGATCTTTGTTATAATCAATATAAATTGACTAAAGGTATTTTCTCCCCCAGAACAAAGTATGAAAATACATTATCATCAACATGCCTAGTAATGTTATATGTGATTAGGAAACTCAAATATCGTTTCCTCTTGGAAATATCCTAAATATATCATCTAGTTTATCTTGAAAATCCCTAATGGATTTATAATTCCCGAAATGAGGATTTATTTAAATGTCATTATTTACTTTTTAGAGAGTTGCGAATGGGGTTATTATCCTCATATAGAAGGAATAATATGTACCATTATGTGCTCAATAAAGAGTTGATAATGGACTTATTTATTATCTCACTCAATATTTATGGTGTAAACATCAATGAAATATATAAAGAGTTTGATGATGTTAAGTTATGAGATAAGATAACGAATAGCAAAATCAAGGTAAAAATACTCGTATTGATGCTTTTTGGCATGATGTCACCATACTTGTTACAGATAAAAATGTATATAGTTTTTCATGATATAACATACCTTGATCCACATGAACTCCAGAAGAGTGATAAAATATTTGTATAGAAGGTTTGCTCCAGTGACAAGTTAACAAATGTATACCTACAAAATATCCATAAGATTGATATGTGTAGGTAAAGAAAAATTATTATATTTAGGGGGAGCAACAAAATATAAACTACCAATAATTTTATTCGTCCAGATGATCATGAGAAAATATGATAAATTCTAATGACAATCCTGAAAATTGTACCATATCCCTTCTCTACACCCTTTAGAAACAATGATTTTACAGGCAATGTAGAATTTGAAGATTGTTATCTTCAGGGGGAGACAGGAAGTACATTCACTCGAGTCAATCCCGTAGATTGGGTTTTAAAATGACTAATAGTTATACCTTTTGCAGCATATACATACCATGTGGTTTTTTTTTTTTTTTTTTTTTTTTTTAATGAGGTATGAGTATGATATATTAATGGGGAAGTTGTATATAAATACTTAAGTAAACAAACCCCAAATATCTCGAAGATTATGCCTTGAAGGCTTATAATTGTGCTCATTTTCCCTTAACTAAGTTTTTCCCACGAGGTTTTCTTAAGTTAAGGTTTTTAACGAGGCAATCAGTACAATATATGAGTTTACAAATATCATGTACTCTTTTCTTCAAACTAGGTTTTTCCCATGTGGTTTTCCTAGTGAAGTTTTTAACGAGGCATGAATATATTTAAATATACTATACCTTGTACTCTTTTCTTGTATAGGTTTTTCCCATAGGGTTTTCCTAGCAAATTTTTAACGAGGCAAGATCATGGACAAATAATGTCCAAGGGGGAGTGTTGTAATTATATATTAATGGTGGCCATTATTTTGTAATGTTTGTAACAGACATATTAATGTCTCATTATGTATGCCATTATTACTCTATATTATATGTGTGTAATCCTTTTGTAAGATGAAGCCATGGAAATGAAATTATATCACTCCCTTCTCCTTCTCTATTACTTTTCTTTCTACTACCTTTGATCAATGAGTTATTCTTTGAGCAATGAGCTAATGGCTTACAACAATATCTAAATAATCAAAATTTCAATCAGTTTGTATATACTCAAAAATATAACTTTATACACACAAATAATACACATTATACATATAAATAATGAACGTTGTATTCATACTATTTGTACATATTTAAATAATAAACATTACGTATAAAAATAATGTACTTTATACATAGAAAATAATGTATCATATGCATAGAAATAACTCCGGACACACTTCCTGTGTCGCCGCCTCTAGTGGAGGAGCTTCCGCCGCTCCCAGAAGTTGTTCCGGATGTGGTTCCACCGCCGATGGCCTGGCCATAAATGACTTTCCTCTCGGGCCTGTTCATCAGTCGATAGCAGAAGAGATTGTAGAGCCTCCAATAATAGCATAATAGCTACGCACCATATATAGCTTCTTGGCTTGCCGGCCCGGTTCGTTTCAAATGTTTAGTATTTTCCCTTTGTTTTACTAGGCACCATACTTGGGAATTTTTTGTACTTTTCAAATCTTGTAGTTACATACCAAGTATGGGAGTTTTTTGTACTTTTAGTCACACGACTATAGTGGCACTGGCAGAATTGATCCACGACTTTTGAACCTTGCAATTTTAGTCCACGACTACTGATTTTTTTGTAAAAATGGTCCTTTTGGCCACTTTTCCGTCAAAATTTCACCGGAAAAAAAAATTCTCTATTTTTAGCAAGGTTAAAAGTGACATTTTACTTATCTCAAAAAATTAAAAGAAAAAATTGATATTTGACTACATACAATATTACTGGGCTACATACTACTGCCCCAGGCGGCGAAGTACATGTACCACTCCAATGCTGCTGCTGGATAACCCAACTAGCCCGGGGAACGCCACGGCTGCTCCGCCGCTTACTGACAGCCCTGCCTGCTCCAGGAACTCTGCCGCCTGGGACAGTAGTATGTAGCCCAGTAATATTGTATGTAGTCAAATATCAATTTTTTTCTTTTAATTTTTTGAGATAAGTAAAATGTTAATTTTAACCTGGCTAAAAATAGAGATTTTTTTTTTCCGATGAAATTTTGACGGAAAAGTGGCCGGAAGGAACATTTTTGCAAAAAAATCAATAGTCGTGGACTAAAATTGCAAGGTTCAAAAGTTGTGGATCAATTCTGTCAGTGTCACTATAGTCATGTGACTAAAAGTGCAAAAAACTCTCATACTTGGTATGTAACTACAAGATTTGAAGTTCAACTCTGGTGAGAGTTATCTATTGATCTTTTTTATTTGAATTTGTCCCTCATTGGCGACATGCATATAGAGTCATTGCCTCATTGGCGACATGCATATATATAGAGTGGTGGTAAAAGAACTTCAGGAAAACTAGTACTCCAATATATGATTTCTTAAGGACAACCTCATCCAAATTAGTTAATTAGGTTGTTGACTTGGTAACAACAATGTAACAAGTTTGTTGTTAGGGTCATTACCATAAGATTAAATTTATTTAGTGTACATTCTTGAATAGTGACTGCTAATTGTTGTTAGAATAAAGAAAACTTGACAAAACATGCATGTATTGAATTGGTTGATTTCAAGGGAGGATAGGAGAGAAAACAAGGATGTTGTTAAGACAATATTATAGTAACAATGATAGGGAAAACCATTGACGACTATATATTCACTAGCAAGCTAATTAAGGTTTCTGGTTTCCTAATTCTTGAGTTAATAATAATAACACGAGTTAGATGAGACTCCGACAGACAACACAGACATAATCTTCCTAGCTGCCAACTTCCAAGATTTGGATTACATACCATTGTCGTCGTCTTCATCTATAAAACCCATTCACTCAATCATAAACCATCAGATCACTATTACTCCTCAGACTCAGAGAGCACTGACAGTGACAACCCGGATAAATTTAAAGCTAGAAAAAAATGGCACACCACAAACGCACACTGTCAGTTTCTCTGCCGGTTCTGATGATGATCGTAATGACGGCGTCGGTGGAAGCTCGTAATCTCCTCGAAGCCGACGACCTTCCGGATAATGAGCCTGATCTTTCAGAGCCCCAACAACCCGTAGAATTGCCCCATTTTCCTTCTCTTCCTCAGCCGACGTTTCCGTCACTGCCGCAGCCGCAGCTGCCGTCTTTACCGCAGCCGGAGCTGCCTTCTCTGCCCATTCCGCAGCTGCCGGAGTTGCCTTCGCTGCCCATTCCACAGCTGCCGGAGTTGCCTTCGCTGCCCATTCCGCAGCTGCCGTCGTTGCCTTCGCTGCCTATTCCACAGCTGCCGTCGTTTCCTTCCATTCCTATATTTCCAAATCCATCATCACTTGCAGCATCCAAAGCATCTCGGAAGCCATAAATAAGGACCGATTTCCACCTTGGCTAGCTTCTATCTTGCTGCCCGGATTGTGTCTAATCTTTAATATTCTCTTGCTTTTACTTTTAATTAAAGATCTTTATCTGTGCGGCCATGTATGAATACACTATTGCATGCTTCTTTTAATTACAAACTGCTTAATTTACTTTGTATGCATATGATATATAATATCCAAATAACTATGAGTTAGTTCGACCACTTTAAAAATACCAACATATATGCCTGCAAGTTTGTCACAACAGTAATAATAATCAAACTCGTGACCTTTTAGAGATCGAAAAATATTATTCCAGTCACTCAAATATTATATTCTTGAATAAGTTGGAAAATATTTTTTTAAATAATAAGAAAAATTCAAAGGCCCTGCAAATATTGTCTTAACATTTTATGACCCTAATCAATGAAAAATCATTAATTAATTAACTTAAGTTGTCCACAACTGGTCAACTAATAGCATGACCAAATGTATTAGGTGTGATGGAGAAGCTAAGGAGTTGGAAAAGTTTTTGTCCAAAGAAAATAATGTAGTTGAACTGGATGGTACGTTTTTCAAAGCTCAAAGAAGACCTGGGCTATTTAAGATTAGTGTTGTTGAGAAGTTGAACTAACACATGCATTTTTCTTCCTACTAACTTCTTTTCTTCTTCTTGTTCTCCACATCCCACTTCTATATAAACTTGGGCAGATACAATCCCAGGACATAACAAAAACAATCCAATACAAGCTGAAATAGAAACAGAATATCTATCTATCTTCTTGAAAAAGTACGTCTTCATCACCAATAATGGCTCATCATCCCAACCCATCCTTTCTCTTGCTTTTCTTGATCACTCTGTCAGCGGTGGTGATCGGCAGCATTCAAACCGAGGCCAGACACCTTCTGGAGACAACCTCGCCGGAGCTTCCTAAGCCTGAAATCCCAACATTACCAAAGCCTGAGGTCCCAGAAATTCCAAAGCCTAAGCTCCCTGAAATTCCCAAACCTGAGCTGCCACACTTCCCAAAACCTCAGGTGCCGGAAATTCCAAAGCCCAAGCTGCCTGAAATCCCCAAACCTGAACTGCCACACTTCCCAAAACCTCAAATGCCGGAAATTCCAAAGCCCAAGATGCCTGAAATCTCCAAGCCTCAAGTACCAGAGGTTCCAAAGCCTCAGGTCCCGGAAATTCCAAAGCCCAAGATACCTGAAATCTCCAAACCTCAAGTACTCGAGATTCCAAAGTCTCATGTGCCGGAAATTCCACAGTCCAAGATGCCTGAAATCCCCAAACCTCAAGTACCAGAGGTTCCAAAGCCACAGGTGCCGGAAATTCCAAAGCCCAAGATGCCTGAAATCCCCAAACCTAAAGTACCAGAGATTCCAAAGCCTCAGGTGCCTGAGATTCCAAAACCAGAGCTACCCACACTCCCAAAGCCTCAGGTGCCGGAGATCCCAAAACCTGAGCAGCCTGCATTTCCCAAGCCAGAGCTCCCAAAGAACCCATGATTTCTTAAACGCTTGCTTATCATGCGTTCTCCAGATTTCTCAGAATATTTACAGTTGATGATATACTATACATTCATCTTATACTATTTTACATTTCATTTATATTCACATATTGAACCAATTGTTGCGTGCTGTTCTTCTCTCAGAGTCGCAGTTGTACTCGTGTATGTCAGTAGTGAATAATATTTACGTGCATGCATATCATGCATGGACATTTGTATGTAAAAAAGTACGTGTTGTGTTTCATTATTAACATTAATCTGTTGCTATTAAAATATATCTATGTAATGGCTAGCTAGCCATTCATGAAAACCAAACATACTAGCTATATATTTGCCCAGGAAAATGATATATAGAATCTTAATTTGTTAGTAAAATGACACATTGCCAAAGTGAAATTCTAAAACGCTCCGCATAGATCGCATTCTTAATTTCACAAAAAAAAAACATATATTTATCTTGGTCCACGATCCACTTTTTTAGGTTCTTGATTTGGTCAAACATACTTAATTACTTTATTAAAAATTTGAATTAATAATTGTTGATTTTTTTGAAGTGTATAAATATAACTTTTATGAATTTTAATTGTATTACAAATTATTACCATGGTTAAATTGTACATTATTTTTATATTTATACTTTAGAAATTAAAAACTTATAATTTTGAAAGTTACAACTAATATAACATAGAAAAATAGTTTTGAATTATAAATAGTTAAAATGTGAAAATAACACTTTTTATCTTTATGTGAATGTGAATTATACGGTTATAGTGTTTTTGCTTCTTGAATCATTCATGTATTCATATTAGCCTCATCAATTATTTTAAAAGTGTTGATCCTACCCCAACCCCTTTTCTATTGAATGGATATTTTTATCCTTAAAATAAGGGCAAAATAAGTATTTTATTTATTTTTTTCTCCAACAAATTATTACTTATTATATGTGGAATTAGAATATATGTGAAAAAGAATAGACACCATATACAAATATTATAATTATAATTTAAAAGTAATGCTAGTAACATAATTAAGATTTGAATATAAATAATTCATTAATGTTAATTTATCATTAATAAATTGTTTCTGTTTAATCAAGTCTTTACTAATATTAGCTTAACATTTAATTATAATTTTATATGCTCTTTTTTGCATGTATTATAATTCACACATATAAACAATAATTTGTTAAAGAAGAAAAATAAATAAAATAAGAATCGTCGCTTTTAAAATAATTGAGGGGCTAATATAAACACACAAAGAATTAAAGTTAAAAAAATACTATAAATATATAATTCTGTATTAAAAAAAAAAGTGTTATTTTTCCTAGCTAAACAATAAAAATAATTTAAGCTTCCCATATATGAGATCTTGCAGAGTTGGCCCATGGCCCAGGTGGGCAGGTGTGACAAATTATTCTGTGGACCTGGTCCACTCTGTCAAAGAAGCCAGAGCTCCCAAAGAAGCCATGATTTCTTAAACGCTTAGCTTGCTTATCATGCGTTTAGAATCTTAGATTCTCCAGAATATAATGCTCAGATTATTTACAGTTCATGATATACTATACATTCATCTTATAGTATTTTACATTTCATTTCATGTATACACTCCCATATTGAACCAATGGGAGCATGCTGTTCTCTCAGACTCGCAGTTATACTCATCGTGTATGTCAGTAATAAATAATTGGTCCATGACCCACATTTTTAAGTTCTTGATTTGGTCAAACTTAATATATTAAAATTTTGAATTAATAATTGTTAAATATTTTTAAATTTATAAATTGTAATATATACTTCTATAATTTTAAATTTTATTGCAAATTTCTAAAATTATTAAATTGTACATTATTTTTATATTTATAAGATTAATATTTTTTTGAAAACCAAACACTCGCTAAACTATTACTAGACTCGTGAGGATTACTCTCCAGGTACATATAACCACGCTGATAGCCAATTGCATTTAGTAAGAATATGAGCAAATTAGTTTGCTGATCGTGAAATATTTATACTTATTAATATTTATGCTTTAGAAACTAAAACCACAAACCGATCAAGCTAGGTTGCTAGAGAGTAGAGAGCGGCAGATAATTAATTATTCAACCCATTTTTCTTTCTCTCTTAGGGTCCGTTTGGAAACCAGGAAAATGACTTCTGGAAAATGAGTCATTTTCCGGAAAACATTTTCCTTTCCTGTGTTTGGTTGCATTCTGGAAAACTGTTTTTGTGTGTTTGGTTCATTTTCTGGAAAATGAGTAGAATTGTATAATTAAACATTTTAATTATTTTATTTAGAATATTACAACATGTATAATAATATATAATAATATAATATTAATTTTAAATATAATAAAAAATAGCTAAGTTTTTTAACAAAAAAAAAAAAAACTAATAATATATCAAAAATATTATGGTGGTGGTGGTGGTGTAGTGGTAGTGGTGTTATTCGTTATATAATAATAATAATAATAATAATAATAATAATAATAATAATAATAATAATAATAATAATAATAATTGGTGGTGGTGTGATGGTGGTGGTAGTATGACGATGGTGTGGTGGTGGTGGTGGTGGCGGCGACGGTGGTATGGTGGTGGCGGCGGCGGCGGTGGTATGGTGGTAGTGGTGGCGGCGACGGTGGTTGCGGTGGTATGGTGGTGGTAGTGGTGGTGGTGGTTGCGGTGGTATGGTGGTGGTGGTGGCGGTGGCGGCGGTGGTGTGGTGGTGGTGGCGGTGGTATGGTGGTGGTGGCGGTGGTGTGGTAGTGGTGGCGGTGGTATGGTGGTGGTGGCGGCGGCGGTGGTATGACGGTAGTGGTGGCGGCGACGGTGGTTGCGGTGGTATGGTGGTGGTGGCGGCGGCGGTGGTTGCGGTGGTATGGTAGTGGTGGTGGCGGTGGTGGCGGTGGCGGTGGCGGTGGTGTGGTGGTGGCGGCGGTGGTATGGTGGTGGTGGCGGCGGCGGTGGGTGCGATGGTATGGTGGTGGTGGGGGCGGTGGTATGGTGGTGATGGCGGCGACGGTGGTTGCGGTGGTATGGTGGTAGTGGTGGCGACGGTGGTTGCGGTGGTATGGTGGTAGTGGCGGCGACGGTAGTGGTGGCGACGGTGGTTGCGGTGGTATGGTGGTAGTGGTGGCGGCGGCGGTGGTGTGATGGTGGTGGTGTGACAACGGTGGTATGGTGGTGGTGGTGGCGGTGGTATGGTGGAGATGGCGGCGACGGTGGTATGTTGGTAGTGGTGGTGGTGGTGGTATGGTGTTGATGATGTTGGTGTAAAAGTTGGAAAATGACTTCCCCCAAAAAAAAGGGGAAGTCATTTTCCATAAAATTGCCTTCCTTTTCCATTGACTTCCACCCCATTTTCCTTTGACCAGTCATTTTCCAATGTAACCAAACACCAAAACCCCGGAAAATGACTTCCAGAAGTCATTTTCCGGGTTTCCAAACACACCCTTAATTGAAAATGCCGTAATGGCTGCGGGCTGTTTTTTTTTTTTTTTTTTTTTTTTTCTTCTCTACCACAACAAGTATACTTACCTCTACCTTTATGCAATTAATTCAAATTCAGTTCTGATCATGCAATGTCTTAGGACCATGTAAACTATTATGTATAATTAGATATTCATGATGTATAAATTAGACTTAACTCAGATTTTAAGCTCAAAACGCCTAGTGCGGAGCGCAAATCCAAGGTAAAGCATGCTGACCTTAGAGTTGGCCGCATTAAGAGGTCAAATCAACTATAGGCATAAGTTTAGAGAATGTATCAACCGAAAGAGCGAAAGTTAATTAAAAGTTACCCAATAAAAGTGAGGTGAAGTTGATTCTTGATCTTAAAGTCGATCTAACATAATAAGTGGAAGTTGCGAGGATGCTCGGTCCTAGGGTTGGCATGGGTAATTGGGTACAAAGTTACAGGTGCCGGACGGTGGGTCGAGTCATTGGGTTCCAATAATTAATCATGCAAGATTTCTTCCTTTGAATTAATTAGGAGATGCCTAAAATTAGGCAACCCTAATATAATATAGTTAACTCTCATGGCTCGTACCGTGACTTGCATGGCTTCCTAAATCTCTATAAAACCCATGCATTCACCAACTCATCATCACAAATCAACACACAGATCCATATATCTTCCCGTGGCCTATAACTGATCGATCATCATCCAAAATTAAACATGGCGGCCCACCAGAAATTCTTGTGCTTCCTGCCAATTCTGCTGATCATAATGGCGTCTATCGCCGGCAGCGCAATGAGGGCAGAAGCCGCCCGCAGTCTCTTACAAGTCGCCGACACGCCGGGCACACTTCCTGTGCCGCCGCCTCTTGGGGAGGAGCTTCCGCCGCCGGTGACGCCGCTCCCAGGAGTTGTTCCGGATGTGGTTCCACCGCCGATCACCATAGATGACTTTCCTCTTGGGCCTGTTCAGTCGATAGCAGAAGATCAGATTGTATTGACTCCAATAATAGCATAATAGCTACGCACCATTTATATATATAGCTTCTTGGCTTGCCGGCCCGCTTCGTTTCAAATGTTCTTTAGTATTTTCCCTTTGTTTGAAAGAAGGATCTCTCTGCTATACTAATACTATATATATATATATATATATATATATATATATATATATATATATATATATATATATATATGTATGAATTGAAATGTATGTATTACTGTGTTACTACTAGTTTGTATGCCTCCCCTATATAATAATATTTGAATAAACGGTAAGCCACTTACATAGTTATATCTTTTGCATCTTCACTCTTTTCTGGTTAAATTTTACCATCACAATAAACACAACAAAATATACCATTAGATTTAATTGGTTTGGCAATTGACCTGTCTTAATAATCACAAGGTTCTAAGTTTGACTCATTGTGAGAGTTATCTATTGACCTCAGCTCTTTAATTTAAATTGGTCCACAACTTTTGACAAATTTCTATAAATTTTCTTCTAGCATAGGCACTTTTTAGAGTGTCTGATCTTTTTGTGTTGATTATAGGGTTATGTTGTTTGAGTTATATATATCTAATACTGCTAATAATTTGTCCCCATAATATTGGATACAATCAATTAACACCGTGTCATCTTAGAAATTTTTAAGGGAGAATAGGAAAGAAAAAAAGGATGCTGTTAAGACAATATAGTAACACTTGGATAACCATTGGCCAAATTTAACTCTGGAGTTTTCTTGGTGTTCTTGATTTGGACTCTTCAATTATATGAATTTTTCTTTTTGAGTGACGATATAGATGAAACCCCACAGGTACAACAACTTGAGGGTGTGCATTGATCGAGTAAACCCAATCTTGTGACACTATGATAGTTAATTAGCAAAGGACTACAATGAAGTCAATGCACCTCAAACTAAGAAGGCCGCCAATAAACCATTCTTATTTAATTTAAAATCAAACTTGAAATCTTGTGGGTATGGATTTTGTTTTCATCCGTGAGCAATAAACATGCATGTATTGGTTGATTTCAAAGGAGGATAGGAGAGAAAACAAGGGTGTTGTTAAGACAATTAATATAGTAACCGTTATAGGGAAAACCATTGATTATTCAATAGCAAGCTAATTAAGGTTTTTGCCTTTTTGGTTTCCTCATTGTTGCGCGCGGCAAATAATAACAGTTAGATGAGACTCAGACATCGTCTTCCTAGCTGCCAATCAACTTCCAAGATTTTGTAATCCAATGGTAACCCAAGATTTGGATTAACACCCAAGAAGGCCAATAAATTAAACCACTCAATCATGAATATAATCATCACTCCTCAGAGAATTAATCACTGACAGCCCGGAGAAATTTAAAGAAAAAATGGCACACCACAAATGCTCACTGTCTGGTGCTCTGCCGATTCTGATGATGATCGTAATGGCGTCGACGTTTTCCGGCCGCATATATTGTGACGGTGGAAGCTCGTATAGTAGTCTCCTAGAAGCTAAGCCACCCCGGCCGACGACCTTCCGGATAATGAGCTAAGGACCGTACGTTTTCCTCCTTCGCTAGCTTCTATCTTGCTGCCCGGATTGGATTGTGTCTAATCTTTAGTATTCTTTTTTGCTTTTACTTTTAAAGATCTCTCTGATCTGCCATGTATGAATAAGTTGAAAACATTTTTTTTGAATGATAAGAAAAATTTAAAGTCACTGTAAATCTAGTCTTAATGTTTTATGACCTTAGTCAGTGAAAAATCACTAGTTAATACTTAATATAATTAATCTGAGTTGTCTATAACTAATGATCCACTCAACGGCATGTCCAATATTGTATTAGGTGTGATGATGAAGGAGTTGGAAAAGTTTTTGTCCAAAGAAAATAATGTAGTTGAACTGGATGGTACGTTTTTCAAAGCTCAAAGAAGAGCTGGACTGTTTCAGATTAGTGTTGTTGAGAAGTTGAACTAACACATGCATTTTTTATTCCTACCAGCTTCCATCTTTTTCTTGTTCTCCGCATCTCACTTCTATATAAACTTGCGCAGATACAATCCCAGGACAAAACAAAACACAATCTAATTCAAGCTGAAATAGAAGCAGAATATATATATATATATATATCTTCTTCTGAAAACGTACATACGTCTTCATCACCAAGAATGGCGGCTCATCATCCCAACCCATCCTGCTTTTTCTTGCTTTTCTTGATCACTCTGTCTGCGGTGGCGATCGGCACCATTCAAACGGAGGCCAGACACCTTCTGGAGACAACCTCGCCGGAACTTCCTAAGCCTCAAATCCCAACATTACCAAAGCCCGAGGTCCCAGAAATTCCAAAACCCAAGCTGCCTGAAATCCCCAAACCTGAGCTGCCACAGTTCCCAAAACCTCAAATACCGGCGATTCCAAAACCTCAGGTGCCGGAAATTCCAAAGCCCAAGATGCCTGAAATTCCCAAACCTCAAGTACCAGAGGTTCCAAAGCCTCAGGTCCCAGAAATTCCAAAGCCTAAGCTGCCTGAAATCTCCAAACCTCAAGTACCAGATATTCCAAAGCCTCAGGTGCCTGAAATTCCAAAGCCTAAGATGCTTGAAATCCCCAAACCTCAAGTACCAGAGGTTCCAAAGCCTCAGGTCCCGGAAACTCCAAAGCCCAAAATGCCTGAAATCTCTAAACCTCAAGTGCCGGATATTCCAAAGCCTCAGGTGCGAGAAATTCCAAAGCCCAAGATGCCTGAATTTCCCAAACCTCAAGTACCAGAGGTTCCAAAGCCTCAGGTCCCGGAAATACCAAAGCCAAAAATGCCTGAAATCTCTAAACCTCAAGTGCCGGAGATTCCAAAGCCTCAGGTGCCAGAAATTCCACAGCCCAAGATGCCTGAACTTCCCAAACCTCAAGTACCGGAGATTCCAAAGCCTCATATGCCAGAAATTTTAAAGCCCAAGATGCCTGAAATCCCCAAACCTCAAGTACCAGAGGTTCCAAAGCCTAAGGTGCCTGAGATTCCAAAGCCCAAGATGCCTGAAATCCCCAAACCTCAAGTACCAGAGGTTCCAAAGCCACATGTGCCGGAAATTCCAAAGCCTAAGATGCCTGAAATTTCCAAACCTCAAGTACCAGAGATTCCAAAGCCTCAGGTGCCGGAAATTCCACAGCCCAAGATGCCTGAAATCCCCAAACCTCAAGTACCGGAGATTCCAAAGCCTCAGGTGCCTGAGATTCCAAAACCGGAGCTACCAACACTCCCAAAGCCTCAGGTGCCGGAGATTCCAAAACCTGAGCAGCCAGCATTTCCCAAGCCAGAGCTCCCAAAGAAGCCATGATTTCTTAAACGCTTGCTTACCATCATGCGTTTAGATTCTCCAGATTTCTCAGAATATTTACAGTTCATGATATACTATACATTCATCTTATACTATTTTACATTTCATTTATAGTCCCATTTTGAACCAATGGCATGTTGTTCTTTAAGAGTCGCAGTTGTACTCGTATGTCAGTAGTGAATTGAATAATATTTACGTGAATGCATGTCATGCACATTTGTGTGTAAAAAAGTACGTGTTGTGTTTTATTATTAACATTATATTACTCTGTTGCTATTAAAATGTGTGTGTGTGTGAGATGGCTAGCCATTCATGAAAACCAAACATACTATATATTTGCACAGGAAAATGATATATGGAATCTTAATGAGTAAAATTCTAGCAGAGTGTTGAGATTTTAGTGATATATATATAAGAGAAAAAGAGTAATAAAAATTATGGTCCATTTTTTTTTTTTTTTTTAGTGAATCATAACATACTACTTAAGCTGAAAGTAAAAATAAAAAATGAAGTAAAAATTGAAAGTAGTTATAGTCTTACTCATTTACATATTATAAGATTGGCCTACATAATTGAGTTGATGGGACAAATGGTACGCTAAATTGTCTTCTTGACTTTCTTGGTTCCACAAGGAGCGGGTGCCTATTAACTTCCTTAATTTTAAAAAAATCATATATTTATCTTGGTCCACGACCCACTTTTTTATGTTATTGATTTGGTCAAACCTACTTACTTTATTAAAAATTTGAATTAATAAATGTTAATATTTTTTTAAAATGATAATATATACTTTTATAATTTTTAATTGTATTACAAAATTTTTACCATGGTTAAATTGTACATTATTTTTATATTTATACTTTAGAAATTAAAAACTTATAATTTTGAATTATAATAAATAGTTAAAATGGGAAAATTAGACAATTTTTTATCTTTGCGTGAATTATATGTTGATAGCGCTTTTGCCTCCTAAATTATTCATGCATCCACATTAGCCTCTTCAATTATTTTAAAAGTGTCGATCCCCCCTCCCCTTTCTATTAAATGAACATTTTTATCCTTAAAATAATAGCAAAATAAGTAAATAAGTATTTTATTTATTTTTCTTCTCCAACAAATTATTACTTATATGTGAAATTAGAATAAATGTAAACAAAAAAAAAAAAAAATAGACACCATATGCAAATATTATAATTATAATTTTAAACTAATTCAAGTAACATAATTAAGACTTAAAGACAAATAATTCATTAATGCTAATTTAGCATTAATGAATTATTTATGTTTAATCAAGTCTTAATTAATATTAGCTTAACATTATAATTATAATATTTACAAATAATGTGTGTTATTTTTTTTTTATGTATTTTAATTCACACATATAAGCAATAATTTGTTAGAAAATAAAAATAAATTAAATAAAAACTGCCACCTTTAAAATAATTGAAGGGACTAATGTTGACATACAAATACATAAAGGTGAAAAAATGATATAAATATATAATTCAGGAGAAAAAGAAAAGTGTCAGTTGGTCCATGGCCCAGGTGGTCAAGTATGGTAATATTGTTGAAAGTACTAGTACAGTCCTTGTTTAAGAATGTAACATTCTTGTATAATAGTTTGTAAATTCAAACGGAAGACACATAATCTTTATTATAAAAGTTCTATATAACATAATCAAAAAAATAATAACAGGAATCAAATTTATAACTTAATATAAGAAATGTACTCTACCTACTCGGTGACTCATTTCAATCTCCATTATTAGTGAGGACTGAGCAGTAATATGTATGCAGACATGCAGTTGGTACAATTGATACTTTACACAGACGACAATGCATTGTGGAACCCAGGAAAAAGGGACCATACATATTACATGCTGGATCTATCTGTAAACGTCACTAGCTCCATCCTCAATTATTTGTGCTTTTCCCTCCAAACAATTTTAATGAAATTATTTGTATCATTCTAACTTTATTAAAAAAAAAAAAAAAAAATCTCCGTGACACCATACTATAATTATATTATATTATTGTCAAGTCTAATGTACAAATATTTAGGAGTTAGAAGTCAGTTAAGACACATAAATGAATGAATATATATGATGTGGTACCCACTTTTTTATCCACCGACAGAATGGTAATGACGAAGAACTGGGGTGGAAAACATCATAGTATTCTCTTTTTACTTTTCACAATACAATAGTAGAAAGTGTGGATGAGAATTAGTAAATAACTAAATATACATTTTTTTTCTTCTCCTAAATAAAATGTTTCCTTACCTCTAAGGGGCCGATAGGCCATTTGACTGTTGAGCATATAACCATTAATGTTGTGCAATTCAATTATTAGCTTAAGTTTTGGTTGAGATGGAGCATATGTTTCAATTTGGTATCAGGACCAGAGTTACTTTTGGATAATTAGTGCAGATCTTTTTGTAAATGGAATGGAAGTATATATTTTTTGTTTTGAACGGCTAACGGTAATAAGGCGGGTAAATGAAATGCTTAATATAGGAGTTGGAGAAACAGGAGATGAGAAGAATGGTGAATATGGCGGGATTAAATGTGGGAGGCAGAAATGAAAGTGGAAGCAGGATTATAGGACAAATGTGTGGTTAATATTGAAACTGCTAATTGAACGCAGATAATAACTGTCCAGAAAACAATGGTCCAGGCAGAGCTTCAATTCTGCGACCCATCACATCCTTCAATTCCTTGGTTTAAATACACGCATTTCCTTACCTTCAACGCCCCACCCATTTTTCTCCGTTTCTTTCCTCCTGCTCGGGTGGTTTGAGTGTTTCAGATTGTGATTATGTGAAGATCTTAAGATAATTCTGATGAGAATTTTGGGTTGGAGGGAAGGAGAAGAGGATAGGAGGCATGGAGTTTGATAGAATTAGGGAATTGTTGGCTCTTTGGAGCAGCGTTAGAAGCAGTCGTGTTGCCCTGGTGGGTGGGAATCACACCGCTGCCAGGTTTTGCTCTCGCTAAATTTTTGTCCTTCGCCATTGTTAGCTAGCTTCTCTCCATCTCTCTCTTTGCCTGTGTAATTCCGAGTTGGATGAGGTTTTGGTGATCGGTTTTCTGCTGCCCCTTCCTATTCTCCCGATTGCCGGAAGAAAGATTTGCTCTTGCCTTGCGGATCTGGCGTTTATTGGCTGCTGGCTGGCCGTTGTCCACCAAGTGTTCGACTGATTGTTTCTGAGATGGATTTGGCTTGTAGGCACGGCGGCGGCGGTAAGCGCCGCGTGAAGCTGAAAAACCATGGCTTTCACGGCGTCGGAATAGCGTTGTATCCGGAATCCCTGTTGATAATCAAACTCCCTGATTACCGGCTTCTGTGGATAATGTCACGCTCCTTGTTCTTGGCAATGGTTCTTATCACTCTGCCCTCGATTGGGTCGATTCTGAGAGGCTCCTCTAACGTTGTTGATGACGCTGTCGTGTATTCCGACGAGGGCGATTTCACTATGCTGCCTATTCTTTTTCGTGATTTGGCAGATGAGGGTGTTCTCAACAAGGGCCAAAAGGGCCTCATTGTGAGCTCTGGCTATGGCGATTTGGTTGATGATTTGGACTTGGAATTCTTGAATGACAATGAAGTTGAGTGGGTGATTGGGTCGGATTCTGGTCCTCCCAATTCAATTCCTGATGAGTCCTTCGATTTTGCCATCGGATCAAGCGCCCGGAATACCAAGTTTATGGATCGCATTCTCAAACCCGGTGGCATTATGATCATCCCATTCAGCAATGACCTCTCGGATGAACTATTACAGCCAAGAAACTATGCAATTGTGTATCTTCGAAGATTCGAAAGCACCATGGTTGCAATGAGGAAAAACGGCTTGGCTGATGATGTAGCAAATTCAAGAAAAAAGCAGATAATCTGTGGAACTACACCAGAAACCAAGAAAGCAGCGCTGAAACACTTGGAGGATGCCTTGCTGGAACCACCAAGAAAGGCATTGGCGAAATCGAGCATGAGGAAGATGAAGTTCCTCCCAGATTTGATGGGGGATTCACTCCAGAACTACCCTCGAAGAGTCTTCATTTCTGATGACAAGAACGGCGCAGAGAAATGGTTTCATGACAACTACCCTGCAAACAATCAAGAATTCGATTTCTACAACATTGATGTCAAAGTCGAGGATTCAGAGGAAACAAAAACAGGAGAAGAGAGCGTCGGGCTGTCCAACTGGCTGAGAAACACTGTCAAGGATGCAGACTACGTGGTGATGAAGGCAGAAGCAGAGGTGGTCGAGGAAATGGTGAGGGAGAGGACAATATGCCTCGTAGACGAGCTATTCTTGGAGTGCAAAAGCCAGTGGGAAGAAGGTGAAGGTGGAGAAGAGAACCAGAGGCAAAGGGCTTATTGGCAGTGCTTGGAATTGCATGGAAGGTTGAGAGAGGAGGGAGTTGCTGTGCATCAATGGTGGAGTTGAATCAGATTAGTCATTAGTGAGCAGAGTGTATCTGCACTGCAGATAACAACTATATTGTAGGCTCATAATGCCAAAGGTTGTGTTGTGAATTTGTGATATGATTCATGTTTGTTGTTATCCCTTTCCTCCTTGTTATCCTTCTTAGGACTTTTGGGACCTTAGGAATAAGCTAGAAGGAAAGCAAAAAATAAAAAAGTGTTGTGATTCCCTACTCGTGTATGTTTTTCTTGGCAGTGTTGTTTCTGGTAATGTGTTATTTGTTTGACTAGTTACTACCTAGATTGTTAAGGTCAAGATTCATATTCATGTTATACATCTAAAATGTTGTGTAAAAACGACACAACACCTAACAAACTCAAACAGCTAAATAACTAATAGTGAAACCAAAATCGACTGATAAGTTGGCTTTAAGGGAAGTAAAGTTCCGTTGGGACCTGTCCGTATAGAAGTTGTGCTCCAAGGGAATTGAGATCTGGGCTTTAAGGGCTGAGATTGAGTGATCTATTGTAGTTTCTTTTAGGGTTAAACAAAAACAATTGTTGAACTTTAAATCAGCTTTCTTGGTCCATCAACATTGGAGCCCAAACGACCAAACCCAATATCTGGTGATTGACCCATTGATTGAGGCTTCTCCAATCAACAACGCAAATTATGCTATGGAATCGTGTTCACCGAGAATGGTGAACACAAGATAAAACGATGTCGTTTTTAGGCCAAAAAAAAAATTTCACGGATGTGGAGTTAACGGCGCGCGTTTGATCAAATTATGAATTTTCTGTTATGAGATTATGAATTTTATGAAAATTCATAATCTCATAACAGAAAATTCATAATCTCACAACTGAAAATTCATAATCTCATAACAGAAAATTCATAATCTTATAACAGAAAATTCATAATCTCATGGTTCCAAAGTGAATGTGTAGGCATGGTTCCAAAGTGAATGTGCAGGTATGGATTCATAATTTATTAATGTCCGTGATTTCGGACGGGAATATGTAGGCATGGTTCCAAAGTGAATGTGCAGGCATGAATTCATAATTTATGAATGTCCGAAATTATGAATGTAATGAAAATTCATAATCTCATAACAGAAAATTCATAATCGCATAACAGAAAATTCATAATCTCATAACTGAAAATTCATAATCTCATAACAGAAAATTCATAATCTTATAACAGAAAATTCATAATCTCATGGTTCCAAAGTGAATGTGTAGGCATGGTTCCAAAGTGAATGTGCAGCCATGGATTCATAATTTATGAATGTCCGTGATTTCGGACGGGAATGTGTAGGCATGGTTCCAAAGTGAATGTGCAGGCATGAATTCATAATTTATGAATGTCCGAAATCTTTGTTCACTTCAAATTAAAGTGAAACCGCAAAATGTGAAAATAAAGACGAAAAGTCACGCAATTAATTTAAAAAAAAAAAAAAAAAAAAAAAAGATAACGGTGTACTAACACCATTAGAACCGTGTTCACCATGAATGGTGAACACGGTTCCATGGCATAACGTCTGAATCAACAATCAGTCGTTATATTATAGACCGCGGTGCATGTGCACCGCGGTCAAAAACGGCGCCGTTTCTTTAAGGAAAGAAATGATCCGCCGTTAGAGTTAACACAGTCCGCTTGTTTGGTGTATTAAACATCAATTGACACTACAGTATATTTAAACCGACATTGCAATTATATCAAAATGATACTGTAGTTATAGTGAAATGAAACTGCAGTGTATATAAAATGAAACGGAATAACATTCCACATATTTGAGTGTATATTGTACAATGAAACTGTAATTATATCAAAATGATCATGTAGTTGTGTTTTAATGAAACTATAGTATATATAAAATAAAATTAAATAAACTTTCACATATTTGAGTCTATAAATATCGAATGAAACTATAGTTATATCGAAATGAAATTGTAGTTGTGTTGAACTGAAACTGCAGTGTATACAAAATTACACTGAATAACAGAGTTACTTTTTGCAAAAGGGTGCGAAACGGTGGAAACAAACACTGTTTATTTTCATTTAAAAAAAAAGACGCGCGGTGCATGATATAATTTGGGAATCAACAATAGTACAAAAATTCAGCAACTGCCGAACTTCCTTGTAAGTTAAAGAAGATGTGATTTAAAATTTACACCTTTTACTGCCTAAAATTTATCATGGACTTAACATTGGAAGAATGATCAGGGATCGAGTCTCACCAGTGACAATGTGGGAGCAATCTCTCATAGTGAGGGGATTCCTTGTGCGCAGTGAGCAAATGTCTAGCCTCTGTGGTTCATGTTCAATTGAGTTACCATGATTTATATCTTTCCAAATGTTTTGTCGGGTCGGGGTATGGGGGGCCTTTAGGGTTGGGGTTCAACCTTGGAAGAATGATGGGAGGTGAAAGCGTAGAGATTCAAATCTCATTGAAAACATGTATATGAAAGATGACTCAAGGATACTGGAAGGTTTGAATTTGATCACTTGTGCGTACATAAAGACTAAAGTCTGATCGGTAGGCGAAACTAGGATCACCTAAAGTTAAAATAAAATAAAATATATAACTCAGCTATTCTAATGAAAAGTTTGACTCATTACTCTTTAAAATGATAATTTTTGTTCTGATAATACATAATTTATCCTAATTGATACTATGTAATCTACTTCTCCCAAAAGATTGAATCATCAACTCCAAGGGCCTCTCCACACTTTGACCTGACAGAACATTTGAAAAGATGTAAATCAAGTGATTCAATGACTTAATAGACATAACCAAATACCGATGCACATAAAAAATCCGTTCAAACATAATCCTCACACTGTCGCCGATCTTAAAAAAATCTAGACGTCAACTCCACTATTCGAATATGGACACAAAACTAAATAAATCAAGAAGCTAGATAATCAAAGTTATGCTGATTTTGACTGGGGTTCCCTTTGTCATCCAAAGTGTAGACCTGCAAGATGGGCAAGATTAAGTTAATCTGCAACGTGGCAGTCGATGACTGGTGATCATGGGTCATGACATTAATAGATTGTGAACCATGATTAATACCAAATTTGATAAATTATGTGGTGGTTGGACCTGCTTCAGCCTATGGTCTTAATCATTATTTTTCTTAAACTTTTTTTTTTTTTTTGAAATATTGCATTTTTAATTTTCCTGTTATACTCATTTACATACTTAGTTCGAGAGTTATATGTGTGATCATTTTTAACTCATAATTTATACATAAAGTAGCGATTTTAGTTACGTTATTGAATGACAAAATCAGCCACTTTGTTAAGTGACAAATTGGTAGTAGAAATAATTTTTGAGTGACTAAAATCTCTACTTCGTGCATAACTTAAGAGTTAAAAGATGGTCACGCATATAACTGAGTGATTAAATTTGTACCACATGTATAACTGAAGGACCAAAAATATAAATTTTTTTCTCTTTTTTTTTTTCAATAATTTAATTATCAAGAACACCTCATGCACCAATTATAGTGCAATAGACTATGTATGTGAGACAACCCCAACCAAGTTAGTCATGTTGTTGACTTTATAACTAAAAAGTTATAATTTTTTATTCGGTGCACCTAAGGTTTTCATCGTCGAATACAGTAACTAATTGAATTTTTAATTTGAGCCAATTTATTATAGACAACTTAAACTGATTTATCGTTATCACTCAAAAAGAAAGGGACAATGTGGGATTGGGATTAGTTGCCTCCTAAAGGCAGATGCTGAGGTCTAAAGATTGATTTAGAATGATGATGCTGCTGCTAATGGAGTATCAAAGTCACAAAAGGGATAGAAATGATATCATGGGAGATGGCTGCTTCCACCACTCTCTCCAAAGTGGGAGATTTTCAATCTTTTGTATGCTTTTCTGGTTTTTTTTTTTATTTTTTTTATTTTTTTTAGGGGATTTGAATCTTGGGGATTGTGACAATTCCAAAATGCCAAGGCAAATCCCATTGAGTTAGTAATATTGATTGGACAACTGATTGATTTCAAGTATAAAATTTTTGAAATTAAAATTCTAAAAGTAATGTTAATAGTGATGGTTAAAGTTTGTGATGGAATATAGGGTGATGATCTAGTTCCCTTGAATCTTGCCTGTTATTAAGGATTGAAGGGTAGAAGTGATTTGTCTAGTCAAGTATATATTCGTGTAATTATTCGCACAGATTTAGCTCATTGGTTCAGTAGACAGCGACAATGATGGTTATGTCCAAAATAGGCAGATTTCTTGTGTATCGACATTTGACATTAAAATATTGTATTCAATTATTTTTGAGTCAGTATGGGATACAATTTGCTGTAATTAATTACTGTATGTATGTATGTATGATATAAGCATAAGATTTGTAAAAAAGAATGGAAGCCTCATTGGCTTAAAGCCTAAAAAAATTTCTTGAACTAGAAATTTTTTATATAGTCATACCATCTCTTTGTTTCCTTACTTCTTTCCTCATTCAGCAACTCTCTGCTTCTCTGCTTCACTGTTCACTTCACTTCTCTCCTGTCCTTCTTCCCCATCTACCTCACACTAACAAATTTGTTTAAGTTTGGGCCTTCTGAGCACTGGGCAAACGATCTTCCCTGCAGATATTTTTCCTGTTAGTTCCTCGATTTCTCTCCTCCATTTCAGACCTTATTGTTCTTGAATTTACACACTCACCTGTTTCATTTTGTGTGTGCATATTTGTTCATTGTATCTGCCTGTCTGTAGCTATGTTTTTCACATATTGAAACTAGTGTTTTCTTGTTGGTTCATCTGAATCTTTAGTTGGGTGCTCAAGAAATCCTTGTTCATGTGATTATAGAAAGTAAAGCTATGATTTTTCGTTTTCTTTCTCTGGAAAGTCTAAACTAACTGAAACAACATATAAAGCTGATAATCTGATGATGTTTTGTTTTTTATGGATTTGTAGGTGTTATTGTTTAAAGTCATTATATTGAATGTATGATAAAATTTTGTTGTTTTTTTTTATTTGCTATTCTTTAGCTCATTTACCTGGACTTTCTTTATGCTCAGAGTTTTTTGCCTCTGAAATCCATATTTTTGTTCCTTGTAAAATTGTGGGCAAGTTCAATTTTTTTTTTTTTTTTCCTTTGATTCCTTAAGAAAGCAAGGGAAAATAATTAAGGAATGTGGGTTCTCCTTTTCCCCAGTTTTCCTATTTAAATGTAAAGTTGAGTAGATGTCTAATGTCTAGTTAGATGACTTTGTTTGCACATTCTTCTCTTTTCAATGATTTTTGATGCATTTTCTTGCTCTACCATTTCAGGTGAACAAAAATTGATCTCTCTGGTGTATGCTGTTGTGGTTGTGTATATAAGCGAATAGTATGCGGTGGCTGGGCCTATCGATTGATGTGTTTCGTTATGTTATCTCCTTGAACTTATATTGCAGGGTGATTCTGTAAACATGTTTCTTCTGTGAACCTATTCAGCCCTCTCACTATCCTCTTTTACTAGCTACCCATGGGTGCCAATCATCTTTTTTTCTTTGCTTGTTTTATCCATAGGATTAGCTAAATAACCGAGTTTTAGAAACTAAATTTGGTCTTCTTCTTCTTCTTCTTCTTCTTCTTGTTATGCCCAGCTTTGTTTCTTGTTGAAATTTCCAATTCCATCACCTCTAAAGTCTGCCTCAAGTTAGCCCAAATTCATCGATCCTTGCTTTAGTTTGACCTTCCGTTTTGTGTGTCTAATTGTCTTGTGCTCCAGACTAGTCTTTTGCATAGATTTTGAAGTTCAGTCCAGGATTGAAAGGAGTTATGGTGTGCCAAGCAGCAAGTCAGACGAGATTTCGGGCCTTAAAACATGAGACTGGGATTGCAGGACAAGCGACCATTATAGTTAGAGTTATAGCATGCTTTCAACCACTGCAGAATTGCCAGGTTCCCACCACTACTTGATTCTTGTTATGATGAACTAACCAACTCATTTTTGTGCTGTTCTATGGGCCATATTACCATGTGATGATACTTGGAATTGAAGGTCGCTAATCTTTTTGTTGTTTCCTTTTGTTACCAGGCTGAGTACTTCCGTCAATTGCTTAAGCCTGTCACGTAAATTGAAGTTTGTATCCACAATATTGCCTTAAGTTCGAGTTTACAGTCGTTTTCCTTTCATTTTTGTTCCTGAGAGAGATTAGCTTTGGGATAACAGCAGTCAATATCCAAGGTATGATGACAGGTTTTTTGTTAAGAGTTACTATGTTAATTCTTACCTTGAATGTTGAATCGAAGCCATGAATGTAGGTTTTCGTTTTTGGCTGAATGGTTATGGTCACCGAGCAGCATCAACCTTGCTGGCACTATCCTGCATGGAATTTACCCGATTCAAACCATTTAGAACCCATGCACCACACTAATCTGCCATCTTCTTTTAATTCTCATGTGTTTACTGCAAATGCTGTTTCTCAAGGGATTTCGGGTTTGGTCCCTGGATCACCATATTCGAGAACAAACGAGTTGGTTGGAGTTCATGGTGTCCTCCAGCCAATACCTACCCATATGAATGAATCTCAATCTGCTCTTCTCCATGGAATTGGAAGAAAAGCTGTCCCAACTTCTGCATGTGATTCTACTGGGAAAAGATTTCTCATTTTTGATCACTCTGGAGATCAAACAAGACTGTTTTTTAGTCCATCTTTCCCTCCTCATCAGAATGAGGTTTTGTCTAGAAAAACTTTTGGAGATAATGGTCTGGGGCATGGAAAGTTGAGAGCTCTTGTTGAGCACAGGTCTCCCAGGGAACTCATTATTCAAGAACAATTGGATAGGAGTTACAGTTATGGAAGCGAAAGGCCTGAAGACACAGAAGAAATCGATGCATTACTCTACTCTGATGGGGATAGCGAGGATGATGAAGTAACTAGCACGGGCCACTCCCCGTTCCCAGTTCAAGGGGGCTGCCACGAGCATGCTCAATTCGGGGAACTTGCTAGTAGTGATGGCTCATCAAAGAGGCAAAGGCTGCATGATGGTGGGTACATGAATTCATCATTGAAAGACACTGCAAGTTCAGTGCAACTGCGTAGATCCCACAGGTATGATGATGATATAGGATCAAGTTGTGTTAAGGGCACCGAGTTTAAAGGTGAGGAACAAAGTCCCCATTCCCACGCCAGCCAAAAGAAGGCTAAAATCCACGAGATGTTGAAAACTCTCGAAACCATGATCCCTGGCCTAAAGAGCAAGGATCCACTGTCCGTTTTCGATGAAGCAATAGATTACTTGAAGCATTTGAGACTCAAGGCTAAAGAGCTGGGACTCGAGCCCACCCCCGTTCCATTGGAGGTAGTGTCTGGTGCAGTTGTAGCAGAGAAAAAATGGGGTGAAAATCTTGATTGTGTGTTTCCAAGAAATGATTATTTTTAAGCTTTAAGGATTTAAAGGCATCACATTTTAGCGCATGGGTTATGGTAGTGCAGTGCTGTGCTGTAAATTCAATGAAGAGAGCCCTTTTCTCTTCTCCCCCCCAAAAAAGAATCAATTTTTCCCCCATGGATTGAGTGCATGCGCATACAGTGATAGGACCCACCTTCCAGCACCAATCCAATTTGCAGCTTCTTGATGCTGTGTCTTTTGTGAATCCATCCATCATCTTTTATCTTCTGTGGTGGCACCGCCCTAATAGTACAAAGAAGATAGCATACAGGAGTGATGGCTTGCCTCCATGAAAAGATTTATCAAGAAAGTTGGATGGCCATCAATGATAAGATCTTGTCTTCAAAGTCTGGTTTTTTTTTTTTTCTTTTCTTTTTTCACCTGTGAGCTTTTGTACTGTGAGTCCGTGAGTTGTGGCATCTGGGTCTTTTTGAGTACTGATGGACCCTCCCTGGGTCCTTCTGCTATCATTATTGCTGTTATAATTGAATGTTGAATCTTTGTGGATATGCCAGTGTGCTTTTATTTTTTTTATTTTTTTTTTATTTTTATGTCACTAATAAATTTTCACTGTATATATATATTAACGGGCGGCAACTCTAAGTTGGTCGAATAGTTGGCTAGGTAACCATAAGGTTCCAAGTTCAACTCCCGTGAAAGTTGTCTATTGGCCTTCTTGGTTGGTCTGAGCTGGTTAGCTATGGACAATTTAGGCTGGCTGCGGGTCAGAAACCATGATCAGCACCCATAGATTTATATTTTGTATTTAAGATATGTAAACTCATACATATAGTTAAATTCCACCAAAAAAAGCCCCCTTTACACACATAAATGAAAACTAAAAAAAAAAAAAAGGAATGCATTTTTGTTGTGATTCTTTGAAGGAATGAAGGATATTATGCCTATTATACATCCATTCTTGGTAATTTAACAACACTTCATATATGCCTCATTTTCATACAATGATTGCTGACATGGAAGGGAAAAATGAATCCCTGGATGAACAGTATGTACTTCCTCTAAGATTTGATTCCTGTATAGTAATTGACAGATGCTATAGAAATGCTATAATTTCCAAAGTAGAAAGTGGTTGAAAACTGGTCCAATGACAAGATCATCACAACTTTGATTCAAGGGGTGCCATTACTGCTTGTGTTTTGAGGACATCTTGTACTGCATGATAAAAAAGAAGGTAAAAAACTGACTGTCAAGATTGGATACTTCGAAAATGACAGCAATGGTAAATTCCACCTGCAAGCTACCTAAAAGATGGAGCAAATTTACCAGAAGGCGGGAGAGTGGGTTGGCACTAAGCACAGCAGCATCCATCTTTCTCGGGAAATTGGTAATTCGTTTCTGCTTTTTCCCAGTAATTGTGTTCAGAACTGCTAAATGCGATGAAGATAGTGACATTGATATTTTGTTCACAGTTGTGCTCATATGATTGTGTTTTATGTTCAATCATCAGATCTAACTTATGAATTGAATTTAGACCATCTAGGCTGTTTTAGAATCTTATAGTTTTCCCGTCCCTTCACGATTCTTCTCGTGTCAGCATAACATTTGATTGACAAGATATGTCACTAAATACACCTCTGTTTCCCCGTCTCATTCATGGTTGTTGCTGTCAAACGGGGACTGCATATACAGTAGCAGCACCATTTATGGCCGCTGGCCAAGCAAATCTAGTCGTGGCCTTGTTTAAGTAGTTGGTTGATTGGACTGTCAAGATATGAAATCTAGCCATTTCTTGGCATCCAAGAGTGACTATTTGCTCAACTTGCATAGTCTTTGGAAGTCGTTTTTGGAACTTACTTTCTGAAAGTTATCTGCTTTTATGGTTTTCACGACGACTAACATAATTGTATAGGTTCTGATGCTGATAACAATATGGGTTTCAGTTGATGCAGCTAAAAATATGAATTTATGAAGGTAGTGATTACAGGGAGATGGATCAATCAATCAACTGTATAAAGAACATGAAATTGATGATAAACTGATGCTATGGTCTCAGGTGTTTTTCTATAACGGGGAAAAAAATGAAATCTTTCTGCAATATAGGACAGAAAATAGAACAGTAGGCGAAACTGGGAAGGCTGGGGGGACTTAGGAAATGGAATTTCTCCACCTTCTAGGCGTCTTTCGAGTATTTTCTGTGTTTGTAACTTGAGACCCCAAATCATGGTTGTCTAGATGTGTCATCTTGGTGAGTTTGCTGAGTTTTTTCCATCCTGAAGTCCAGGCTGAGGCCTGTTTTGGTTTTGTGAGCTTATCGAATTGCCTCTGTAAGATATCCATCTCGTTCTGGAGCTGAACGTACTTGGCCTTGACGTTCTCTAGCTCAAACTTGAGCGTGTTGATATCCTTCTTGGCTGCTGTCCACCCTTCCTGAAAAGACTGTGGCGTTGCTTCGAGCAAGGTTTTGCGGTTTGACAGCAGAGGCTGATAGTGAGAGTCCCCGGCATCCTTGAGGGAGCTGTTGGCTATGGCGTTACTTATCTTCACCTGCTCGGAGAAGAGCACCTGCACCACAATTCTGAGTGGAAGCCTCTCGTTCTGAGCTGCGTGCATGCACGCATCAATCGAGAGCTTCTGGCAATCCATCACTCGACATAGCCTCTTCCTCTCGTGTTCTGAGAGCGTTGGATGAGCCTGCCAATTCCAAACAAAAAAATACGATTACTTGTTGAGCATATAGCCATTAATGTGCAATCCAACTACCAGCTTAAGCTTTTAGTTGAGATGGAACACATGCTTCAATTTGGTATCAGAGCCATGGAACACATGCTTCAATTTGGTATCAGAGCCAGACCGAAGGTCATGGGTTCGAATTACCTTAAGATAGGAGTCTATGGCTCTATAGAGGCCATCATCACAGGTTCTTGCTGATTCTGGTAAAGCCTCAGCCAGGACTTGAAATTTAGTCAAGGAAAGATTTCTGTCTCTCGAGACTTCAGTTAGATAACTGTCAACAAGCCTTGCAACTCTCATCTTGGCGTTCAAATTCGATCCCCTTTGGCTGCTTCCATCGTGCAAATGTTTATCAGAAAACGAGTTTCTGGTAGGACTAGAGCTCTCGGTTTGTTCCTGAACAAGAAAATGCTCCAGAAGCCTCTGAACGAGGTCGACATCATACAAAGTTTCGGTCTTGTTATAGGAAGGGATGAGAAGGTCTGCCAATGTGGCCTGCTCGAATTGCATCCCGACCCGCTTCTCCAATTCTGTAACCAAAGCGGGTGCCACTTTGAGCATGCTTGCCATTCTCAGCAGCCGGAGAAGGAAACTGCAGGAAACGCTGTCTTTCTGGGGCGGGATTATGCTTATTAGGCTCTCGATGATCATCCTTTGATCCTTAGCGTGAACGGTGGGGGTGTCCTCTCGAGTTCCAGCCACGACCATGTATAGCCCCCCGCCTTTCCACCCGCCACTTCCACTTCCACTGCCATTACTAGTGCTGCTATTACTGCTTTCATCAACAGATCCCCCTGCAGGCCCCTCTTTGATCAAACCGGGGAGCCATTTAGCTGCATAGTGCATTATGGATGCCCCGATCAGCTCGTGCCTCATGCCCTTTACCTTGATGGCAGTGATGACTCTCACAAAGTGATCAATCCTCAGAATCGAGACATCCTCGAACCACCAATCAGGCGGCACCTGCTGGATCCTACTCGGGCTAGCGTCCTTCATTTCATTCCATTTCGGGCTGGAAACCACTGCGTGTTTCCCCGTGTACTGCCACCTTATCCCTTTCGGATTCGCACTGGCTTTCCACGCGATCGACTCACTGCACCTCCTCACAATCTGGAGATTCTCCGCCCATGGGGATAGCTTTTCGCAGCTTTTTAGCACCACTATGGAGTCCCTCCATGATGACAAGACTACATAGCTGAGAAAAGCTTCAGTCTTGAATATCAGGTTGCCTTCTTCCAAATCCTCTGTCATTTCAAGATACTCCGCTGCACATCTTAAGCCGGATATATTAGTCGCTGTTAGATCAACAGCGATTCCATAGCAGAACTTTGCAGCTAGCTCAAAGGCCTCAGGCCCCCCAGGAAGATCATCTAGGACTATCTTGCTCAAATCTGCTTCCCTCGATTCGTATATAACTCTGTTCATCTTTCCACTCCTCGAAAGCAGTGGATACTTGAGAGCATTGAGAAACAGTTAGAGCCACCAAAAAACTGCAGAATCTATCTTTAAACCTTCCAAGTTCTAAACAAGAATCACAGAGAAAAAAAGAGGGAATTGAAATTGAAGAAGCTACCTTGTGTAAATGGAAATTAGCATCTCCAATTTGGACCAACAAGTCACTTGGGATATCAGTTGCAACATACCTATCATCAAGAAAACAATTCAGACATTGAAGAACAGTAATCAAAGCTACTACTAATCTACTATCATATCCTGCAGGGCTTTATATATACATACCAAGATTGACCTCTTTGCTCAAAACCATCAGTCTTGACACCGGGCTTGGTTGCAGTGACGACTCCATTGCCATAGTCTCGGCCACTGACAGACTCACTCTCTGACTCCCACATGGCGAGAAACACGAAAAAAGTAGAGCAGAAATCTCCCAAGAAAGCGGGCACTATTTAGCTCATTCAGAGAGAAAGAACACAAGTTGAGATAAAGGGGAGCAGAAGAAGAAGCATAGCTGAGAAGCAGGCAAGCAAGAGTGATGAGTTAAAAAGGAAGAATCCCACATGGGGATGCTTGCAATTATCTCTAAATGTCGGCTTCTCACTTGATTTTTGAGGCTTCTTACAGGCTGTGAAGTCATGGGCAGACACTCCAACTACTCCTGTAGTTTTGGATCACTTCACTCATTATACACTCAAATTTCTTTCTTTCTTTTTTTTTTCTTCTGTCTATTTTATCTTCACTTCTTTAAACTCTTTTTTTTTATTATTATCTAAAAAAAAAAAAAAAAACAAATCTCTATCCAATCAGAAAACATTCTTGAATCTTGATTTAGTTTGGTAGTATTGCTGCATGTGGACATGTCAAATTTATGATCCTCTGCTGGAACATGGACCACAGTTTTATACTTTATTGTACTGAGGGAAAAAATGGTTTTTTTTTTTTTTTTTTCCTGCAATTCTTGATCAGTGTCTGATATATGTGGTAAAGCTTACACAGATGAGTCAAGTTGTAAGAATTTATTTATTTATTTATTTTATTTTTACCTGTGTTTCAAAAAGAATATTGTGGAAGCAGAAGAGTAGGAATGATTGAATACAGACAGATTTTGGAGGCTAGCTTTGATGAATGGTAAAAGATGCAAGCTTTTAGTAGCATCAATAAGGTTTTGTACATGGGTCCCAAATGTTGTTTGAATTGTCTCTGTAGTGACCAAAACAGTAAATACACAACTGCCCTTGAGCACTATTTAACCAGTTAATCAATCAAAAAAAGAGTTAAGAGTTTTGCTTTGCTGACGGTTGTAAGGTGTAGGGACCCTCCCCGTCCCCGTTCCCCGAAAAAAATTCCCGAACCCGCCCCCGTCGGGGACGGGTTGAATTGCCATCCCTATGTAGGGTTCGATCTTATTAGAAACATGTATGTAGAGCTGTCAATACAGGCTGGCGGGTCAGGGTGAGCCAAAGCCCAACGGGCCAAAAAGCCTGTTCCTTGGCGGGCTGCTATTTTAAAACCCACCCCCTACCTAAGTAGGGTGCGGGGACGAAACGAGCCGGCGAGCAAAGCCCGTTTTGACGACTCTACATATATAGAATGGAATTGACCCTATTTTTGACACCAAATAACCATTGTACAGATACTTTGAGAAATATGTAGATGGTTGAGACACATCTCAATCTATCAAGACTATAAGGACAAGGACATGTGGGAGCCCTCGGAATTGGGTTTCGATTTCTTGAGGTCCATAATTCATCAAAATTGTAATTTTCAGTAGGCCATTGTGTGGATTGATGGTCAGCCATGCCCACCAGTCCACCATCTCTTGATGCTATGAATCTTTTTCACATTTAATGATATTTCTCCCTTTTCTTGGCATCTTTATCCTTAAAGTCACTCCCAGTTGGTCAATTTTTGTTACTTCCTTTGTATTCTTCTCATCTGTTTTCACTCCAGAATACAAGTGTCATGACCCTCCTACTCACAACTCACAAGTGCTTGCAAGATTTTCTATGCATGTGGGGAGAAAGCATCTTCATTATGGGCCTTTCATTGCTAGATTGTACTGCATGACTTTTTAGTAATCACTTTTGATTTACTAAAAATTCACAATCACTAATCGAAAAATGCGCTTTGAGTAAAACTCGTCCTGTGACTCAAATCAGTAAAAGATTGCAAGGAAGTAACTGATCGACTCAAATCAGCAATGTGCATTATTCTAAGTTTCTAACTCATAAAATTCAGTAACGTCGTTTTGGACCATGGTCCACACAATAATTTACTCACCTTCACTCCGGCGGCTTTTTAGAATGTGGACTTGATTCTAAGTTTTGGGACTAATTATAACATGTGTACGTAAACTCTCAAAAAATTAGGAGGGCCGGGCTACCCGTACAAGTGGTTGAGAATGGTTAGTTGAAAGTTGAAACATTATTAACTCTAATAAATAATAATGGCATTTAAAGGGAAAAAAAAAATAAATATTAGAAAAAAAAAAGGCAAAAACCCTAAAAGGGTGAGACACAACAATAAGTTGCAGGTCCTACAATATGCTATAAAATTTCTGTAAAATATAAACTTAAAAAATTTATAACGTTGTAAAATTGTGGAATTGTTAAAATTAAAAGTTATAAAACTATTATTTATGCTATCGAAACATGGTGATAACATAAATAAATTTGTGTTTTTGTTACTGCTTATACCATTTGACTTAAAAGCTTAATATATAGTAAATGCTTAATTTTGACCAATATATCCATACTTTTTTATAAGTTGCATAAGTGATTGATCGCATCTGAGCATGTACCATTTTCTATATAGAATACATATTTTAATGTATGACATTATAATTATAATATATAATATATCTCTGCACCAAAAAGATAATATATAATATATCTTGTGAAAAATGAAAAAAAAAAAAAAAAAGGTTATGAGATGTCGATTTCATCATGTATTTCATTTATTGATGAATTGGTTGTGTACACAAATTTTCCATTTTAAAGTCTTGTCGGATTATCATTTCTTGTGAGAATAAAAGGTTATCTTTTGCTTGATTAGTACCATTCATGCTTCCTCATATGACCATGTCAATTAATGTCACTAAAATTGTTATTAAAATTAAAGACTGATCTTGTATATTTATCACTCACAAACAATTACTTTTTGATATGCCAATTGCTCTATACCCAAAAATTAAGGATCAAACTTTCTTGACATTTAATTAAGCATAGATGAGTCTTTTCCATTCAATCACACCTTAAGTTACTATTTTCTTTCTTTGCTTGAAAGTTTAAACAATGTAAAAAGCTGGATAATATATTATAGGAGAAATGATTGGTTGGGTGATGCAACAATAAGTTCATGTTAGGACATTCCTCATGTGACATGCCACTATGCTTGCTGGGAAATGTAATATAGGTATGTTTTGATACAATGATTATAAAGTGCTAGGAATCCAACCCAATCAATTTGGACATCCTACCATCTTAGATGACAGCTATAACTTCCTATCTTTCATTTGATTAAACCCTAATAATTTGGAACCCTCTTTCCTCCATGTTTGTGACTGTATTGCTTCATATAGCTGATGATTATTATTGTATCCAGACTAATGGCATATTAGTGATTGCCTGCCGGTCCACATTACAAGATGAACTACTAATAAATGTTTATTTTAAATATACTAAATGATCATTTTTAATATACTACACGTTCATTATTTAGTATACTAAAAATGAGTTTGCAATATACTAAAAAGAAAAGAAAGAAAAAACTTTAAAAAATAAACTTGTAGTAAAACATTAAAAATGAACATGTGCTCTATCTCAAAAAACCTAAGCTGATAGTTGGATTGCACATTAATGACTATATGCTCAACAGGCCTCTGGAAAATGCACCAACACTTTTTCAAGTTCAAGCAAAGAGCAGGATGATGAGTTTTTGACCTACCAAAACTGAGATTTTAGCGCTTAAGCATATGACAGTCTCAAAGCAACATTTTATTTGCATTGTGTTACTACTTGAATTGCTATAACTCTGCTAGATCACAGCATGGATCTGTGAGATGCTTGAGCTATTCATCTACGAGGTCGGGGATCTTTTCAAGCAGAACGGTATGGAAATTAACAGCTTTCTCTTTCAACCCGATATCTGAATATGCCTCTAGCAGTCTATTGCAGCTTGATCTATCAAACTCCACCGTGCCTGACTGCTTCCATTGCTCAACAATTTCCCGCACCTCCCTAATGTGCCCCAGCATCAGATATGATGAAACGATGCATACATAATTCCTACTAGTCATTTTCTGCTTCGTCATTGTCAAAGATTTCCAGATCTGATCAAGTTTTTCTTTGTTTCCCAGTCCCCCATAGAGAATAATCAAGAAATCGTAAGTTATCCACTCTCTTTGTGTGATGCCCTTATCCGTTTCAACCAAAGAGTCCGTCTCTGAGTTCACAAGTTGACCCGAGGAGATATATATTCTCACAAGATTTGCATATCTTGTCCAACACTCATCAGAGCCAGAGTCGAGACTCATTTCGTCGAGAATCTGTCTCACCTCATCGATGTTGAAAGCAGCAGCACATGAACTAATCCACAAATTGTACGTGAATATATCGGGTGCAACCTTTTGGCGTTTCATTTCCTCGATGACAAGTGATACCTTCTCTAGCTGTCCAACAGACATGTACAAAGTCAGTAGCTCGTTGTAAGTGAGGGTACTAAGTGAAAGATTTGCTTCTTTCATTCTCTCGTAGAGGTCCTCGGCCTTATCAGTTAGCCTTGAGCTTGCATACGAGTGGAGGAGGGCGGTATAGGTTTCGGTAGTTTTTGCAGGATCGGGAAGAGCTTCAAAGTATCGCTCAGCTGCATCAATACCAAAAACTTTGGTCATCAAGTCAATGCGAATCGCATAGTCCAAGTCCAATATCTCATCCTTATTGTTAGAAACCATCCATTCTGATATCTGTGTAGATGCTTATCGCAAATCAGTACTTACAATAAAGGAAACACAAAATTACAATTAAAGAGCAAGAGCAAACAAATATATTTGGCAACCATTCTACAGAATTACCAAAAGGGAATACAAAGATCAGGGAAAAAGTTGGTCACATTTAGCCAAGTTTTAGCATATCATTGCAGGAGAAAAATAGGATTCATCACAAGTTCACAACTTCTACGACCTCTTGAAGACTTCAAATGTGCACTTAGCAGAAACCACTTAGAACTATTGAGTAATTGAGTTATATACTAAAAACATGCAGAATAGCTAGCCACTTGCTTTACATAGTTATCACTCAATACAAAACTTTAAAAAAAATTCACTGCACAACCAAGTACAGACTGAACATGAAGAAATTTAGGAGGCAACCCCACCTAAGTTGGTTGTGTTGTTGACTTGGTAACCACAAGGTTCCAAGTTCGATTCTCAGTGGGAGTGGCCTATTGTTCTTGATTTGAGTCGGTCAGCTATTAGCAACCTAAGGTCACAAGGTGGGATTTACCTATTGCATACCCTCATGTTGGGTGTTGGCTGTGTTCAGCCCCTGCTCGATTCGAGACGTGGCGTTGTGGCTTACCATAGAGGGATGTGATTAAATGGTTAATGTCTACCTACCTATCACAAATTGGTTTTAAGTAGGATATGACAATCAGATAGCCAAAGAACTCTGTGGTTAAGCGTGGGAAGTAAGCATAGTGCAGCGTTGAGATCCATCACCTCAGGTATAATTTACAAAACTTAAAAATTTCTCACTGCACAACCAACTATAGACTGAACATGAAGAAACTTAAAAATCATATTAGATCAAGCAAACAACCATTGATAAGAGATGCATGGTCACAGAATCCTGTTCTTTGTATTCAGCTCACTTTACCTATCAGATAAACTATACATAACATTAAACTCATCACTAGATAGCACATTCCCATTATGTATCAATAAGCTCACAACAAATCAGCATTAACAATCGTTCTACCTATTCCCGTTATGGTTTATAGATTTAGATCATAAGTGAAATCCTTTTGGCTAAGCCATAGAAACAAACCATTTGTGAACTGAATTCTTTTCCCCCTCCTACAGAAAACATCTACTAAAGACCTAAAGTTCATTACCAAAGGTTTAAGCTAATGCGATAAGAGTTTGAATATTCCAAAAGAGGATTTATGGGGCAGAAAGGAAGAAGAACCTCAAGGGCGTGCTTGTAACGGCGGGACATTCGGAGCTCCTTGGAGATGTGACGGAGGTCTGCGGCGGTGATACGGCGGCCTTCGTCGACCCATCTCTGAACGACGTGGGTGGCGCTTCTTTTGGGGAGTCTCAGCCTAAAGATTCTGGCTTTCAGATCATCTTCCTCAGCGGATTCACCCGTCGTCTCTTCCGCCGGGAAATTCGGGGAATCGTCGCAGATAATTTCGATTGTGGTGGAGAAGGATCTGCCGAGAACCCTCTCCCTACCTCGAGCGTTTCTGCAGATTGCCAGAGAAACGGAAAATCAATCAATGAAGAAGAAAGAGTCAAAGACAGCATAGTGGCACTGTACAGTACCGAGTGAGAGCGAAGAAAATGGAGCGAGCAGCCATTGGAAGTGTTCTGGTGGTGGTCATGTCGGAATGCTGATGATTGATTCAATGCAACCGTGGGGCGGATTGTGTAATTAATGTAAAGAGAAGGGGTTAAAATAGAAATAGTTAAATCCAGCAGGGGCTGAAATTGGAAGGGGCGGATTCTATAATTAATGAGTAGAGAAAGGGGTTAAAATAGTAATAGTAAAACACAGGAGGGGCTGATATTAGGAGAGATTAAAATGTCAGAAGTGGGATTTGAACCCACGCCTTCTCACGAAGACCAGAACTTGAGTCTGGCGCCTTAGACCACTCGGCCATCCTGACTTCCATTTTTTATAGCAAAAATAAAGTATCTAATATCAATTACATACTCCGAATTTCATAAAGAAATGTCAGAAGTGGGATTTGAACCCACGCCCTCTCACGAAGACCAGAACTTGAGTCTGGCGCCTTAGACCACTCGGCCATCCTGACTTTATATTTCCTACTCCGTAACAATTAAAAATTATATCTGTAACCATTGCACGAAAAATAATTTGCAATACATCGTAACAAATTACACATGAAACAAAACAAAAGAAAGAAGAAGAAAATTATTAAAATATTATATTGATCATAGGGTGGTAATACCATAGTATGCATGGTCAATGCACAAATTAATGGACATTATATTCCTAGTTTATAAGAGATTAATTATTATATATATATATATATCAATAAGAAATGATGATCATCATCCTCACAAATTCTTCATAGCTAACAACTCCATCTACATCTGCCTCTTTGATCATCTGTTTAGCCTCCTCTTCTGTCAATCTTTCTCCCAAATTCATCATCACATTTCTTAACTGCAAATCCACACTCAAATAATTCAACATACACTTCTATTCTTCAAAAATATATTAAAGAGGTTTTTCTTAAACTAGCTAATAATAACATATCATGTCATAATTCGATACAATTTTTTGTCCTTGTGAATTTAACATTGATGTGGACTAGGTGTATAAGTATTTGGGTGTAAGTGAATCATTTGAGACAAATCTTGTGATTTACCCCCCTCTGACATAAATGGTGATGATTCAAACTTAAAAAATTTTGTGTTAATGTACAATTTTTCTTATTAAGTAGTGTCTATTCTTTAATTTATGGGGGATGTGCATTTTGGGTGATGTCCGTCTTGTGACCCTCGCTGAGAAAGGACCACACATAGCTAAATCAACCTAAGAGCAACCCCATCAATGCATAATGTGAGAATAATGTGGAAGAGAGATTAGAGAAGCAAGAAAGAGAAAAATGGAGTGCTTCTGTAAATGTGGGGAGAATTCAAAAATGTGGGACCCACCTTCAATTTTGCCCCATGCGTGGTTGTCACTATTGCGCCCAGCGGGTGCGTGCAGTGCGCCTGACAGTAATTAAAGTATTATTATTTTTTTATTTAAATTCATTTTTTTTTCCTTTTTTCACTTCCCTCCCATCTTCTCTTTCTTAATCACTCCTACATTCTCCCTCTAATATCCCCAACTGATAATGTAGTTGCTTAATATTTATTAATTGTATTGAATACACCCAGGCCTGACAGTGCATTTGGGATGATGTAAATCACGGTGACTCAATGACTCGCATAAGGGATCTGCTCACTTTGAACATAATCCACACACTGCCGCTGCCAAAATTCAAACCTTAATCTGTTCTCTTAAATACTGCCTACTGAACCACTGAGCTAAGCCTGTGCAGGGTGAATATATACCTCTTTGGCAGAGATAAATCCGTCTTGATCACGATCAAATACTTTGAATGCTTCTTTGAGCTCTTCTGATACGTTTTCCTGTTCAAAATCAAATGAAATTAAGTCCAATAGTACAATTGGTCACCATGTCATTCAAAACTGGTAATTAATTAATGTTATTTTCAAAACTCATACCTTAATCTTTCTGACCATGACATTCAAAAACTCCTGAAAATCTATGCTCCCATCTCCATTAACATCAACCTCTCTTATCATTTCTTGAATCTCTTCTTTAGTCGGATGCACATTTAAAGACTGAATTATTGTTGCTAGTTCTTCCAAAGTAATCACCCCTTCCATATCAAATATAATAGTTAGTTTTAATGCTTGAAAAATAACTTAAACATTATTAAAAATAAATAAATATTTTCTTGATGTAAGTATGTAACAGACTACAATGAAAAATCATAAAATTCCGACTACCAATAATAGTTGGAAATTTAAGGGTTTAAAAAAAAAATAAAAATTCAACCACTATTTGAACTATTTGAGGCGTCAAAAATTCTGACTATCAAATAAAAGTGGCCAGAAACTCCGACCACCATTAAAAGGTGGTGAATTTTTTTTAAACCCTACAAATAGCCTAAGTTTAGACCATCAAGCTAAGTGGTCAGCAAATTGTTCGGAATGCTTGGTTCGGATAAAAAAATCTTAGTTTTTTCACCACTTTTGAGTGGTTAAAAAATCGAATATTTTCAACAATGGTAGAGCATATATACCATCGGAATCTTTGTCGATGAGACGGAAGGCTTCCCGGAATTCGTTGATCTGTTGTTGGGACAATGCATCAGCCATGCTGTAAGCTGGAGAAAATATATGGAGAGAATAGAAGTGGGGAGTTTGGGACTGGGACTTTGGTATACTTCAAGTAGTTGTGTGGACTTGTTGAATAACCAATTTTTGCACTAGTATTTAAATGATACGTAATTGATGTTTGTGTGTGGATTATATTTTCCACAAAGTAAACAATAAGAAAATCAAAATTCAGTTAAAAAAAAAAAATTCCATTCAACATTCAAGGATGAAGCTTCGTTGGAAATCCGTGACAGTCAAGATGCAGCGGCTAATTAAATTAGTGGCGGTGATAATAGTTTAATTACACAAAGGACTCAACTTTACAGTCTTGTCAAAGAAACCAAGAATTTTCTTATTCGTTAGCGGTAAATTATGAACCATCTAAGATATTTTAACTTTTTATGATCTTTTGTAATTTTTGTATTGAGTACTTTAGAAGTATTGGCTCTTGTTGTTCATCTGCCTTTTTTTTTTTTTTTTTTCTATAATAACAATAATAATTTTTTTTTGAGAAAATGACACTTTTTCTCCCTATGTTGTTTACTAATAGCACATTTTCTCCCTGTGTTGTTTATGTAACCACTTTATCCCTCTCAATTGTTTTTGAAGTGGCTATTTTTCACCACTTCCGTTAAATAAGTGTTAGGAAGGTTAAATATGAGGATAAAAATGGCATTTCACTTATTATTATTATTATTATTATTATTATTATTATTATTATTAATGAATTTGGTTTGCAATATAACTGTGCATTTTAGACGTGGAGTACGACAGTATATTAGGGCGTTGGGTGAGACTTATTATTATTATTATTATTATTATTATTATTATTATTAATGAATTTGGTTTGCAATATAATTGTCCAATTTAGGCGTGGAGTATTGCAGTATATTAGGGCATTGGGTGGGGTCGTCCATTAATAATAATAATAATAATAATAATAATAATAATAATAATAATAAAATTAGAAGTGAAATGTCATTTTTATCTTCATATTTAACAATCCTAATACTTACTTAACGGAAAGGGGGGAAAATAGCCCCTTCAAAAATAATTGAGAGGGATAAAGTGGTTACATAAACAACACAGGAGAAAAAATGTACTATTAGTAAACAACACAGGGAAAAAAGTGTCATTTTCCTTTTTTTTTTTTTTTTTTATTTCACTCATCATCATCATAACAAATAAATAAATAAATAAATAAATATAAAAATAATTTAAGAGTTACTCCGTAATAAATTAACAAAATATATTTATGTCATGATAGGTAATTTTTCATACAACACGGCTTATCAATTAACTATTAGCTATCAGCTATTTGTTAAACATTTTATTATCTTCGTAACATTTTTTAAAATTTTTTTGAGTTATTCCAGTATAAAAAGGCATTATTGGTTTCCCATGGTTGTTGCTTAGTCCTAATAATTATTTCTAACCTTCCGTTGATTGATAATCACTTATTACTTCAAGTGGTTGCTGGAATCGTTGAACAACTCAACAATTGATTATCTACCATGTCCTTTTTGTTGGTTTACATTTTTTTAATTTATCTTTTGTTCATATTACCTTTTAGATATTGGTGAAGAACTTCTACAATGTCCTAATGCCATTACAAAATTTTAAAAGAAAAGAATGTTCCATAGTTTATATGAAATTTTATTTTTGTAATTATAATATTTATGTATATAATGTTTTTTGAAAGACGAGAAAAATAAAAGTGTACATATAAATTTGGTTATTGTATAATAACGAATAATATTAGGATCAAATTTGATTAAGAGGGTAATCTAGATAATATACTTGGGAAAAACAGTGTTGTATGATAAGAAACAATGCAATACGAATGAAGAACATGAAATCAAACTCCAACAATGTTACTGTTGAAGAAGGATTATGGATTAACATTTGTTGTTTCTTAATAATTACAGGATATCATGTGTGCTCCGAAGACAGAAATGGCTGATCTCCACTTTTGGTATCAGCCTCCATTTCTGTCTTATTACATGGAGGATTCATCCCATTTCACTACATTACATGAAGCTATTTCATTTCAAGCTGGAATTTTGCATCCCCTCAACTTCAACGAGGAAGAATGCCACTCGGCCGTCTGTTGTACCGGGACGAGAATACCTTTCCGCCGCACGACAGCGATCTCTTCATCAACCCAGGCATTAAAGAAGAAGACGAAGAAGATGATGAAGAAGATGAAGAAGATGATGAAGTGCCCTTTTGTCTCTCTACCTTCTTCTGAGTATTAGATTTAGAGCCTGCAGATTCATCTGCAAAAGCTTTAAGCACTGCAGCACTAACCATCAAAGCAGAAACAGAGTCCAGTGAAAATGATCTTTTGATTCCGATTTGAGCTTCGTTTTCTTCTTCTGTTGCATTATCTGCCCTGATTTCTTCTCTCTCTATCTCTGCAGTTTCAATATGTTCTTCAATCTCAATCTGTTCTGCGTCTTGGGTTTCGGGTTCTTGAACTGGAACTGAACTCTGCAAACTCTGCTCCGTCGCCGCCACGGCCACTTCCACGGCCGTGTTAGAGACGATTCCGGCACGGCAGAGGGGGCAATTGGTGTGGGATCTTAGCCAAGTATCAATACACGGTATATGAAAGGCGTGGTTGCATTTGGGCAATAGCCGGAGAGTTTCGTCTTCTTGAAACTCATTCAAGCAGACAGCGCACTCTGTTCCTTCTACCAATCCTTCGCCGCTCTTGTACTTGCAGACGGCGATGGCGTTGATGACGGAGGACTGGAGGCCGACGGTTCGGATATACCAGATAGGATGGTCCACCGTAAGCCCGTGATCGTCATCCACGAAATCCCCGAACCTCTCGTCGCCGCCGTCTTCTTCTTCTGATCTCCCTGGGCCGCCGCCGGCCCTCCAATTCCGGTAGAGCTTGAGGACGGTGTAGAAGGAAAAGAGGAAGAAGGAGGTGGCGAGTATGGAGAGGAAGACTGTGAGGAAGAGAGACGCGCGGAAGTGATTCACCGGACGGGAATTTAAGTCGGCGAAATCTGGCGGCGGCGGCGGCGGTGGATCTTGAGGCAACAGAAACGTCGATTTGCAATTCACGAAGCAGAAAGGTAGACACGGGAGCGGGCAAAGGCCTTTTGGGTTCGTTTTTGGATCACAAAAGTGAGTACAGTTGATGGCGATAATCTGGACGGAGTCATTCAGCAGCAGCTTCCTTCGCCGGAAAACCATTTCTCCACCTGATCATCAGAAACCGGCGGCGGCGAAGATTGGGCGTTTCTTCTTTGTTGATGGAGATCGGAGCTATGAGATTTGTTCCGATTGTTCCTTGTTGACTCGTAAATCGGTCCCCAATTCTCTGGGCGGCTAATATAGTAGCGGGGACTGACCGCCACTCGTCAAACCCACCCTAACGCTCATTCCCCCGACAAGATTAACAAACGTTAATGCAGGGCAAATATAAATTAGAAAAAAATAGCGTTTTTGATACTCCAAATATAGATGTAAAGTAGACTCTATAGCCTATAGGGGTATAACAGACTTAATAATCCTAATCAAATTAGTTAAATACTTATCACAAGTTTCAAATTTGCCACTTATTAGATCAATACGTTGATACTCACATACACATTTTTTTTAAATACTATTTTTTCAAAAGGCTGAACTCCAGCCTTAAAGGCCCCCCACACTCCCTCACACTCCGATCCGACAGAGCATTTGGGAAGATGTGCTAGACCGGTGCTCACTGTGTTCAAGGGACCCCCCTCACTTTGAGAGGTAGCTCCCACACTGCCGCTGGTAAGACTCGATCCCTGGTCATTCTTCCAAAGTATATATTCTATACTTTCTCTAAGTATCGAGATTTGATCATGTGACCTTCTCTCAAAGGGAGTTACAGAGGTGTCATCTGAGCACAAGGTACTTAGCACCCGTGTTAATTCATATATTTCATAATTTGACAAATTTAAAATTTTGTAAAATTATAAAATACTCAAACGTGACAACAATATGAAAATTTGCATTTGTGATAAATGCAAAATGAATTTAAGGCTAAGGTACTGTCATGACTGTATGCCACTGCGGAGGAGAGTAATTGCTAATTGGCATGGTGAAGTTGTAGGTAGAAGAGGCAAATTAGTCAAAGGGAAAACAGGTACAAATTGATGAGCACCACGTACTCAAATGTGTAGCGTTTTGCGTCAAAATCAAAACATTTACTAGACTTGCAGGAATGGATATATATTGAATTGCTTTCCTTAATTATCTCACGTCTAAACGGTTGGTCGTTAGTTGATAGACCAGAATTAATTACCTTATGCCACAATTAATCTCTCGTTGAATCCATATTAAAATTTTAAAAAAATTATCCTGTTATATATTACGGGAGAGCAAAAATATTTTTTTTTTTGGAGAAAAACGTTAAGTTTGTACGAGATATTGTGAGAACAATGTTCCCACACAATACTCGATACAGACAGAAAGTCTTTCTCATTGAATTTACAGTTTTATCGAATGCAGAAAATATCAATGTTGATTAATGTTTTAAGATTTTTTTCAAAATTGTAAAGGTATAATGTGTAAACGCCTTCAACTACTTTAATTACAAATTAAATTAAGGTTATTCTAGGAAAATTTTGCCGATAAAATCTTATATATTGATTAGAATTACAAGCTAGCTAAGAAAGTTATTTAATTTACTTGTAAGGTTGCATGTACGTTAGTCCTTAGCTTATAATTACTTGTGTGGCATCCTAATAAGTGTAATGTTCAATGGGAAAATGACTGTGAAATATCAGTATTAAATTAATTAATGGACTAAATAATACGTTCCAACCACCTTTCATTATCTCATGTCTACCTCTTTCATTAATGAAAGTTGATAGTAGAGTTAACGGGTTTATGAAATTGAAAACTTTTCGATCTCCCAAAAACCCAAGTGCCCCCACACCCCGCTTCGATAGAGCATTTGGAAGGATGTAAATCACGATGACTCAATGACTCAGCAGCTAAAGCTAAATACTAGTACGCACAAGGAATCTACACACTTTAGGCATAATTCTCGCACGGCCACCGCCAAGGTTCGAACCTTGACCTTTTCTCCGAAATACTATTTATTGAACCATTAAGTTAAGCCCGCGTGGAGTGAAATTGAAAACTATAGCTAGCTTGAATGAAGCCTAACAACTTAAATGTTTTTTTCCTAAATAAAATTACTAATACAGTAATAGGTTATGATAGGGATATACCCTAGTGAAGGCAGCATTACACCCAAGACTAGATGGTACCCGAACCCTAGGTCCTTGTGATCCCCAACCGACCTAATCGACCGAGTGGACGGCCCCCGACCGTCTCTCCTGGGCAGCCTGGCCATGGGTCCAGCTCTTAGAGTCAGCCAGCCGGCTTGAGCAGACCGACAACCTCTCGGGCTCGGCCTCGACCTCCATGCCCTCGGGTCCGTGCCCCGAGTAATTCTAGAGAGGTAATATTGTGTCTTGTCTTATTATTACGAAGTCTGTTCTAAATGCATTTATATAGAGTATGAGGCAAGTATAAAGTATGATGAAAGTATGATCCCTATAAGATATATAGGATCTTTTTTTGAAAGGAAGATATATAGGATCTTGATTCTAAAGAAAAGATTAATTCAACAATAAGGTTATTAAAATAATAAATAGATCAAAATTATGATGGTCCAATATAAAGAAGATCATTAGTACTATACAGTTTTGATTCATAAATTATATTGTGAATCAGAATCCACCATGTGCATTGCAGTCTTGTAGACATTGATTCAAATTATGTATATGTATATACCGTTAACAAATTAAGAATGTAATTGAAGGTATATAATCTGTTAACACAAAATACATAATATGTTAACATGTTGTATACATCTAATTGGATTAAGACCATCCATGATATAATGATTGATTTTAATTTGATCAGACCTTATTAAAAAATAACTACATTAAGAGAGTTGTGCTACTCAAATCTCTTTTACTTGAGTTAAGATGTTAGGTCAAAGCAAATAAGCAATTAGCTAATATTGTCTTGATATAATAAGAATGCTTGGGTGTAAATTAATATCATAAAAAAATAGCAATTCGTTGACTATGAAAATATATAATTATTGATTGGACCGTATACTTAATTTAACAATTTGCAACTGGCATCGCATGCCTATTACTATAATACAATAATAAATTAAAGTCGGCCAATATGCGATCAAAAGAGATTGATTCAAATGGAAAGAATTTGAGTTTATCAAGTCCCCAATATTAATGCGTTATTTTTAAAAAAAAAAGTAATATAATGTAAATAATTTATTTGAATGAGAAGAGAAATTTGTTTGGATAATATATATATCTTATTAATTTTATTTTTGTATAATAATTTATAAATTATACGAAAAAGTAAATCATGTTAAGAAGAGCTTATGTGATGAATTTTAATTTTTTTGAAAGTTATTGACTCTATTATATTGTAGTATCTGTTCATCTATATTTTCTCAACTTGTTAAAGTACAAAGAGTTAATCTCATTTCCACTGAGGCTCGATCTCATAACCTCACATATGGGAGAGCCTCTGTGATGAGTTTGTTTGATTAAATTTTGTTTTTGTGATATAACAAATATGATCTATTCGCCCAATCACACTTCTTCTTCTAAAAGGGTCGAATCCCTAATTTCAAAGGCTTCACGTTCCAAACTGATTGAGTATTTGGGATGATGATATAAATCACTGTGACTTAATGATATAAAAGATATGTCCATTTTAGACATAATTTTCAAACGGTCATTGTTATCGTATAAACCTTGGAATCAATGAGCTAAATCAGTGTGAGCACCCATTACACTTTAAGGGCTCCATGCCCCAATCCGACATAACATATAGAAAGATGTAAATTATGATAATTTAGTTGAACTATACAAACTAAACCTTAATTTGTTGACAGGCTAGACTCAATATAATCCTTAGTCATTCTTCTCAAACTTCATGTGGATAATCTTGAATTCGTACATGCATGGTGGTGGCAACTGGGTTTTGTTTGCCATGATCGTGGGTGTCTTTGATAGCCTCCACGATTATCGTCTACGTTGAATTTCTACAAGGTTAGGTGGATGGAATGTGAATTTTACATGTGCATGCGTAGCTGCTAACGTCGTTGTTGATATATATTAAAATCAAAATATATAATGTGAAAGGAATCAAAGGATATGGTCGATTATCATGCTTTAATTCATATATCCCTTGCCTTATCTTCATCACAAAATTCTTTGCCATGGCCGAAATCCACACCCGCTTGCTGACGGAAAAGTTGATAAAACCATCAACTCCGACGCCGGCGAATCTCAACCGCATCACCCTCTCCCTCTTAGATCACCTCTCTCCTTCAACATACATAAACATCATCTTCTACTACAACCCCATCATCAATCACCCAACACCGCCACACGACCACCAAACACGTCTCCACCTCCAAAAATCACTCTCCGACGCCTTAACCGCGTTCTATCCGCTCGCCGGAAGATATGACAGAGACGACGGTTCAATCAAGTGCGACGACCAAGGAGTTGGGTACGCGGAAGTGGAGGTGGAGGGGTGCAGGATGGTTGACTTTCTCGATGATCTTCACTGTCAAAATCTTAATCGGCTTTTGCCTCATCTGGACGGCGGTGGTGATTCCGGGAATAGTAGTACTCCGTTGGTGGTGATCCAGGTTAACTTGTTCAAGTGCGGCGGGGCGGCGATTGGGGTTTGTGTTTGGCATAAGATTGCGGATACTCATACCACAATCCAGTTTATAAATGCATGGGCGGCTAAAGCAGCTAGCGATTTACAGATCGCCGGAGACGATGATGGTGATTGTAAAGTGGAGCTGCAACGGTTGACTTTCAACGGGGGTTCTTTCTTCCCTTTAAAGAATTTTCCGGTGGAAATGCCGCCGCTCGGGCATGACATGAAAGTTGTGACGAGAAGATTTGTTTTAAATGGGCGGAAGGTATCGTCTTTGAGAACCGAGTTCAAGGAATATTATTCCAAGGTGAATGGCGGCGCGAGTGTGAGAACACTGCCGTCGCGAGTGACTCTCGTGACGGCGGTTTTCTGGAAGGCGTTGATCGGCACGGCGGCGGCGAGTCGGCACACGCGCTTGAGACCTTCCCTCTTATCTCCGGCAATGAATCTCCGCGGGAGAACATCTTCTTTTCCCGCCATCTCCAACGACTCTTACGGAAACTTCTGGACTCCATTCGTAGCTCATTTCAATCCCAAAAATTCCAACGAGGATGATAGAGCCACGCTTTCATGGCAGGATCTGGTGGGTCCCATCACGGACGCCATGCAAACCATGCTCGACCTTGTTCAGCACGGGAGCGGCGATGAGATCTCTCGGGCGGCCATTAAAGCGTTCCAGGAGGTGCAGGAAACCATGGCGGGCGGCGGGCATGGAGAAGAAGAAGAAGTGGACGCCTTCATTTGCTCCAGCTGGTGCAGATTTCCACTGTACGAGGCGGATTTCCGGTGGGGAAAGCCGGCATGCGTCAGCTCCGATAATCGCTTTGAAATGTTCATTTTGATGGATAGCAGCGATGGTGATGAGGGCATAGACGTTTGGGTGTACATGGATCAACCCAAAATGCAACTACTTGAACAAGATCCTCATATTATAGCCTTCACTTCCACTTAATAATTCTCCCCTATATATATACATCTCCCTGTATTTTTAATGAAATTACAGTGTATCTAAAATAAAACTGAATAACTTGTCTCAGTTATTCTCCTAAAAACAGCCAGTTATGCTATTGGTTTTTGCAAAAATTGGTGCAACGCCAATAGGGGATTCTGCGCCTCCATTTTAACACTCTTTTTATTTATTTATTTTTCTTCATTTATTATTCCTTTGATCTGACCTATTAGTTATATTTGGGTCTATTATTTTATTCTTTCCTCAAGTCTATTATTTTATTCTTTCCTTTATTTTAGTTTCTTTATATTAGTATAGGCTAATCTCGAAGGACTGAGTATGTGTTATGGTCACTTTTGGACCATCAATTGTAAGACATTTTAATTCCTTTGTTAAAAAAAAAAAAAAAAAAAAAAAACTCGGTCATTCCCAGAAATTTAAAAAATAATAATAAAAAATAACCTGTCTCACATTTTGTATTCATATTATCAAATGAAATTGTAATTGAATTAAAATAATACTTTAGTTGTGTTGATATAAAACTACAGTATGTATATAGTATATTGTCAATAGTTGAATAGAAAGTTATAGAAGATGAGCATTGAATGCATAAATATTTATAGAAGATGAGCATTAAGTGCATAAACATTCTTTTTCAAATCTATATTTAAAGAACATCTTTTTGTAAAAAAGCTACAAGCATTATTGTTGAATATGACATTTTTTGTTGGACATTTCAATAGGATAAAGATGACCATTTGTACTGAAAAAAGGGAAAAAGAATGACAAGTTATCCCCCCCCAGCAAGGATTAAAAGTGGGATTCCAAACAAATGTGAATAAATGAAATCTAGGGGGGTGAAGAATTCTGCTCTCCCTAATCCAATTCAAGAATATGAATGATGATACCAAGCAAGCTTAAGAGAGTAAGCCACATCTGTTATAGTTTGATTGCTTCAAAGTTATGAGGACTCAGTTAAAGCAGAGGTTTCACTGCCATTGTTGCTCTTGCTGCTGCTGCTTATAATATTGTTGAAGTTCATGCCATAAATATGACCCATTTTCGCACGCTTTGTTTCCAGGTATTTCTTGTTGTCTTTTGTAATTGGAGTGAGGAGAGCAACCCTGCCTGCAACTGCAAGACCATAGCCTTTCAAACCGCTGTATTTTGCAGGGTTGTTTGTCATCAACTTCATAGTTCTCACTCCAAGATCCCTTAGTATCTGCATAAATAAAACAACTCGGTTTTAGTCTCCAAGATTCCAAAAGGATTGCACCACAATCCCGAGACTCCCCGCTTGCCCCTACCCCAGAGCCTTGGCAGAGGGGGTAAATCGCGGGATGTGTTTCAACTGGTTACAGGTTTTTCAAAACCAATTCCAATTTCCATATCTCCCCTTGTAGGAATCAAATTGGCTATCGAACTTTGTCAATAAGAAAAAAAATGATGGGGAAGAATGGGAGAGAGTACCTGTGCACCAATTCCATACTCTCTCGAATCGACTGGTAAACTGAGTTCCTCGTTGGCTTCAACAGTGTCACGCCCTGCATCCTGCAGGTTGTAAGCGCGGAGTTTGTGGCCCAAACCAATGCCTCTTCCTTCATGACCGCGGAGGTAAACTAAAACGCCCCTACCAGCAGCTTCGATTTGTTGCATAGAAAGTGACAATTGGGTACCACAATCACATCTGGCCGAGCCAAATATGTCTCCTGTAAGGCATTCAGAGTGCACCCGAACAAGAACATCTTGCCCATCCCCAATCTCACCCTACTTCCAAGAAAGTTCACCGCAGATGAGTCAATACACAACAGAAATCTGTCTATAGCTCAATACTATCAGATATTTGATCTGCAGTAATAGTTCTAACATGGCCAGAGCAAACTTCATTTGCAGTAAATATAAAATTCGTCCCAAAGTTCTCACCTTTACCATCGCAATATGTTCTATCCCGTCTAAGATTGATCTGTAACAGTGGGCAGTGAAAGGGCCCCACATGGTAGGTATCCTTGCAGCAGAAGCGTGTTCCACCAACTGGTCTCTCTTCCTCCTATATCTGTAAATAGAGATCGTTATCAGAAAGGTTATTGGCATGATTATAAGATACCAGTCACAATTAGGAATGATATGAAGAAATATGTTAAGAATACCTGATTAAATCGTCAATTGATATAATCTTTATGCCATTTTCCTGTGCAAATTGTCGAAGCTTAGGTAGTCTAGCCATGGAACCATCATCATCCACAACTTCACATAGAACGCCAACTGGGTCCAAACCAGCTAGCATGGCAAGATCAACCGATGCTTCAGTATGACCAGCTCTTTTTAGAACCCCTCCATTACGGTACTTTAGAGGAAATATATGCCCAGGTCGGTTGAAATCCTCTGGCTTAGAATCTTTGGATGCAAGAGCCAATATCGTTGTTGCCCTGTCACTAGCTGATACACCGGTTGTCGTTCCATTTTTTGCATCCTACAGAGTTGGATTATTAAAATACATAAAGGAAGCATTACGTTGAAAGAAAGATGAAGACAGCGGCCCTGTTTGGTAAATGACTGTTAGCTGATTGTGTTAATTAGAGGGTATAACTAGTTGATTACATTAGCTGTTGTAGAAAAGTGTTTGGTAAATTAGCTGTTAGTTGATAGCTGTTTGGTATAATTTCTTTTCTGAAAAAGCTAATTGAAAAAGTTGCTTGGAGTAGCTTTTTGAATTTTAGCATTTTGGAGTTGCAAAAAGCTAATTAACCAAACACTTATATTGATATTTTAACTAAATCAAACAATTAATAGTGATCAAATAAGCCAAAATTGGCCTATAGGCCAATTTTTTACCAAACAGGAGCATCTAGTCTGCTTACCACTGAAATTGTGAACGCAGTGCAAAGTTTCTCCTCGTTATCCTTGTGATTTACCATTAAAGGAATCCGTAACCTCTCCAAGTCTTCCTCTACCATACTCACACAAACGATTCCAGTGCCATGCTTCACGATAAAAGCCATGGCTTCCGGTGTAACTTTTGATGCAGCCATTATTAGGTCTCCTTCATTTTCTCGGTCTTCATCATCCACAACCAACACCATCTGCACGAGGAGGAAAACAATAAGCAACAGAAAGCAATGTCTCGCAAAAAGGGCACATTAAGAAACCCACCTTTCCCTGACGAATATCTTCAATGGCCTCGGGGATGGATGAGAATGCCTTTGTGGGGTGGTCCAAATCGAAGTCATCAATCTCAGCAGGGAAGCCACTCGGTGTAGCAATGATGTCTGCCACAAGCGTTCCAAAAGAAACTTCATCAGGTTGTGTCTCGACTCCAACTGACAAGCCACTAACGACCGAACTTTTTCCCACAACATTAGCACCATTGGTATGAGAAAGTAAATCTCCTTCACCAGACAGGAATGCAGATCTGATTATACTATCCCTCTTGATACTGAGACGAGATATACCATTCAGTTGAATCAAAGAGTTTCGAGGAGCCCCATTGGACAATTTGAAGGCCTTGGAAGCTCTATAAAACATGTAGAAAATCAGGTGGGCATCACAACACAGTACCCAAGTACAGAATAACTGGGGCACCATGCAAATTCAAACTCCAACAGGGAACCATAAAATTCATAAAACACATTATAAGTGCATAATAATAAACTAATAGCACCATGAATCACAGAGCCCAGCAGACAAAAAGTTCATTCAATTTTAAACAGAACAGATATAATCAATATATTCCATTCATATGATCATATCCATCATTTCAACCCAGATGCATGAAGAAAGATGGAAGTATTATGGATCAGAAATCAGTATTTACCAGAAAATCAAACCAAATTCTATTTGAAGAAATATAAACAACTAAAGCTGAGATTTTTCCCTTCCAAAATTATTCTTTGTGTCAGTTCAGAACAGGGATTTCATATATTTGGAAACTAATCGAATCCTTTTTCCCTGTGCCAACTTTTGCATCATACGATCCGCATGATAAAAGCAGCACTTGAATCAAAGAACATTGCCATACAACAAGCAGAATATACAGTCCAGAGAGAGATAAAGTTACACTCGCAATAAAGGAAGAAACATTGCTATTCATTAGAACTAACATAACATTCGGCTCATACTACAATACAACATCGATGGACAAAGATTGATGCGATACAAGGCAAAGTGAATTGAAACCCAAGAGAAGAAACGGAAAGGAAAAGCTTACTGGGAGAGAGAAAGAGCTGTTGATGAAGGGCAAGAAAGGTTAATAGAAGCCATGGACAGAGTCACAGAGAAAGCTTGGAGATTCCCAAATGGCTCAATCCGAGACCGAAAAAGAAGAGAAAAATCTTGGCACAGAAGGAAGAAAAAACGGGCTTGGTCTCTGAGTTTTATAGGGTAAGAACTGGGGAAGGAAGGGTCAGCGAAATTATGGACGAATTTAGAAACAACTAGTCTAAGTCGACTGGACAGTGGAAAGGTAATAAAGCTAAAATGGTGGGTCTCTCTCAGACAGCACGGTGAGATAGCCCATTTCACTGCCAAATGAGTTTATATAGGATTTGATTAGAACAGCCAATATGTTATATGCGCATTACCAAATTTGATGTCTGATTGTGAGCCATCCATCTGGGAATTGGGATTGTGGCGGGGACACAAAATAAATCGAAATTAAACTCAGATTTCGTCTCGATCCGTTCCACCAAAGAGTTTTCCGAGTTCTGGCGTCCAAATTTGACCAACCTGGATTTCGTCTATTCGTCCCTTCCCGCTTCCCTTCCCTTTCCTCGCGATGTCCTAATCAACTACGGACTATTCTTTTACAGGTCAAAATAATACTCCGTAAAAATCAATGAAAACAGGGAGAATAACAAATTAGTTACTTCCTTCCATTTTATGAATGAGCTAATACTATCTGAGGTACTGTCCTAAACTTTTAAATTAACTATATGTAGTTCTTGGATTTTTAAATTTAAATCCAAGTTAACCACTCATGACCTTTCAAGTTTCGAAATTTAACTTCTTTTGAAAGGATCATGGTTGGTTAATAGTTGAAGGACTATGTGCGATTAATTTGGACTACGAATGGTTAAATTTGAAAGTCGAAGGACCACGGTCAATTTAAAAATTTAGAACTAAACGTGACAAAATCACTATACTCGAAGGATCTCATGTGGCATTATTATCTCTTTATGAAATTGAATAGATATGATTCTGGTATAAAATGTTATGAGTTTGATTATTGTCAACATTCTTTCGGTAGAATTCGTTACACAAGGCTATTACATATTTACATATAAGTGGGACTAAATTATATACTCAATTACATAGACTCTAAACGGATAATTGAACACTTAGACTCCACATTTATATTTATATTATACGTGCTTACTCTGAATCATTTTAATATTAAAAAAAAAAGATTTTATATTTAATATCCATTCAATGAAAATATTTTGTAGTCTTGTACTTAAATTTGCATATATTTCATTATTTATTATGAAATCAATCAATCAATGCATTAATATAGGGAAAATGACACTTTTTCCCCCTGAGTTATATACTTATAGCACTTTTTTCCCTTGAATTATTCATGTAAGCACATTAGCCCCCTCAATTATTTTAAAAGTGACGGTTTTTCCCCCTAATATATTTTATTGACATTTCTACCCTTAAAGTAAATATTTTATTTATTTTTCCTTTTCAATAAATTATTGCGTATACATAGGGATGACCACGGTTCGATTCGAATTGAATCAGACACTATAGCAATCGAATTAAAAGTTTCCGGTTATGATTCAGATCCAGAACCCAATATTTTAATTTCAATTCATTAAAATTATGAATCGAAAAAACTGGATCCTGAACCGTGAACCGGCGGTTCTAGATCCGGTTAGCGATTTTGAACCGTCTTTATTTTTAAAATTTTAATTTTTTATTTTAAAATAGTCTAAATTCAACAATAAATGTATTTTATTTTTTTCAGTTTGGACCATGAACCGGCCGTCCCGGTTCACAATTTTAATAAAATCTAAATATCGGGTTTCGATTCTAAATTGTAATTAGAATATTTCGGTTTGATTTATATAGTGTCTGTTTGGTTTGAACCAACTTGTGGTCATAATTTGTTAGAGAAAAAAAATAAATGAAATATTTATTTTAAGGGTAAATATGTCCATTTAACATTTCAGGGGGGAAAAACAGTCACTTGAATAATTCAGGGGGGAAAAGTGCTATATGTATATAACTTAGGGGGAAAAAGTGCCATTTTCCCCATTAATATATATCCACATATGGTGTATTATATACTCAATATATTCTACAAATAATAATAATAATGTAACGCACACGTTTTCACCTTTTTGAAATGCTGTTTTTTTTTTTTTTTTTTTTTTTTTTTTGGTAATGAAATGCTGTATTTATCTTCCATCTTATTCATAAAAATAACGTAACGTTCTTGAATTGATATAGCTCCACTTTATCACGTTGCCGCGTCCAAAAATGGGGATTCTTCAGCAATGGAATGGAGCCGTTTCCTTTGTATATTTTGATGGTTGGATGTTATCTTAATTGACCTCTTTTGTTTTGAGACGTACCATTTTTTGCTACAAATATTCTTTTCTATTATTTGGCCAAGAATGGTATGCATAATGCAATATATGATAGTGACTTTTATCATATAGAACTACTTGAGCAGGACACCTCTTAAAATTAATAATTTGTAAACTTTTACTCTATCACAAAATTTTAATGTTACATTTTCTTTAGAGCTCACATGATGAAAATAAGTATTATTTATTTTTTGTCACGTCATTGAATAAAAGTGGGGAAGTAAAAATAGAGAATACATGTACTAAAACTCTTTATAATAATTGTTTGTGTACTTTAAATTATTAAAATACTTGTGGAGTTGTGGTTACCATTTTTCTTTCTTTCTCTAATTGACTGACTACTCAAACATAGATACAAGTGATTAATAACAACAATCCACCTTACCTTCTTGGTAAAGAACAGCCATTCAAATGACGAATTAAAAAAATTATATTAAAAAAAAGAAATGCAGGGCTGCTGTTGCCGCCCCAGGGTTGACTTAATCGTCATTAAAATAATAATAATAGTAATTTAGTCGTTTTCCTGTTGCACACACATTACAACATGCCCTTCGATAAATGATGCATATGATGTGTTTCTCCGTTTTGCACACACATTACAACATGCCCATAATGCATATGATGTGTTTCTCTTTTACCGGAACCCATGACGGGTATTTCTATTTTTCAATCATTTGAGTTGTTATACCATAGACCAGGGTCCACCTTGCAAGATGAATCCTGATCCTAAACGACGTGTATTTTTAGTATTAGAATTGTGAACATTTAGACCCAAGTCAACCATGCAAGGTGGACCTAATTTGCGCAATTATCTGAACCCATCCTATTAGGGTTCAAAGAGTAGGGTCAGGTACCCAAAATACCTGAATCATTGCCACTCTTAATTGTAGATGTTTTGGAACTGCAGATTGTATTGCATGAGAACGTCAATGCAATCAAACAGAATATCATTCTTTCTAGCTTTAATAGTCCCAACTAAAGAAACCATCAATAAACTGCAAAAGAATATGTTCATTTTATAAATGTCAACTCTCTGATTCTCTCCTCCAAAAATTGAATTTCATCATATCCATCAGAGTGCCAAGAAAAATATTAGCTGTAAATTATTTCTGAAAATGGGAATGCCTCGCCAACTTTTTCACTAGTATGTGAAAGACTTGCTGTTGCTAGCAGCTATCTATGACAAAGCGGGGAGAAGGAATTTGCGGGGAAAATTCTACTTACATGGCCTGCCTGCATGAATTTAACTCAGTATAGCCCCAGGAACTTCCACCAGAAAGTGCCAACAACTCCCCAAATTAATGCATTGATGACAGCCATTATAAATCCAAATTTGAACACATCCGGGAGATCTACATACCCAGCTGTTTGTAAAAAAGCAAATGAACACGTGTCAGACCATATAAAATTGAAAAGAGAGGGAGAAGGGAAGTGGGGTTAAGGGTAATGGAAAAACAATACTCCATGAATGAAAAGGGAATCGATAATTGTACCTCCAAAGTAAACAGCAGCTTGACCACTGCTATAATGTGTCAAAGCACCAAACAGGTTAGTATTATACGCCAAACCCAATGCTGCTAAAACACCAGGCACTCCAGAGGCTAAATTCATAGCAAGGAATGCGGAGTATAATGCTCCCACGTGGCCAGTTTGGCTTGCAAATAGGTAGTGGATACAGAAGTAAGATGCTTGAAGTATGAGAAACGCAGCTGGCCAGCTCAATGATAAACATTGAAGAGACTTCGCTACACAGTTAGACATCCAACTAACAATTCCAAGGTTAGTCAACTGGCTTGCCATGCCCACTAGAACTGCAAACCATGCCAGAGTATCCCAAGCGGATTTTTCACTTAAGCAGTCATCCCAATCAAGCACTCCTAACAACAAGAGAATCGATAACCCAAGCATGGCAGCAACAACACTTGCGATGCCAAGTGCATCCCTGAGAATATAGAAAGCATCAGTGTTTTGGTTTTGAAGGTCCTTGTATTGAAATAAATATATATCTAACAACTTAAACTGTCAAAAATTTGATCTTCTTTTGCATAGACAAAAAATTAAAATATTTTCATGAAAAAAAAAGTCTGAACATACCCAAAAACCCACAAGGAGACAGCAAGAAGCATTGTTCCAATCATTGTCCATTCATTTCTGGTAACAGGACCCATAAGTTCCAATTTTTTTGCAGCCATTGCAGGGGCTTCAGGTGTATCTTTAGTTTCAGGAGGATATAACTTATACAAAATAAATGGAGTAGCCAGGAGAGCAACAAATGCAGGCAAACTAGCAGCCTTGAACCAAGAAACCCATGGGGATGAAACTACCACCCCAAGCTCCTCAGCTAGTTTGAGGCAGAGTAAGTTTTGCGCTGCAGCAGTCAAGAAAAGAGCGCTGGAGTTACCAGCAGACTGCCACGATCACATAAAGAGAGTATGAAATAGAGCTTCAATAAGGCATTATTATTGCACATAAAACAATATACACACATTCTTGAGATTGAAATTAATGCTACATGATAAATTTATTAAAAAAAAAATGTATTGCAATACATAAACCAGAACTGAAATTTGGCAATAGTGGGACTAATATTTCTACAATTCTCAACAAGTTTATTTGAACATACAGTTGGTTGTTTGCTTATAAACAAGATTTGTCTCCCAGTAAAGATGGAAGGTGATGCATCAATAGTAACAGCTGAGTAAGCCAAGATTTCTCTCATCAGAAGCCTAATCAATGGGATGCAGGAATGCACAATCAAACTATATCTAACTCCAACCCTACCAATTGGTCCTTTTAGTTAGTAGCAAGTATGAAATTCGTGCATTTCTAAGAACTTTTGCAATGTAGTATGGAATAGTCATAAAACCAACATCATAATTCAGCAATAAACAGTAACTTTAAAGTGTGAAAAGAAATCAAACATTAGGCATTAGAGCAAACCTGAAACTGAGACTGGATCAAGTAAGATCCGAGCTTCTTCGCGGAAGGATCACCTGGCTTACTCCCTGAGGATAGTGAGAGAGACTTAATAATAGGCAAGAAAACCCCACCAGCCCTGGCCGTGGTGCTGGGCATTGCGGGAGCAATCAAGGCCTCGCTAAGAGTCAATCCATAGGACAATCCGAGAGTGCTCTTCCCCAACCACTTCACGAAGTAAGTAGCAATCCGATCACCCAATCCAGTCTTCACGAATCCACGAGCAAAGAAGAAAGAAATCACTATAAGCCAGATCACTTCATTGGTGAATGCTCCAAAAGCAGCAGAGAAAGGTAATGTTTTAGTTAAAACTGAGGCTGTAAGCCCCAGGAAAGCCCAAGCTCCGACCGGCAAAGGGCTGAGAACAAGGCCGGCGATGGTGGAGAGGAAGATGGCGAGCAATTGCCATGCCTGGGGAGAAACCTCGGGAGGTTTGGGGATGGCAAAGCGGACAAGAAGCCCAATAGCGACGGAGATTATCAAAGGAATGGGCTTCGCACCTTGGGGTTTGGGAGTGAGCTGGGGGGTGGCAGTAGAGATCTTATCGCTGGCGGAGGAAGCTCGGGTAATGAGTGGCGTAGGTTTCGAGATGGGTTTGGAAAGCGGGTTGAAGAGGAAAAGTTTGGAATTCAGAAGCGAGAATTTGGGCGAGGAGATGGGGCGGAGAGCGAGAGTTGCAGTGACGGGGGAAATGGAGGTGCGTGATCGGAGGCGGGGGAAGGAGCGGTTAGAGAAGGAAGTTGTGGCGGAGGTGGCCGACGATGGAGAGTAGAGTGCCAAACTCGCCATTTTTCTTTCTGTTGTGGAGATAGAAGTGAAGGAAGAGCGGTGGGTTTTATTCGGCAAAAAGGCGGAAACTACAAACACCACAAGTCCACAAACCGTCGTTTTGTTCGTTCAGCGGCTACTTGTGTAGCTCTGCATATTTGGCCCTTTTTTTTTTTTTTCTTTTTATATCTATACATAAAAGAAAAAATGAAAATTTTCATCTCTAGTTATAATTGTTGGCACATCCGGTTTCAAGATTGACACGGAAGAGGCAAATTATTCCGTGGAGCTGGGTCTACTTTTGCAAGGTAAATCAGGGTACAAATGTTCACAATTTATATATTACATGTTCACAATTTACTTTTTAAAAATTTACAATTTGTATACTACGAGCAAACAATGTTAACATATATGTAATTGATTATCTTGTTTTGTATTCACAAGTTCCTTTCAAATAATGCATTCACACAATATTAATAGTTTGTATTCACAAATTTCATTCTACAAATGTTATGTGTTTTGACTTAAAAACACAATTTATATTATAGAAGTTCACAATTTCAATATTAAATATATACAATATATACCTGGACCTGGATCGACCTTGCAAGATGGACCTTGGTCCATGGTATAACAACTTGATATTTATAATTCCAATATTAAAAAAAAAAAAAATCTATAATTTGAAATCATTTTATTCACACATAATTGTTATTACTGCGTAATTATGCTATAAATTTCATTCAAAATTTACATAATATTTAAAAAGTTTCAATATATAACCAATCCAAGTGGAGTCACCATAATAATAAACAGAAATTACATTTCCAGAAATGAAATTGACCTGAAAATTAGAGGTTTGCATGGAGAAGGTACCACTTTACCCCGCAAGCTTAGTTCATAATCAAATCTGGAAATTCATCCATGGAGCTCAGCTTCTGTAGGATCAATCTTTCTTGCTTAGCATCTGTAAATATTTTGTCAGGGATTACAAATATTCAAGTGCAAAAGAACAGACATGTCAGTGCTGATGCATGTAATCCAATACTATAATGTGCATAAATCAAGTTATCTTGTTTCTGAAACAGACAAAGTGAATAATAATTGGTTTTTAAGTGGATGCAAAGGTGGCAGTAGGATACATTCTTCATCAGGATTTTCTGCAAAATTAGAATGTAAAGCATTTCCAACACTATCCACAATAGCTGAGGTAGTCATGGAGGATTCGATGCATAAGATAGCTGTGATGGCATCTAGTTGAGTCACCTCATTTCTGAACATCAGCCTTGCATGTGCTGCAACATTGAGAACTCAATCAGTGGAAGAATAAACTAAAGAACATTTCCGACGCTTGAGTAGTCTGCAAGATACCTTGAGCAAGTCGTATCAAACTTTCCAGCATGCGCACAGTTGTCCTAGCTGCAAAAGTTCACAATGATGTAAGTACGGTAAGACTGCAATAGGAATGTGATGAATACAGAACCAAATGGTTGTCCGTGAAAACCTGCATTTTGAGTTGCGGATCGTCTTTGGAGTTGGTAATAGCTTGAAATAACTTTTTCAGCCTCCTTCGTGAGAACTGGTTGAAAATTTCTCTTCACAAAGTGGATATACCTGTCAAAATGTCAAGTGAAGTGAAGAATAAGAGGTATAGAAGATTTCTCATTTTAACAAGTGACACATTTTGTATTTCTGAACCAGAATTGGCTTTCAAAGCATTTTACCGCCTAAGCATAGGAAGTGGCCAGATATCGTGCAGATCCTCCTCAGAATTGCAGCTCTTTGTTTGTGTCTGTCAAATTATGGAAAAAATGGGAATTCTCAATAGGATTCATGAAATGTATCATAAAAGACTAATTAAGCATTCACATAGGTTATAAAATTCATCACCTCAAGAATGTGTGATGAAACAACAGCATCCCAATCTGGATTCTTAGTGTCTAGTAGAACAAGAACTATATCAAATCTGCTCAGCAGTGGCCCAGAGAGAGTTGTATTAACAGATAGAGCTAGCTTCTGCTAAGGAAACGGCAATATGAAATGGAATACAGAAAATTTGAAATGATGATGATTCTGGAAATTCATCTTGTAAGATGTGAAAGGCACAAATGCTCAGGACCAAAAGAAAAGATACGCTGCTCAGGATCGTAATGTCCCTTAGGATTTGTTGCACCAAAGACTACTGTCCTTGTACTCAGAGTTGTTACAAGACCAGCCTAGAATTGTCATAGAGAGGTCATGTTCATTGATCAATAACAAATATAAAAACAATAAATCTTTTTCCCTTTCAGGGGGTGGGAAGATGCCATTCCCTTTAAAGGAAAAGTTCACAAGTGTCATAAAAATATAAAGAGATTCCAAGTTTTTTATGCCATAAAAGCATCCTAAAGGAGATGGTTCTTTGTTGCTTGGGGCATACCAATCAAAACGATAAAATCCAAATTGGATTGCATTATGGGAACAAAATTAAAGGTCATTACAAAAAAGAACTTTTGTATGATAATCTACCTTGGCAACACTAATAGTTTGCTGCTCCATAGCTTCATGGATGGTCACCCTATCATGTTCCTTCATGCTATCAAAAAGCACATCATTAGGTTGACATATAAAAATATGTACTATAACATGTGATTAGTTCAGTGCACCCACTGTCAAAATGCATTTGCTAAATAAAAACATTTCTCTTGAAAAATCATGAATTGTCTATTACAGACAAGGGCATTGTAGTCCAACGCATTAGAGCAAGATTCTAACAAGAGGTGTCAGGTTCAATGGTCACCCTATCATGCTATCAAAAAGCACATCATTAGGTTGACATATAAAAATATGTACTATAACATGTGATTAGTTCAGTGAACCCACTGTCAAAGTGCATTTGCTAAATAAAAACATTTCTCTTGAAAAATCATGAATTGTCTATTACAGACAAGGGCATTGTAGTCCAATGCATTAGAGGAAGATTCTAACAAGAGGTGTCAGGTTCAATCCCAATGCACCAAAAACAATGAATTGTCCATAACATGTGTGGTTCCCTCATGAGTTTACCTATCAAATTCATCAATGCAACAAAGACCACCATCAGCTAATACAAGAGCACCAGCTTCCAGAATCCACTCCCCTAAAAGCACTTAATAAGTGTTAGCTCAATCCAACCTCTAAAATAATAATTGAAGTGAGAAATGTTATACCCCCATCTCTAACTGCAGTAACAGTTAACCCAGCACTTGTGCTTCCCAACCCTGTAGCAATTACAGCTCTATTGCTCAATTTTGCAGCAAACTTCAAAAATTGTGACTTCCCAGTACCTGATTGAATTACAAAGCCAAAATTATATTTAGAGCATTATTCAGCTGGTAGCCTGGTATTATGGACCAATAATTTTCAAAACAAAGTCAAATTCGTTCTAAAAATTATGTTAACCATTTAATCATTTTAAAATAGTAGCCACAAGAAGATATTCCAATATTCAAGCATAAAATATGAGAAGTTACCAGGATCACCAACAAGAAGCAAATGAGAATCCCCCCTTACTTTTGTTCCAGAAGCATCAATATGTTCAACTCCTCCAATAAGTGTCAATGTGACTACATCAAAATGAACTCCATCAAAATGGCATGTAAAAAGGTTAGAGAGTTCTGAACTGAAGAAACACTGAGAAAACTGCTACTAAGATTAAATGCAACTATATCTTGTTACAAGTTTATTCACATGGCATGTGATTGCTGATAATGTCAATCTCATGATTTGACTGTACCTAGGTTAAATTAAATTAAGAAGAGCCAACATCAACAAGAATATAACCTGCAAGCTTGACAGTGAAGAGTCCAAAGACCTGTGGGCAAACACCCCTAAGAATGGCATTCCTACCTAATTTTCACAACAGTTTTAAAAAATAGGAGCAGTTATAACCATTATAAATTGTGACAATAAACTTGAAACTTTAAGCTCGAGTGGGTTTACCTTTTAAAGGGGAACCCTCAAAATCTTGCCAAAACTGTTTGAATTTCAGGATAATGTCATCAGGAATGTCTATTTCTGACTTTAATTCATTTATTCTCCTGGAAATGTAACGGAAAAAAATTCAGAAGTGAAAAGCAGTTAATCTAGATAACAGTTTCACTTTGTCAGTTCCAATTCCTCAGTACTCTTGGAACATGGCAGTAAATAATCCATATCTTTGCAAATTGCAATATAGAAAGACTAAATGTTTGCAGTAGTCATTTCATTAGTAGACTAAAGATGGAGGGAGCTAAAATATTTATAAGTAGAGCACTTAGTCCATTCTCAATCCTTTTTTTCCTTGACATTTGAATACTTGATGAATGTCTAAAACTAATGCTTTTTCCTTGCACATTTTGGTATTTTTACTGGTTAATCATTATATTATGGAGCCAATTTGGTAACTTATGGAATGATTGTTTGTGCTTAGGTGACTTGACAAGAAAATGATGTTTTGAGCCAAACATTGAGTTATTTGATCAAGATTTCAAGTCATCATAGCATGAGGATATTTTTGTGAGGCAAAATGAAGAAAAGAAGATTGAACAACACTCTTCCATGTGCCAAATATTTGTGCCTTAGTGGTCTTGATGATATAGGCAATTCAAAGCAAAGGCAAAACAAAAGCTAGTAAGGTGGCATTTCTCGCCCAGATTGCCGCAGTCTCCGTATTTTGACCATATCTCGGTCTAGGAGTGTCCAAATCAAGTAATTTTTATATCATTGGAAAGTTAACTTCAAGGGCTACAACTTTGATGAAGACCACAAAGGCTAATTCAAACGTTTCGAGGGTGAAATCTGGCCTAGAAGACGACCTTAGTGCACAGGCAGTGCACACTGCCTGTGGCCACGGGTCTGGCCACGGCCGTGGCCACACCCGTGGCCACTGGGCAGTGTGCCCTGCATTTCTGGCCACGGGTGAAGCCACGCCCGTGGCCAGCCCTCTGCAACTTTTTGCAGCCCGTTTTTTACCCTTTTAAGGGGATTTTCCACCCCAAAACATACTTTTCATTACATCTTTCATTTCCTTTTCATTTATCTAGTTAGGGTTAGTTTAGAATAGCTTAGATTAGTGTAGATTTGTGTTTCCTTTCCATTTCCAAGCTCAAGAACATTGCAAATCTTGGATTTCAAGGCTTCAATAGAGAAGTTTTCTTATTCATCTCTTCTCTTTACTTTTCATCTATGCTTTCAATTTCTCTTTTAATATTGTGTATCTATTGTTATATTATGAGTAGCTAAGTGTTTTGGGACTAGGATTTGGTTTGATTTCTTGCTATTGATGCCTATTTGAGTTGTATTGCATAAAGGGGATTATTTGGGTGATCTAGGGTTGTTGTGTGAAATGGGTTTGTTGAGAAATTTGTGTATGATTGTTGGATCCCAATTATATGCTTGATTTGGAGTGTGTTTGTTGCTATGAGAGTAGAGCTTGTACACTAGCCACACATTCACACACTTAATACCCAATATGAGAGTAATTTGGGTGTTAAGGGGAATCTTTGCCTTGTGTTCTTGTTTGGGCATCCTTGGGTTGAATTGTCACGAGAGTGGAGTTCAATGTGAGGTTGCAAGTCCAAATAGCTACGAGAGTGGTATTTGGACACTTTTGTGCATCTCACTTACCCTATGCCTTGATTTAATTCCCTAATCCTTAGTACAATATTTGAAATCTTAGCTTGAATCAACCAAATCCCGGTCCTTTGTTTTACTTGTCTTATTTGGTATTAGACTAATCTTATCAAACCAACTCATTAAGGATAGGTCTAGCTTCTAAAAGAATAGTTTTAGCTTGTGCTTAACTCCACTTTGCATCAATTCCTAACATTACAAGAGCCATCTCCAGTGGAACGATATCTTAACACTGTACTGTAATTTGATACTTGATGGATGCGTGAAAAACGTCTTCATCAATACTCATGATAGAGAGACTAACAGTGGCTAATTTTATATAATTAAAAGACTATAGAGGCTAACTTTTTTGTCCATTAATTGTCCCTCAAATATGCAACAATCCCTCTGTGAAGCAAAAAGGCCAGCAGCAGAGGGACTAACAGTGACTAACATTGACAAGTGGCTACATTTTAAGCTAAATTGTCAAAACTAGTCCGTCAAGAGAAAACAATAAAATAAATAATCCTTAAATAGATTAATCTTCAATAGAGGGGTGAGCTGATTTTTATCTGGTTGAATTCTAATTGTGAGCATTTGAATTGAAGCATGCAAATTGACTTAGAAACTTATGTGATTAGATAGCTAGCAAATAATTGATGACAGATTAAAAACATTCCATTTTTAGGGTTTCCTACTAATTATTTTGACAGACTTCAAAATTTTCATTGAAATGAATTAAACAAAAGCAATCACCAAGTTACCTCACATGATTAGCAACTAATATAGGTTCAAGATCACAGCGAACATCTTTTAAATCTGATAACCATTTGGCTTTTAGAACCCCAGTAACAATCACATCATCTGAAGAAAAGTTAAAATGAGTCAGTAACTCAGACATAGCAAAGAATAGTGTCTATAGATACAGTAGATGTTTGTCATGCTTGGTTGAAAGGCAATACCTCCAGCTTTAACCATATCAACAAGGTCATCCATCAAGATAACAGGAATGGAACGAGGAATAGCTCCAATACCTAATACCTGAGTACTCTCTTGAATTTTAATTTCTTGATAATCACGGCAAACCATACTATCTTCCACAAGCTGGAAATTTGTGCTTTCACAAAATTTAGGCTTCTGTAATAGGAAAGTTGGAATCAAAAGCATGCAAAAAGAGTAAGAACCAAACCATGTTAAAATGTAGAGACATAATCTCTAAAGGGAAAAGGGTTAAGAAAGAGGTAAAAACAACTCAATGCTAATTGACTAATAAGATAATAAATGTAAAGTTTAAAATTCAAAGCATTCGATAATTTGAATCCTTTTGGGATGATGCTTACAAGCACAATCAAATGTGGACTGCAGATTCAAATAAAATACATAGTAGACAAAAATGATAATGCAAAGGGATTTTTTTGGGGTTTAGAATCATATCAAAAGGCAGTAATTAGTATCAACTGCAATTGCCTCCAAACTAGAGCATCTCTTATGCCTAAAAATACTACTTCATACCAATTATAAGAAAAGGACAAACCTGTGATGGGCAATATGTAGGCTTGGGAATGGAATTTCTAGTTTCCACCTCAGGATAAACTTTGAACCTGCAAATGTTATCCACTTAGTTGATGACTACTAAAAATCTAATGAGCACACATATGAAATCTTGCTGTTAAAAAGGTAACTAAATGTGCTATGCCAATATAAAGTAAATTCAAAAACAACAAAAGTAACAGGTTTATCTAATGCAAAACATCTTATTCCAAAATGATGCATTCTTTGAGTTTAGATAAGCAGGCTAAAAATAATACATGAATACTAATAGTGTTTCAACCAACATAATTAGTGCTTAAAACCAAGTGTAAGAGCATTCAGAAAGCACATAAAAACCAACCTGTGTTTACATCTCCGACATTCGTACCACTTTTCCCCTTCTATCATTTTTGCAGCCCCAGACCTAATTACAGTCCCTTTGAGTGTAAGAAGAATCCCTCGATGCTTCACCCTCACGCGGCCAATGCTTGGAAAAGTTTCTAACATGAACAAAAAAGAAAAGTCTTGACAGTGGACCTCAGAAAAGCATATTTGGAAAGGAATGGGAAGAGGAAAACAAACCTGGGCATTCAAGAGGAGAACCACAGGCATTAATTCGAACATGTATGTTGCTCTTGACACGAGCTTCTTTAAACTGACTAGATATCTTTTTCTAATACAAGGCAACGGCAATCAGTCAGTCACAATCAGAATGGTCAACCATGAACCATGGAAGGATTATGTAAGAAAATAAATATATAATCAATATTTATGTGTCCTAAATGTTTCATTATAATAGGACTTTAGTTGTGGATAACCACACGAGATTTTATCCCTATCGGTTGCTTACGTTTTGTAAAAACCGTACTGAGGATCTGCCTATCGAGAAACTCACAAAGTAGAGAGATAGAAATAGAAGGGAAAATCAGTGTAATCACGCAGGAATCACGGACGCAGGTATTCTTATTTCTCCAGTATATTATATTCTGTGTATATAATGACGACCTTACGTATTACTACTGAAACTAATACCTGAGCCAAAAAGGCGGCTTCATCGAAAAGCCGTAGATAATCATCTGGTTGTGAGAAAATGAAGTGAGCCAGGTCCGGATACTCATCCATAATCTCTGCAAAACTGATGAGGAATGAAATTACCAGAATTCAGATTGAAATTTTGTTTGGAGTAAAAATGCGGAGAGTATAATGGAGCTTACTCGACGTGGAGAGGGTAGTGAAGACGAGGATCCGGAGCGAGAACGATGGACTGGAGCTGCTCCGAGTGGTGCGTTTCCAGGTACTTCTGCAATTTCACTTGTTGTACTTCAGTATCCATTCTATTTCCGGTATCTGATTCACTGTTCCGGCGAGTGTTGTCTGTGCTAGTGAGAGAGACAAAGAGAGCGTGCGAATTGCGATTGCACTTTGCCGCCTTGTCGCCACAGGCGGGAAAATGATTGAACTGGGCTGCTATTTTTTTTTTTTTTTTTTTGAAAACCTGCTACTCCGTATTTTTTTTCTTGCCCCATTGGGTTGGGTGCCTTAAGCCCATTTAGTCAAGGCAATTTATACCATCGCATTGTAAAATGTATCCCTGATAAATATATATATTTTTTTAATAATACTGAATTTTAGTGGTCACCTTACCATGTGAATTGAATGTTACTGTACTAAATAACTTATGACTAATAGTTAGTCATACAGATGGCATGGGCAACCTAAGCTAACCTGGACATCTAAGTTAGTTTACTTGAATCAAGACCTACTTTATATTGTGTACCTTAATTTAAAATGATATTCAAACTATTGGCTTCGGACAATCTAAATTAATCTACTTCTATGTAATTTTTTGTTAGGGACACAATGACAATTTATATCATGGATCAAAATTTAGCTTACATTGTGACACTCAGATAATGTGTCTGCAATTAACTTATTAGGGGTTATGGGCATGCCCCTGAAGACACAAGAATTTCACCTTGATAAAGAATATATTTGATTTTAACTCCTTATACAGTCCATATTCTAATTTTGTAATCGGGTCAGTGTCAAACGGTTCGGGTCGTGGTCAAAATCAACAACTCAACTCTTTTATATAAAGGGCCTTGACCCTTCATTGTGGGGGGCTTCCTTCTCTAAACTCTCTCCCTATAACATTGGGGAATTTTCTTCTCTACCTTCTCTCTACAACATGAAAGAAGAATAAATAATAAAGCTCTTGGGGCTAAATTCTCCCATCTACTCTCTACTTTACGTATATTGTTCTACACACCAAATACATTCCGGCAATTTATACTATCACACCCAAAACACACATTTAGGTAGTGAGTGCAAATTTTTCTGTAACTTATAAACCATATACTCAATTACAGTAACAATATTAGTTACAGGAGCAATTTTGAGTCCATTTCGAAACCTAACAAAGGACAAAATCATCGACAGCCAACGACAGAGTGGAACCATTTTGCTATTCACTACAAGTCATCAAATACATGAACTATGAGAAAAGCAACAAAGTCTATTGCTTTCCACCTCTACATGGTAAGGCCACATTACAGTATGGCAAAACATGCCCTTGAAATTTTCTTGATGTAAAGTGTGTGCGAGAGAGAATCTGTATAGATGAACTGTATGGAGGAAAGAACAAAATTTGTGACCTACTGAGTATATACTAATTCTCTTACTTTAAACTTGTGGCTTCCTCAACTGTCAAGGACTCAAGGCCTCAAGGCCATTCTGTAATGTTGAGAACATCATCAGTCCCATAAATGTGTTGAGTCTGCAGAAGGCTTTTTTATCCTCTCAAAAATGTCATCCAGGGATTCAGGTGAAGCATCCGAGTGCCTTGCTTCGGGAACTTGACGTAAAGGGATGAATCTCCCGGCCTCGAAGTTGGTCTTGAAACTGCGAAAACCATTCTTCACTGATTCCCAGGTTGAGTTGCTCCCGGAGGATGGTTCAACTTCCATATCTTGGGAATTGTCTGCTTCATATAAAGAGTTGGGAGTGTCCCTGATGTTCTCACTTGAGCCGGTCTCTATTGCCTTGTACTTTCCGCTTACTCCATCATGGAAGCTGTTGCGTATTGCTTCTTCGTTCAGAGCTTCCCCATCCTCCATTAGACGCGATGACACTGTTTTTTCGTGGGAAAGCTTAAGCAAAAGTGTAAAACCATTATCAAGTCAGATGCAATATGGAAGTTGTTGATCAAACCCACAGTTTCATCATAGAGGAGAGAAGAAAATATTTTACATTCATATACTCAGAGCATTGACATACCGCAGCACTGCTAACAGACTCAATGTCCAAGCTCGAGTTGTTGAAATTTCTAGCCAAAGGAACAATAAGTCCACCAACTTGATGACCTTGTTCGAGCCAAGTACGTTCTGCAAATAAAACACGAGAAATAAATTATAATTTATATGTGCTAAGCAAAAGATGATCTCAGTTGGTACAAACTGATAGCATATGAAGATACAGTGTCCAAAATCTGAAAGGAATGTACTGCAAAGGTAAAAAGATACTTGGAGTATTAATTTGTTCCCACCGTTGAAGTCATGATGAACAAAATGTTTCATAAGAATCCTTCAATGACTTTAGTTACAAAAATACCTTCACATTTGATTAAACAGTGGCAGCAAACTGAGCAAAGGTCAAATATTCCAATATTTTTCAATGATATAAAATATAAAATTTAGATTTGATGAGTCAGAATTAGCCCCCTCACGACCTCACCCCACCCTCCTAAATCCACCCATGATTCCAGTAACTAAAAACTTAAATGTCTCACTTTATATCAATTATGACAAGAAGAATGATTTCAGCAGTGTGATTTAGCATAAAACTGAATGCTGTCATCTGTTCACCTCTCTGTAAAATTATCAACCCAGAAGTATCAAATCCATCTATATCCTCAGCCTCTTCACTTTGCACTTTGGTAATTTTCCAGTTCCCAAAGTAACTAATGACTCGGCCAAAGAAATTACTTGCAACTGCTATGGTGTAAACAACCATAATAAGTGGATAGATACTATTGAACTTCCTTCCAAAGAAAGGGACAGCATCATCAATATTTCCCATTCTCTGCATATGGAAAATATTATCATCACCTGGGATAGTGAACGATTAACATAAAAGAGATAAAGCACTTGTATTGATAACACTATTCATCATGTCTGACTTTGTTTATAAGTCATTTTGCAGACTTTGTTAGCATATTGGCAAACTACTAGACAAGCAGAAAAGGAAGGCAAAGAAGAGAAGATATATAAATGATACCAATCATACATATACGTATACGTATACGTATACATATACATATACATACATATATACATACATATACATACATACATATATACATACATATACATACATACATATACATACATATATACATATATATATATATATATATATATATATATATATATTTATTTAAAGACCAAGACAAGCAACACAAACCTTACCAGAAAAGTCCTCCCTTGCCAATGCAAGCAGTACGTGGCATCATACACCCAAGAAGACCAGTGACACATGGCATTGTGTGCATAGTCTAGTGGCAATGCAACTCCTACGCTAGCCTCACATCACTATTCTAATATTGCCTTAGGTTAAGTTTCCCATCAAAGCCCTCCCTCTATTTTTGTCCAGATGAGAAAACCAGTCTATGCACAAATGCTATGTACTAGCTAACATTATCAACGCATCATACCATTGCTAGTTTGTGATGGGTAGCTCTGTTACCATGTATTTATGCGGAAAATATGAAGAAAATAGATTGATTAACAAGAAGAGAGCTTATTTCTTATAGCTTTCACCTGGGAAATACATGGCTATTTATACAAAATTACAAATAGGACCAACACATTGTATACCCAACAACACTTTGTATGCCCTTAACATTTCATATCCCAATAAAAAGTTAAAAACTTTGTACGCCCTTAGCATTCCATATCCCAATAACACCTATGTATTCCTAACACCACTTCGCACTCCTAACATATAGGACCCTCTAAATTAGATTAAACTAACAGCAAAACATAGACACAAGAAATACACTTACCTTTTCAAAGACAGTCTTGGCACCATTCCCAAGACGGATAAGGTTTAGAAAGTTGTATGAAATTGGTGGTGCATAGCGAGCAACCATCCTAATAAAATTTAAAATGTGATTTAGAGTATGAATTGTAAACAATGCTGCTCACTCCGCAAAAACATAATTATGAGAAAAGACATACGAGCATATCATAAGTAAGCTGACTGAACTTGTTTGTCTTGGAGTCAACGAGTAAAATGTCAGCATTCCTATTTTGAATAAGGAATAGTATGTACACACACACATATACATCAAAGGAACAAAAGCAGCAACCTGCACCCAATAGAAATGAAAAATCAATTAGCAACTGGAAACAGTAACTTCATAGCAAGTTTTCAAGTAGCTCTTTTGATTTGAAGGCGAAAATTGGACTTTGTAATAGTAAGCTCCAAAACCACTTTACCTGCCAAAAGTGGGTGGACAAACCAACTATTCATGGTTCTTGCAATTAAAATTTGCAAGTCCAATTGGCTTAGCTTCATGTAAGTGCAAAAGAAACAAATAAAAGATGAACACTTTACCTGCACAAGTAGCTCATGCTTTTTCACAGCATTAATGAGAAGAGAGAAAAGAGATAAATCAACTGCAGGTAGAATAGTTGCCTCAGCCAAAAGGATTGCAACTGACATGCAGCCTAATATGATAGCAAAAATTCTCTCAAGCTGCTTTCTCATTATACAGCGCCACACCAACTCTACAAAAAGTTTTGAAACTTAAATTAACTACATATCAATTAGAAATCATTGAAGATGCATTCCCCATATGTTTTGTCTAACATGACTTGGACAGGACACTATTCGTTTGTAGTATATATGAATACAGAGTGACCTTAAAGATACATATTGTGCCTTATTTTGTTTAGTATATACTATATACATATTATGCCTTATGATTCCAATGAAAGAAGAAATCAGAGCTTACACTATTCACTTTCTCTAAGCACCAAGGATTAAAAGCATAAAAAATTTAAAATTTTGAACAAATCTGAAAAATTGATAGGGCATTTGCAAAGATAGTAATTGTGGTGTCATTCAAAGGATGAGAATGTACAAACCCAATAGGACTTATTGAATCTGGAAATCACCTATTACTTCAAACACAGACCCTAGCCTGCCACTTCTTTCTGGCCTGAAGCTTGATATATACCTCCTGCATAAAGCTTTATACTGTTAAGAAGCAATAGGCACTGTTGCAAAAATCGGCCTAAGCGCTAGGTGCCCCTAGGCCGTGGCGATTTCCCCCCTAGGCGGCGGTCTAGGCGTTCGGCCGCCTAGGTGCCTAACTCGGCCGAGTTGGCGGCGAACTTGGCCGAATTTGGCTGAGTTAACTCGTACAATTCGGCAACTCGGGTGACTCGGCCTTGCTAATTTTTTTATTATATATATATATATATATATATATATAATATGACATACACCCACACACATGCACTTTTTTTTTAGTTAGCCACATAGTCCGTCTAGGCGCTAGGCGCTACTCTACCGCCCGACTAGCGCCTAGCGCCTACTGGAACCATGGCAATAGGTGGGAATAATTTTTGAATCAACAAAAACATATCAAAGAAAAGCTACATACTGATTCATTTCAGCATGAACCCCAACCACAATTGTAATACTGCTTTTAATTTAAAACCTAAAAACTACAACTGAGTCAATGGGCTCTACTGCTGTGTCCTTGCCAGTTGATTAATGATAAATCCAAGATGGCAGCAATAAAAATAGGATCCACAAGAAATATTGGTAAGCCTTAGAACATTGTTAGGGGGAAAAAAGGAAGCATTACTCTCAGTTTCTACCTTCACCTTGTAATTAATTTTGAATTTATGAGTTTATATAGAAACAAAATATCCAAAATGTTAGAACGTTCTTTGACTATGCAAAAACAGGAAGTAAGAAGAAAGACAAACCATCCATTGGCATATCGGTGTTCATAGTTCTTCATTGTGTCTTCCAGCTCAAGTGCTTCAGTAACAAAATTGATGTATTCACTGAATAAATAATTTTTTTAAAAAAATATTAGTACAGTCAAAAGATGAAAATGCAATTAAATTTATCATTGTTTGCATGCATTATTAAAGATGAGTGTTTCACCAGACAATTCTCAAATATGAAGTAACCTCTCAGTGAACAAGATAAGAAATCACCGAAGAAAAATTAAATATCTCTAGTATGCACTCCTAAATATATGTCTGTAACCAGCAATCTTTCCTTAAACCATCTGTGCAGAATGGTAAAAAGAGATGTTACAGTAGAACTCAGGGAAGGGAATTATCATAACAAATTCCATTGCAGGATTTTGATTCATATTTCCTTGTGAGTTACAAGTTACTGATTACGAAACTGAAAAGGACTGGGCATCGTATGTCATAGACTTTAAACTTAATGAAAAATCAGATTAATTTCTGAAAGTAAAAATACCTTTTATATCGATAGTATTTTTCTCGAGCTCTTCTGAGTTGACGTCTAAGTGCTGCCATTGTTTTTGGATCAGTATCATAATCCATATCATTTTCTCCTAACCTTCCACCCTGTGGTTTGAAAGAAGGATCTTCACTAAGCTGCATCCAAAAAATACTCAATGTTTCTTAATCATTGGAGAGAAACTGACAGAATGTGTCAGAGAAGCATGGAATAGATTGTAAGCCATGTGAATATGCACAAAGACCAAAAAGATGCCAAATACTCTTGATTACCATCTTCATCAGCATCTTATCAATAATGGTCATGTATGGTCTTAAAGGATCACGCTTTGACATTTGTTTGGATGTTGCTTGTGCAATCTGACATGTAAATCATCATTGTAATTAAATTGCATAGCAACAAATCTGAGAAACTGTCAGGTCAATAATTAACCAGAGATTGCATAGCACTGGATGCTCAGGAAAAAAAAAATGAAAACTTCTGGGAATAGAGCTTACAACTATAGAATTTGAAATTTCTCGATGGGCATCATCAAGTTTGACAGCCATTTTAGCCACCACATGCGAAAGACACTTGTGACGAGTTGTCCAATCAGCATTTCTCCAAATGCCTTTGGGAATTTCACTCAAACCAAAGCCAAGGAGAAACGCCCCAATGACAAGACCAAACGTATTTGAACAAGCCATGGCAAACCCAAGAATACCCCCACTCCTGCAAATTAATATGAACAGTATGCAAAATGTAAATTAACAAAATAATAATAATAATAACTAGCCAGCAAAATGAAACATCAAGTCATTCAACAAGGCAAAAGACAAACCAGTTCTTTCGTAGAGTAATGAGCAACAGTAATCCAAAGAGTCCAATAGAGCCAACACATAGGTAATAGACCAGGTTTACGCGTGCACTGGTCCTCAATTTTTCAGTCATAGTGAAATCCCCAGCATCTTCATAACCCTGAAGTATAGGTACCACAGCCCTGTTTAGAAAATATTTTCATAATATATGAGAAAATTTCAGCTTCAACTAAAGCTCCCCTAACCACCAATGCTTCACAAGTCCATCAGAAGCAACATTAATCTCTTAAAATAACTAAATCTCTGAATTACTAAAACCTCAACTACAATATTTCATAATGCTTATCCTAGAGCATTCCACTAAAAGAGTAAAAAACATAGCCAAATTATTAAAGTAATCATCAATAAATATGAAATTAAAGTAAAAGGCATTTGTTGGCATACCAAGTAAGGAGAAATGTACTCCAATAAGACCAGATCCAGAAGAAGTAGATTACTATCCTATCATGATTACCAAGCGTCTGCACAAAGAGAAAGGGAAAAAAAATCCGGCAAAGTTAGTTTCTATTTACAAAAAATCTTTAGCTGCGATAGCACCAACACACTAGTTAAAATTCGGCAATGTAGATCAATTATTATGTTTCGTAACTCATGGTGGTTTTAGTGTTGAATTGATAGGGAACGTACGGTCCAGATGTCGGCGGGGACGAGAATGATGATGGAGAGAGAACAGAACCAGGCGTAACCGACGGTGAAGCGGACGTATCGAGGGACATCTGGTCCGGCGAAGTACCAGAGAGTCAGCCCCACCATCCCGATCGTTAGGGGCAATGATATCAGGTAAAACACCCACATCTTCTGTCCTCTCTCACTCACTCGCCGGCGCCGATCGCTTTTACTTTGTAACAGAGACGCGGGAAAATAGGGGGGAATTTTTTCCAGGTCGAGTCGGTGTTGAGTTGCTTAAATTTGAGATATGGAAATGGCGACGAGAGGAGAAAAGTGAAAGGCCAAAGCTACGGCACGAGAGACTCGATCATGGTGCAATTGCGCAAACGGGCATGGCTGGCTCGGACACTTCCTTCCGTCATCTCCAATCTTTCGAACGAATTGTTTTATTATGCTATGGAGTACGATGATCTCTAGTTAGTAGTAACGTCTACTTTTGGAGGTTTTTTTTTTTTTTTTTTTTTTTTCCATCATATATGGTATTTATAATTTATGATGTGGTCCAAATAAAATAGACAGAAGTGTCAAATAGGCTCATCTACTACTGTGAAATATTCAATTTCCACCACGAATTAAATTAAAGTCTAAACGGTTGCACTTACCAATTAAATTAAAGTCTACTCAATTATTAAAAAATAAAAATAAAAAAGGAATTTTAGCCGTAGCTCACCTTCATGCTGAGAAGACCCGCTGCGGGAGCTGCCAAGTTGACACCGCGGGAGGAGATGAGCCCAAGTTCGCGCGCCGATCTGCTGCCTTTCTCTACCCCGCTTGGTCTGCTGGGGTCTTCGCTGAGAACCACCGAGGGAGAGAGAGACACGACGAGAGGAAGGGTTCCGCCCAAACTGCTGCGCTGAAACAAGGGATGCTGCTCGTTGCCTCACGCGGGGAGGAGATGGAGACTTGGGATGACTTCCGCCACTGCCGTTATTCTACCTCGCCGGAAACGGACCACATTCGCCGCCTGTTACTTCATCGTTGCTGCTTTGCCGGAACAGAGAACGCACGGGGGTGCTTCACGGGACCTCCAAACCCGCCACTTGCTACCGCGAGGTCCACCGCACGGACTGCTTCACAACACTGTCGCCGCCGTTGCTCACCTGACAAAGGAAGGGAGACTAGAACTGCTGTTGGTTTGTAGTTCACTGAGGAATGAGAACTCGCCGGAGAACCAGAGGATGAGCTGCCATTGTTCTGCTTCGCCGAGCTCTCCCGCTACCGCCATTGTCGAACCTACCGCCGAGCTCTACCAACTATTGTCGTCGTTGAAATTCCTTTAAAAAAAAAAATAATAACAATTGAATAGGAAGCTGGTTACAACCTGTAAAAAAAAAAGTCAATCAAACAAATTTAGCTGGTAAGTATGGCGGATTAGACCTTAATTTAGTTCGTGGTGGGAATTGAGCACTTCGTAGATGTGCTTATTTAACACTTCTGCCAATAAAATAAAATTACTGTGTATATAAAATGAAACTGAATAACATGTCTCGCATATTGAGTATATATTGTAAGTGAAACTATTTTTTGAGTACTACTGACTCTGTTACCTGCAGTATCTGTTCATAACTACTTTCTCAACCTACTGAAGCACAAAAAGTCCATACCCATCCACAATTAAAATAGTTAAATTAAAATTATATTTTAGTTGCGATATAATGAAATTACAATGTTGTATAAAATGAAATTGAATAACAAGTCTCATATATTGAGTGTATTTTATCAAATGAAAATGTACTTTAATTGTGTTGTAATGAAGCTACAATGTATATATAAAATGAAACTGAATAACATGTTTCACATATTTGAGTGTATATTGTCCAATAAAACCGTAATTGAATTAAAATTATACTTTAGTGATATTGTAATAAAACTACAATGTGTATAAAATGAAATTCAATAACAAGTCTCACATATTTAATGTGTATTGTCAAAATTGAACTTGAATCAAAATAATACTTTAATTGTGTTGTAATAAAACTACAATACTGAATACGTCATAAAAACAAAATTAGTCGGACGAAACAGGACATGATGCTACAGAATAATTTAGCGATGCGAATAGCCAAATACATATACACATGATGTTCCATTCTAATCTGATGAACTCTAAAATGATGGTGTGGGGGGTGGGGGGTGATGATCAGGTGAGAAGAACAGGCCTCATGTTGTAGTTCCTTGCAAAGAATCTAGCCACCACCAATCCAGCAGCCAAAGTAGCACCAAACAGAGCATGGAGTCTCACACAGTAATACTTTGCCATAAAGATCTTTGTTTTGTCCTAGTTTGCAACCACAACACATTCAAGATTTATCATTTTGCAGGAAAGAACATAAAAGTTGCATATGACTATGCTCATATTTTGTAGGATGGGTTTCGACTCGTGTGTCATTTTCACACATAGTTCTCGACTATCAATTTGTTCCGCTATTAGTTTCTTGACTTTGAATTTGTACCACTTTGAGTCCTAGTAAGTTTTCCAGCCAAAAATCCCGTAAAACCAACATGTCTATTGGTCTTCTCGGTTTGAGCCGATCAGTTATGTACAATCTAGGCTGATTTATCTTGTTGTGGTTCTTTGTCAGCTAAGGTCATAAAGCGAATTTCACCCAGAACACATTTTCAGGTAACAGTTGCGGGATTTCTCGTAAATCAAAGCATGTGCACAATATGTGTTTGGTCAAAAAACTCGCTAGAAAGATTAAAAGTGGTAAAAACTCAATGTCAAGTGGACTAATAGTGACAAAAATCGATGGACCAAAAGTTGAAAAAACTCTTTGGCAGATAGTTTGCACTTACTTCATGGTTCTTTTCCACATAGCTAATCACCATTCTTCCCATTGGAATTGTTAGGACAGAGAGAATCTGCAACAAAAAAAGTAACTGCACTTGATGAACATGTTAACCTGAATGTTAAAGAACAGATGGCAGCGAACTTACAATGCTTGCAGAAGGAAGAGTTTTGGTAAAGCCGAGAATAATCGTGAGCGAATAGAGTGCCATGACAGATGCTTTCACGACTTCTGCGCCTGTTTTTGTACCGAGCCTGACCTGCAGTGATAAAAGAAGGCGAAAAATAAGACGTGCCCGAGTTGTGGCTTGTTCCTTCCAGGAGAGTTTCGCTAACTCACCAGAGGAGAATATTTTCCCACAGCCTTGTCGTCGTCTATCTGAATTATGCATCACGTGTTAGCACCATAGACACCGCAAGAGTAACCGAGACATGGAGGGGCAGGCAAGGTTACCTGATGAAAGTGACTACAGAATAAGATGAGGGAGGTTGTCAGACCGACAAGAACGGATGCTGAAAGGATCGTACCGGAGATGGGTAATATGCTATCACCAAGCATCGAGGCAATTAGTTAGTCACGAAACGTTTTATGTCAATAGTAGTTATAACAGGTGGATAAGAAAAACGAACAACCTAGTACTGCTCTGAAGCAAGTAAAAAGCAGTAGTAGCGAATGGACCGAAAGCTGCAAAGCACAAAGGCTCACCCAATCCCTGATAGCTTAGCCGAAACGGTGGACACTGAAAAAAAAAATCCCAACATGTCAACGATAACAGTGACTGCTGTAAGTCAAGCACGCTTAACCACAGAGTTCTTTAGATATCTGGTTGTCATATCTTACTTAAAACCAATTGGTCATAAGTAGATGGACATTAACCATTTAACCACATCCCTCCATGGTAAGCCACAACGCCATGTCTCGAATCAAGTAGGGGCTGAATTCAGCCAACCCGGCCGACGCCCAACACTCTTGACATGGCACATTGGCACGAGTGAAACCTATAAAGTTACGAGAACAGAATGATAATACATAATACATCAGCATTGGATGTTTTACACTTGATAATCTTTTAATTCACCTGGTATATGTAACCACAGGTAATTGCAGAAGCCAATAGTAGTATAGCACGCAGGTTTGCAGACTGTAGAGAAGCCCATACAAGCCCGCAGAAGCCAAGTTCAAGTGATACATAAGCAGCAATAAGAGTGCCTGTCCGGCTGGTAAAGCATGACGAGATACAATCAAATGAAAAGATATACTCCGGAATAATGTGATTCGAGTGCAATGTTGAACAGATTAAGAGCACACCTGCCAACTATGTTAACGACTGATTCTTTCTTATTCTTGTCTGCTCCTGTGTCAAAATCATAAACGTCGTTGCTGCCATATTACAAAGATATTGAATAAAAAGGGGAACAGACATTTTTAATCCAGTTTACGACTATGTAATTTTATTGGTTAACATTGGCGGTTTGTGACATGCCTAGAGACAGTTTTAATCATAGTACCAACAAGAAGTTACCAAATCAGAAACCGAAAAGCACCTTAAGTTGAGCCATGTGATGATAAGAACGGAGGAAGCTAAGAGCGCCAAGTAACGCGTGACAGAAAATAGGCCTGCTTGCAAATAGGCAGCTGCACTTCCTACCTGTTCATAATACGATTGGAGAGATGCCAAGAGTGAGTGTGCAATCGTAGAAAAGTAAAACACTCCACGGTCCACCCTAAAGCTCCCAAAAAAGTGTTTCCAAAAGAATTTTTCTCGAGCACTAGTCACGTTTCAGGAGAGAATTCCATATGTGACCAATGAAATAGCGTCCATATAATTGAAGCATGTGCTCCATCTCAACTAAAAGCATAAGCTGATAGTTGGATTGCACGTTAATGGCTATATGCTCACACATATCATGCCTAGCTTTTGAACCTCGTCCTCATTGTAAATGCAAGTAGAAAAATTTACGGGCATTACAACATTGAAACTAACGCAATGCATGAAGAAGCTACAACCTAGAAGAAGCAAAACGAACTTACAGTTAGAGGAACCAAGGCCACTGAATATATCGGAAGTTTCACTGCCCGCCAAATCAAAGTAGTTCTAGAAATATTTTCTTCCTTTTCCTCATTGATAGCATCCGAATGCCGAGCTCTGCAAGAATAAAAATGCCTCGGGTGCTGGCATTGCCGCCTTGATTCTTGCCACCGTAAAGCACTCCAGCTGTTACATCTGTTTGTGCAACCGATACAGCAAAACGATCTATACACAGAATGTGGCAGCACTGAATTGATCGCGAAATCGAATTTTGTCAGCCTGCCCAGACATCAAATGTGGCCTTGATTCTTGAATTTATGATAATCATAAAAAATGAAGTTCCACAGAAAGTAACCAAATTTTCATCTTCATATTGGACGAATTATATGATCTTTACACACTAAACAGGCAAACATGGAAACATTTCTGAAATCTTAAAGACAGATAAGGGGCAAATCTCAGCATCACCATCATCATTGTAAATATTATCTTATCCAAAGCCCTAACCTCGTACTACCCGAATAACAGAGACCCATTCAAGACAAGAACAAGAACAAGAACAAGAACAGAAACTAAAACATAGTCCACCCCAATTACCCCACTCACTTCTTCTCATTCAAGATTCAAGAAAATGAAACATGGGTATTCGACTTGCCTAGAAAAGCTGTGCCCTTGATTATGGAAATAGCAGTAATTGACTTTACTGAAGCCGAAGCCAGGACCGCCATTAACAGAGCTACACAGTGCGGCGGCTGCCAGTGCCATCAACGACCTCCACCGCCACCGCCACCGCCACCGTTGAAATTTCAGGCTTTTACCACTTGATTGGGTCCGGGCACTTCAAATTCTTCGATATCTAACAATAAACCCCTCTTCAATTTTGCCTTGTCAAAGCCAAGGCCAGAAAACGAAAACCTTTACCTTATCCATAAGCAAAAGGCTATTTTGTCCTATCAATAAAGTCATCAACTTTTTTTTTATCTGCAAGTGGTATGGCTGTGGTTTTACACTTTTACATCTTCAAACCGTTATAGCTTAGTCACTGGGAATTTTTAGCAAGTTTCCATTAACCAATCAATAAGAAACATCACCTTAAACAGTTAAACTACACCAAATTCCTCTTTGGCAATGTTAATATCCCTCATTTAAGCATTTCATCTTCTTTAAGGTTGTTTGGACATGCCCAGAACTTGAAATGATCTTGCCCAAAATCGGACATGAATTCTTGATTATTATTAGACTATAAAAATGAGATATGTAAAATATGTTCAGCAATATAAATGCATCCTATTTCAAACCCAACAGGCAACAACCGAGTATTAAAATCGTAGCAGCAACGTAACCTTGGGATAACATAGTATACGATGTTTGGGAGAAGAAATATAGTACGATGTAGAAATGCCCGGTTGTTAAAGAGACCAGTTGACGGTTGGGGAATTGAAACTTCAAAGGCCGTTTTAAATGCTGATCGCTTCGATCCAAATCTACAACAACCCTTTCACTACATGCACTCCTATGCAGGGTATCTTTTCTCTAGCTCTGTGATCCTTTAAAATTTTGGTTGGGGTAGGTGAACCGTACCGCTTCACTCACATCATTCTAGCGCGAATAAAATGTGATGTTAGAGAAAAATGGCATAAAAATTTTATGGTTCCCAATAATCCTAATATAAAACATGCAGGCCGGTGTTCATATAAACGAAAATGTGGTGGAAAATCATCCACTATATACACATATCTCCATCAATGCACTTATGCACGTTAGTGTCTCAGCTCACAAAGTCATAGCCAAACTTCAATATATATTTTAATTTGCACTCTTGTTTAGGAAGAAAAAAAAAAAAACAAAACAAAATAGCCATATATATCTTATGGAGTAAGTAGAGATATAAATTTACAAAAGTATTTATACATTAATTAAGTTATTATTTATAATTTTATTCACATTAAACATATGAGTAATAAACATATTTTACTAATTTAAAACATATTTTAGATAACAAAGTTATAATTTTTTTTAGTAAAGAACGAGAGACAGGACCTCACGTTAGCAGATTCTCTGAGTGACCGCACGACTCACGTCCGCCATCAAAATAGTTACCAAGTCAATCGTGGTCTTCTAAAGTTATAATTTTCTTTGAATACAAAGGAAATAAGTTATAACTACAAAATCGTTAGGCGATCTGCGAACCAGGTTACTCACTTGTTAGCTAAACAGTCTGTTTCTATGTCTGGTTGTTCAGAGTGGGTTTTAAACCCTCCCCTATCATTTGTAATGTGTTAGTTTCAGACCTTATCTAATGTAAATCCTTTGTTTTCAAAAAAAAAAAAAGTCACAACCACAAAAAGAGTATTACACTAGTCATCCGCATAATTAGGGGAACAGTGTAAAGTGTTAATGAATTGAAGTAGCTAGACTTGGGGTGAGTCTGTATATATCAAATCTGTCAAATTGGGATTTTGAGTTTATCATCCACATCCGCATATGTTAAGGTGCAGATTTGATCCAATTTAATTCCATCTACTAATGACGAATTTGACAGATCAAGAATATGGAGTAGTTGTTATTATAGTATAGAAGATAGAAGATAGAAGATATCACATTTTGAAAATAAAATAAATTATAGTATAGTAATTTAACTCTTCAAATATTAAAAAATCAAAATGACAATAATTTTAAAATAAAACTATAATATAATAATCCAATTATATATATAGATTAATACTAGATTAAAGAAATAAATTAGATATAATAACCCTTTAATTTGGACTGCAACAGATAGAAAAAATATAGAACAAATAATACATTGTAATAGATTCAATAGCACTCAAATAAATTCGCTTTTAATATGGTAATGAAAAATTTTCTCTAAGTAAACCCACATTTAATTCACTATTAAAGGATGTGAATTAAATCAAAACAGTACACATTTAGTGGATCCATGAATACTTGCAATACCAGCCACAATAAACCATCTCATTTAGTATAGCTCATGCATAGGGATGGCAATTGGTTGGCCCTCAAATCCTCAATCACCGATCTATCATTAATATACTCTCTTTTTCTCAAATAATTCATAGTACTCAACCAGTAATGAACTAAACTCGTGCGGACTATTTTTATACTTTATCTGCTCAGATCACCTTACTCCTAACTTACAATGGTGGATATTTTAAAAAATTCACACCACTTTACCGAAATGCGGATATCCACCACGGGTATCTATTGTTTATTATTATCTTATTAAAAAAATTATAAATAATAATAAGAATAATGTTCCAATTATTTACACAATTATTGAAATGATAACTATAATACGTACAGGCACTAAAAATGACAGGTACCAAGAATACATGGCAGGGCCATGCATGTATTAAATTCATCCACACGAATTACACGACCAAATAGGTGCAGCATGAAAATTGAATTTGTCATGCACACACGTCCTTGTCATTTGTCAAACAAGTCAGTCCATCCATCCCTATATATGTGAAGCATAATGCATTGTTAATCCAATACAAATGCAAGGAATTAAACATATTTCTTCTTGAACTATAGAAACAGTAAAGATTTAATTAGATTCTTCAAGTTCATCTTTTCTTGCTTTTTTTGGCTATGGATTCTGGAAACGATGATTCCAGAATCAGACAGTGTGATAGTAACAGAATCAACATTGTCCCGTTAGATATGGAGACTGCCGGCGGTGTGTCGTCGATGCCGAAGGACAAGAGACCAGGCGGCGGAGCAGAAGCGGCGAAAGTAGACGTGGGCGGCGGCGGCGGCGTTTTCTTGACGTGGGAAGATCTGTGGGTGACTGTATCGGATGGGAGGAAAGGGAACAAGGCTATTCTTAAAGGCCTCACCGGGTATGCTAGGCCCGGTGAACTCTTAGCCATCATGGGCCCTTCTGGCTGCGGCAAATCTACCCTCCTTGACGCTTTAGCAGGTATATATAATATGTTCAGTGTTTATAATTTATATATATATATTTTTTTTTTTTTGAAAGTTACTGGCTTTATTACATTGTAGTATCTGTTCATATACTTTCTCAATCTACTGAAACACAAAGAACCAATAACGCCTCCACTGAGGCTGGTTATTATATCTACTGAGGTTTATAATTTATATATATTATGCTCAACGGCCACTTATATATTATAGTATTGATGATCAGGAAGACTGGAGCTGACTACTAGGCAAAGTGGGGATATATTGATCAATGGTCGAACACAAACACTGGCTTATGGAACATCGGTATGTAAATAAATTAAATTAGAAAATTCTGGGACAACCACAACTAAGTTAATTCAAATATTAATTTAGGAACCATAAAGTTTCAAGTTTGACTTAGAGTAGTGTATTGATAATTTGTACCCGTTAATCATGGACAACTAAGCTGATTTACTTTTATGTGATCCTCTGCTTATTAAAATTAAGAATAAGGTTCAAATTGATTACTGAACGTAACTTGAAAATGCAATTGGGCCACTGAACGGAAAAAAAAAAAGTGTAATTAGACTACTGAACACTCTAAATGTATGCAATTTCACCTAATAGCAGGTTACGTTCAATTTTAGCAGGTTACCTGCTTACGTGACAGCTGAGTTTGACATTTTTAATAATAAATTTTAAAAATTGAAATTAAAAAAAAAAAAAAAAAAAAAACGACTGGGTGGCTGGCTTCCCTCCTCCCCTCCCCCCTTCTTTTATCGCCCACTGAGATTGTTTTTTTTAAAAAAAAAATTATTTAAAAATGTCAAATCAGTTGTCACGTATGCAAGTAACATGCTAAAATTGATGATAACTTGCTATCAAGTGAAATTGCATACATTTAGAGTATTCACTAGTCTAATTGTATTTTTTGTCGTTCAGTGACCTAATTGCATTTTTAAGTTAGGTTTAATGGCAAATTTGAACGTTGTTCCTTAAAAGTTAGACTGTGTTTACTCATGTGGCCTGGAAAAAGATGAATGAAATACTAAAGATTTTGAGGTGAAATGTGCAGGCTTATGTGACGCAAGAGGACACTCTGACTGCGACGCTAACGGTGCGGGAGGCCGTGTACTATTCGGCGCAGCTGCAGCTCCCGAGCTCGCTGCCGAGATCGGAGAAGAAGGAGATAGCGGAGATGACTATAAAGGAGATGGGATTGCAGGACGCCATGAATACCAGAATCGGAGGAGGGTGGGGGAACAAAGGGATAAGCGGCGGGCAGAAACGGAGAGTGAGCATTTGCCTGGAGATTCTCACCCGCCCCAAGCTTCTGTTCCTCGACGAGCCAACCAGCGGTCTCGACAGTGCCGCTTCCTACTACGTGATGAGCAAAATTGCGCGATTGGCTCGTGAGAATCGAACCGTGGTTGCGTCCATTCATCAGCCCAGCACTGAAGTTTTCAGCCTTTTCACTAGCTTGTGCCTGTTGTCTTCTGGCAGAGTTGTCTATTTTGGCCCCGCTTCTGCTGCAATCCAGGTTAATATATACTGAGCTGGGTTCACAAAAATAAGAAAAATGACTTTGAAATATCTATTTTGACCCACTTTTGTTGTTGCAGTTTTTTGAAACCAATGGTTTCCCTTGCCCAACTCTCCAGAATCCATCTGATCATTTCCTCAAAACCATAAACAAAGATTTTGACAATGATGATGAGGTACAATAAAATTGCTCCTAAACTTGCATTGCCTCCGATCCATTCATATGAATCATATTAACTTCAAGAAGCTTAAGGTTATATCGATATATGTATAATTTGAGCAGGACGTTGAACAAGGTTGTGCTAGAGGCATCCCCACAGAAGAAGTGATCAACATTCTGGTAAACTCATACAAATCATATCACAGATACCGAGAAGTTCAAGGACAGGTTGCTGAAATATCCAAGCAGGTAATCATCATCATCATACTTAGGGTGTGTTTGGTTCGCACATAGAAATCGGAATCGGAATGGGTATCAAATACTTGGTAATGGTAATGGGTTTTGGTGAAAGTATTTAACATGTTTGGTAGTAGGGTGGAATGGGAATGATTACTAATAGTAGTGCTTGAGAATGAATAAGGGAATGAAACTCTTATTTTATTTGGGTATGGGTTTTTCAATTGATGAGGTATTCGAAATCCATAGTAGTGTTCTAAAAACCTATCAACCAAACAACAACAATCACTTCCATACCCATTCCTATGTACAAAACCCACCAACCAAACACACCCTTAGATTTCTTGATGTTGCAAAACTATAGGGAATAACTTAAGTCAAGTTAGTCAAATCATTGATGTTGCAGATGACGTGTTAGGGGTGACTACACTAAGACATGTCACTACTAGCAACTAAATATTTTGTAGGGGTATCCCCTCTCTTTTGATCTAAAAGAAATTGATTTGCATAAAAGCAGTCTATTTAGGAATGTCAATTTTAGTCTGAAATAGATAAGCTGGCCCCATAAGGTAGACCAACAAATAAAGTTAAGGCCAATTTAGCCTGTAAAAAAAATCAGCCGAATAAATTCAAAATCGATAAGTTCGGTGACCAAAGCCATAAATTTAATGGGCTAGCTTGATTGCTCGAGCCTCTTAGCCTATTTTTTTGTTATAGAAGTGATGTTGAACAAAAGATACATTGATTTATATGTAAGCATCTTTATTATTTTTTATTAAAATTTTAATAAATTTATTATAAAATTAATAAAATATATTTCTTTATAAAAATAAATAATGAAAAATAAAAACTTACTATAAATATTAGGGAAATGCTTCCCACCCCTATAAAAACCACACAACTTATAGCTACTCCTTTGACATTAATATTATATTAATTGATTGAATAATGTATAAATTTATATTTATTAGTATAAATGCTCTAATTTATTAAAATTAATATTTTTGACTGTTAATTTTAAAATGTCAATAGTTTTACTTGAGCTGTCTGATAAGCCCAACAACATGAAATTTTAGAATTAAAGGCAAAATATTTTGAACAACAAAAAAATCAATTAGCTCAAACCAATAAACCTGAAAGCTCAATAGCGCTAGCTGAAATTGAATAGGGCAGCCCGATTAAGTTTGTGATGGTAGCAACTCAAACTGATTTACTTTAACTATATTTCTTACTGTTCAAGTTTGAGTTTACCAAGTGTACATCCTATCCAAAACTGAGTTAATTACATTTCAGGAAGGAGAAGTGCTGAAGAAAAGCAGTCGTGCAGACTTTTTCACTCAAAGCATTGTGCTGACAAGGAGATCTTTCTTGAACATGTTCCGCGATCTTGGCTACTACTGGCTGCGCCTGGGAATTTACATAACGTTGGCTGTCGGACTAGGATACATGTACAACGATGTTGGATACGGCAACAGTTCCATCCAGGCAAGATGCTCAGTGCTGGCGTTTATTGCCTCCTTCTTTACATTCATGGCCATCGGCGGCTTCCCCTCGTTCGTGGAAGACATGAAAGTGTTCAAGAAAGAAACCCTAAACGGGCACTATGGGTGCGGGGCATTTGCCATTGCCAACACACTTTCCTCCCTGCCATACCTCCTTCTAATATCACTCATTCCAGGAATGATTGCTTATTTCCCAGTAGGGCTTCAAAGGGAGTTTGGGCACTTTGCATACTTCGCCTTAGTCATTCTCATGAACATGTTGCTAGTAGAAAGCTTGATGATGATCATTGCCAGCCTGGTGCCAAACTACCTAATGGGAATCATCGCCGGAGCCGGATTACAGGCGCTGATGATCCTCGGCGGCGGCTACTTCCGGCTGCCCAAAGATCTACCAAAGCTGTTCTGGCGGTACCCAATATATTACATCGACTTTCATAAGTACGCTTACCAAGGCCTATACAAGAATGAGTTCCAGGGGCTGAGATTGCCAGAAGAAACCGGTCAGATCATCACCGGAGAAGAAGTTTTGAGGGAAACTTTGCAGGTTGAAATGGGTCATTCAAAGTGGATTGATCTCTTGGTTTTGGTGGTGATGGGGGTTGTGTGTAGGGTGGTTTTCTTGTTGGTTGTGAAGGCAAGTGAGAAGGCTAAACATGTTGTGAAAGCAGTGATGAGAGTGTCACCAAAACAAAGTCACCAGGTTGTAGCCACCTTCCCTTCTACTACACCTTCCCATACACCAAGTCCTACTACACGGTTTCTAAACATATAACCCAACAGTTCAATTAGTTTTTAAGTGGCAGACTATAAGTTAAGACATGACAAGAGAATTTCACTCAAATGTTGTATGTATTTGTATGGTATACATACGTATGTGGTATACCTCTCTCTTGTCCTATTAATAAAGTCATCAACTTTTTTTTTAGCAAGTTTCCATTAACCAATCAATGAAAAACATCACTTTAATTAAAGTGATCGATTCTTATGGCATAATAATCACTTGATTTGAACATTTTTAAGCTGAGTTATGATTCAAATACCGAATAGTGATCAATTTATGCGAAAATTCAGCTTCTTGCTCGTTTTTGTTCCACTTTTGTCATGGTTTGTCCTTGTGATCAAGACCATTAAAAATTCTACTCTTTGACTCTCTTGGAAGTATTTTATCCATCCTTTTAGATTCACCTTGCCTCTCAATGACCTCCAAATGCATCCAAAATGTCTCAAAATACACAATTGTCTTCAACTCAACAATTTAAACGTACACTTAAAGATATAAACAAATGAATTAAGACACTTCTTGTATAAAATTAAAGTATTTATCACTCAAAATATGTTTATATATAAGATAAAAACATGGACATATATGCACATATCATTTGGACATGCCCACAGCTTGAAATTTACTTTATTATCTCGGATCTTATCTAAATTCGGACATGGACTGTTTGTTTGACCAAGAGGTATATCGGTTCTTAATTATTAATTTATTATACTAAAAGAAAGGGTTATGTTTAGCCATGTAAGCACATGCATCCTATTTCAAACCCAACAACCAAAATTAAAATCGTAACAGCAACCTTGACGGTTGGGGACTTGAAACTTCATAGGCGCTTTAAATATAATGCATGCTCGCTTCGATCCAAATCTACAACCACCCTTTCATGACTTCATGCACTCCTATGCATGGTATCTTTTCTCTAGTGATCAAATTATAAGTTTGAATCTCAAATCTAAACCTGCCTCAGTGCTCATAAATAAACAGTAATGGAAGAAGTAAAGGTGCGTTTGGTTGGCAGGTTTAGCACTCAGGTATATGTATGAAAGTGATTGTTATTGTTTGGTTGGTTGATTTTTAAAATGCTACTATGAGTTTGGAATATCCCCATTAATAAAAAAAATACATTTCCCTTATTTTATAAGGGTTTCATCTCATTATTCATCTTAACTTAATCATTCCCATTTCACCCTACTACTAAACATGCAAAATACTTTTACCAAAACCCATTACCAGTATCAAGTATTTGATACCTACTCTGATTTTGATTCCCATGTGCGAACCAAACTCACTCTAAATTGTGAGAGTTGTCTCAACTGATATACATATCTTTAAATGCTAAACTGGTGAATGAGGTAAATGTTTGTACACTAGTACTTTTAACAAGGTCAAATTCATACCTCTCCTTTGGCAGCTAACAAATCATGTCTACTGAGCCATTGAGTCACTGTGATTTACATCTTCCCAAATGCTCTGATCGGAGTGTCGGGGCCCACAAAGTGCGACAAGATAGAAAGTCTGAATTGAATCCTTTATGCGCACATGAAGACTAAGATCTGACTGGTGTGTTAATTGAGAGACTCGTGATTTACCTCCACAATGACTTTAAGGATGGAGTTTCGTGAATTTAGAATTATTCCGACGAAACTAAGAATACCTAAGTTTAATTAAAAAAAAAAAAAAAACTCAAGAAAATAGAAAATGGCATACCAATAATGTGAATAGTTTTTTGAAAATAAAGAAGCTAATTCATTAATCATATCCTGAAACATTTACAATAAAGATCGATGGAATTGTTAAACATTCCTTATGATAAGTCAGAAATAAAAGCAACTTTCCTAACCATGCTATAGAAAACTTGATTCGTGTATTTCACAAATTTGAAGCTAAATTCTTTGGAGGAAGTTAAAGCTTACAAATAACGTAAATAGTTTTAAACAACTAAAGAAATAGAAAATGGCATAGGTACATGCCAATAGGACCACTAGTGCCCGTAACTTAAATGACTCATTGATCATTTAAACTTTTGATTGTTGGGATAGGTAACCAGTTGTCCACTTCATTGACATTATTATAGTACGAACAAAATGTGATAATATATATGATAATTATGGTTCTCAATAATACAAATCTAACACATGATAATTAAGTGTCTAATTGTTCACATTTTCACATTGCATTTAAACTTATTTTGCTTATAATTTGTTATAATTTTGCTCAAAGTGCTCTCCATCTATCTAATTCATTTGTGTGTTTATGTGTAATTCTTGATTGTCGAGAAGAATTGAATAATTTTTGGAGCATTTTAGATTCATGTAAAGTCGATAGGAGTCAAAAAAAATCGCTAAAACTACTCTCGGAGAGCTAAAAGATGATATTTTTATTGGTTTTTATCACAAGAGCAAACAAAGACAAAAGCTAAGCTAGTTGATTTCTTTTATTTCCTTACATATTTTTAGGTTAGATTAGACTTAGATTGGGGTTCTTAAACATATTTGAAACTTTTATTCAAGGATAATCTACATTTGGATTTAAGACTTTATCATCCGTTTCAATAAAAAAGTTCTATTTTCTTGCATTCAAAAAGAAGTTCTATTTTCTTAATATCTATTTCCATTATGCTATTTACATTTTAATTGGACCATAAATGGTCGGCAAATTATATCGTTTATCGCTGTGCATAATCGATTATGCACCGAGCTTCAAAACGACGTCGTTTTGTTTAATGAAAAGAAATGGCATCCGTTTCGCACAGTTCTTCAAAAAGTAACTCTGTTATTCAGTTTCATTTTGTATACACTGCAGTTTCAGTTCAACACAACTACAGTTTTATTTCGGTATAACTACAGTTTCATTCGATATTTATACACTCAAATATGTGAAAATGTTATTTAATTTTATTTTATATACACTATAGTTTCATGTAGTTGTGTTTTAATAAAATTATAGTGTATATAAAATAAAATTAAATAACATTTTCACATATTTGAGTCTATAAATATCGAATGAAACTGTAGTTATATCGAAATGAAACTGTAGTTGTATTGAACTGAAACTGCAGTGTATACAAAATGAAACTGAATAACAGAGTTACCTTTTGCGGAAGGGTGCGGAACGTCAGAAAACAAATGCCGTTTCTTTTCATTTAATAAAACAACGTCGCTTTGATGCGCGGTGCATAATCTGCACCGTGATGCACGATATAATTTGCCGGTAATATTCATATATACCGTCACCATCCATACATGCATGGTAATAATAGATTAAAATTTCGGCAAAAAAGATGGATAAATATCACATATCTATCGTCACTAAAAATGACATGTATGTAACTCAACATGGTAGCTTTAAGTAACAAATAAACTCGAGCAAGTTAAATGGACAAAAAAAAAAAAATGGGGACCACTTTATGGTTTACATACACCAAAAAGTGACACGTATGTACCAAGAACGCACGGCATGACCAAGCACGTATTAAATTCATTGATCACGCAATGATGTATATGATGAATTGAATTTGCCATGCAAACATTTATGCACGCGCGTCCTTCTCATTTGTTAAATAGTCTATCCTCGTATCTCTATATATTTGAAGCATGCATTGTTAATACAATACACATGCAAAAAATCAAACACATTATATTCCTTAAACTGAAACAATACGATTCTTCAAGTTTTTTTCCTTATGGATGTATAGTTATGTAATTCTGGATTTATAGTTATGAAATTATGGATGCGTAGTTATGCAATTCTGAATGTATAATTATGAAGTTATGCAATTTTGGATTTATAGTTATGAATTTATGGATGTGGATTTATACAATTCTGGATGTATAGTAATGAAGTTATGGATGTGTAGTTATGCAATTCTGGATGTGTAGTTAGAATTAATTTCACTTGTGGTCCCACGACTTTTGATGTTCTATCACTTTTGGTGCACAACTTTAAAATTTTTTAATTTTGGTGCCTAACTTTGTTATTTTTATCAATTTTGGTCTTTTCGGCCAAATTGACAGCGAAATGTTGTTGGATTTTATATTGTTAGGGGTAAAATCGTCATCCCAAGGAAACATCTTCAATATCTAAACAAAATCACCGTAAAATCATATCTATAGGTGTTTGATGATGAGAATAATGGGGAAGATGGGCAGAAACCAAACAGATCTATGGGATTTATAGTTTCGACCATTGGCAAACTCTTCTTTTCCTCTTAATATGATTTTTCTTTTGTTTAAATATTGAAGATCTTTTCATGGGATGACGATTTTGCCCCTAAAATATAAAAATCTGAAAATATTTTATCGTCAATTTGGCTAGAAGGACCTAAACTGATAAAAATAACAAAGTTAGGCACCAAAATTGAAAAAATTTAAAGTTGTGCACCAAAAATGATAAGAACTCAAAAGTCGTGGGACCAAAAGTGAAATTAATTCTGTGTAGTTATGCAATTCTGGATGTATAGTTATGAAATTATGGATGTGTAGTTATGCAATTCTGATTTTGTTTTTTAAGTCGACATCACACGGATGCACAACATAACGACTCGTATAAAACAGGCTACCCCTAATCCGCCAATTATAGCAAATGGACTGGACCAAGCAGAGAGGAGGTGAAACTGTGCACTTAATGCAGAGCCCAACGCACTTACACTGACCCATAGAGAAGTAACAGTTCTGGAGGGCAAGAACACTTATGAAAGAGAGCATCACAATTATTCAGAGGTCGTCATACTTATAATTGTGTAACTGTTATATTTTGTAGTATAAAAATCAAGTCCTTATAACAATAGGAGGGACACGCGGAATCTTGTACTAAGAACCAAAAACAATACAATTCTCCTCTGTTTACTTACACATAAAATATTATATAAAATTTATAATTTATGTTAAAATTATTATTAGTGTTAGTAGCTTAGTTGCTTGAATTACAAATTTGATATTGATGAAAGGCTTATGTCATTGGTTCAAATCTCATTAGAAAGACTTTTTCTTATATTCCCTCATTTATTTTATCTATTTCATTCCTTCACAAGTTAAATTAAATATTTTTTAGTCTACTTTTTACGAATTCGTAATTAACAAATTAAATACTCTTTTAGTCTACTTTTTATTAATTATTTAATTATTATAGTAATATAGTATACAAGTTTATATTATTACTTTATTCTATTCGAATTAATTTAGCAAAACTAATATAATTAAAAAAAAAATTAAAAAGTATTTTTTTTTTTGAATGTAAAAAGTATTTATGAATATAGTGTTATTCAAATTATTTTATCTAATTGATTATATTCCATATTTTGTCATAAATATTTTTACATTTTCACCCCACTTAGGTATATTTTTTGGCTCCTACGTAACTATCATGTAATCTATCAAAAACATTCTATTATAATTTATAATGTACTTTGTATTTAAACCTTATTATGATTATTTAATATTGGAAAAAGGGTCAAATAAGTCATCGAACTTTAGCTTAAAAGTCAATTAGACTCCTAAACATTTTAAAGGTGCAATTACACCCATCAACAATTCATTTAGATGCAATGAAGCCCAAAAACATGTTAATGACCTGTTATAACATGTCATTAGGGTTCAGGCCACCTTCCGGCAAAAAAAAAAAAAAAAAAAAAAAAAAAAAAGTGACCGGCAAAATTTCCAGCAAAAACAAAAGTGACCGGCGACTGACGAACAGTCACCGCCGGTCACTTTTTTGATGGAAATTTCGCCGGTCACTTTTTTGATGGAAATTTTGCCGGTCACTTTTTTGCTGAAAATTTCGCCGGTCACTTTTTTTTGCTGGAAATTTCGCCGAAAGGTGGCCTGAACCCTAATGATCTCTGATAGCAGGTCATTAACTTATTTTTGGGCTTCATTGCACCTACATGAATTGTTGATGGGTGTAATTGCACCTTTAAAAAGTTTAGGGACTTAATTGACTTTTAAGTTAAAGTTCGAAGACTTATTTGACCATTTTCTCTTTAATATTTTGTCATTAACATTTTAAATGTCATTTAATTTTTGCGCCTACTTAAATGATTTTCTTGATCCAACCCTACGGTCACCATTATCCCTACCTGCATGGGTAAGAATGGTGGTGTATTCTTAAAAGAAAAAAAAAAAAAAAAGACTTTTTACACAATCTTATACTCCGTAATTAGTATCCGTACAATAGTTATGAAAAGTTTTTTACAACAGCGGATTAATTGTTCTGTACTAATGAGACGTCCTTCTCATTTGTTAAACAGTCTGTCCATGTCCACTTATATCTCTATATATTTGAAGCATGCATTGTTAATACAGTACACATGCAAGAAATCAAACAGATTCCTTAAACTGAAACAAAAAGATTCTTCAAGTTTTCTTCTCGTTTTTATTTTCGCTATGGATTCAGGAAACGATTCCAGAATCAGACAATGTGATAGTAACAGAATCAACATCGCCCCGTTAGAGATAACGGAGACTGCAGCTGTGTCGGAGCCGAAAGACAAGAGATCAGGCGGCGGAGCAGAAGCGGCGAAAGTAGGCGGCGGCGGCGGCGTTTTCTTGACGTGGGAAGATCTGTGGGTGACTGTATCGCTTGGAAGGGAAGGGAACAAAGCAATTCTTAAAGGTCTCACTGGGTATGCCAAGCCTGGTGAGCTCTTAGCCATCATGGGCCCTTCTGGCTGCGGCAAGTCTACCCTCCTTGACGCTTTAGCAGGTATATATAATGTTCAGTGTTTATAATTTATATATATTATGCTCAACGGCCACTTATATATTATAGTATTGATGATCAGGAAGACTGGAGCTGACTACTAGTCAAAGTGGGGATATATTGATCAATGGTCGAACACAAACACTGGCTTATGGAACATCGGTATGTAAATAAATTACAAAATTCTGGAAAAATCGCAGCTAAGTTAATCAGAATGTTGGTTTAGTAACCAGAAAGTTTCAAGTTTGATTTAGAGTAGTTTATTGATAGTTTGGACTGGTCAGTCATGGACAGCAACTAGACTGATTGATTTTTATATGATATGATCTTTTACTTATTAAAGTTACAAGAAGGTTGTGTTACTGGCATATCCAATATTAATATTATCTAAATTAAATTTTAGGTGAAAACTGAAAAATTAGAGAACAGAGAACAATTTTCTATTAATAAACAATTTTCTAAATAGAAAACAGAGAATGAAAACTGAAAAATTAGAAAACAGAAAACACAACAGTTTTCTGTTAGTAAATGGACCCTAAAGATTTTGAGTATTGATGGATATATTATGATCGGAGCAAACCGACCCGGGAAGTGGAGCAATGAAGTATGAAATGGACCCGGGATCTGGAGGTTGAACCCCGTGCTCGACCCAAGGTGCCTCGCCCATATGAGGTCGACCACATGAGGTCGGCCATGTGAGCTCGGCCACATAAGGTCGGCCATGGTGAGCTCGGCCATATGAGTTCGGCTATGGTGAGCTCGACCATATGAGCTCGGCCACATGAGTTCGGCCATGTGAGCTCGACCACGGTGAGCTCGGCCTTATGAGCTCGGTCATGGTGAGCTCCGCCATGTCGAGCTTGGCACACTCGCAGACCAGGTCTACACCCGGCCGCAGTCAACTCGGAGATCCAACTACCCCCGATTAGGGGGAGGTAGCTTGTATAAAAGTCCCCTCATCCTAACAAGGCATGTTCACTATTTTACACCTACTATTGTTCTAATCAAGTTTTATAATAACTTATTAGCCATACTTAATACAAGGTTTCGCGATCTACGGTTCTTGCGACCTTACGATATCCTTGAGTTACATTTATTTATTTCATATCACGTTTTTATCCGGATTCATTGATTTGAGTCTACCCGGGTCAATTAAATCCATCAAGTATATATATGTGTGTGGTGAAATGTGCAGGCTTATGTGACCCAAGAGGATACTCTGACTGCGACACTAACGGTGCGGGAGGCCGTGTACTATTCCGCGCAGCTGCAGCTCCCGAGCTCGTTGCCGAGATCGGAGAAGAAGGAGATAGCGGACATGACTATAAAGGAGATGGGGCTGCAGGACGCCATGAATACGAGAATCGGAGGAGGGTGGGGGAACAAAGGGATAAGCGGCGGGCAGAAACGGAGAGTGAGCATTTGCCTGGAGATTCTCACCCGCCCCAAGCTTCTGTTCCTCGACGAGCCAACCAGCGGTCTCGACAGCGCCGCTTCGTACTACGTGATGAGCAAAATTGGGCGCTTGGCACGCGAGAATCGAACCGTGGTTGCGTCCATTCATCAGCCCTGCACTGAAGTTTTCAGCCTCTTCACTAGCTTGTGCCTGTTGTCTTCTGGCAGAGTTGTCTATTTTGGCCCTGCTTCTGCTGCAATCCAGGTTAATATATACCATATTTACCAATTTCTTGATTTGACAGAATGATAGTCTAGCCTAGTTTAGCTCTTTGCATTGTGATTTTTTGCTTGTTAGGATCACAAAAAAGGGATTTATCCAGTTCACAAAAATAAGAAAAATGATTTTGAAATATCTATTTTGACCCACTTTTGTTGTTACAGTTTTTTGAAACCAATGGTTTCCCTTGCCCAACTCTCCAGAATCCATCTGATCATTTCCTCAAAACCATAAACAAAGATTTTGACAATGATGATGAGGTAAAATAAAATTGCTTCTAATAAACTTTCATATGTCCCTTCATATTAACTTCAAGAAGCTTATTAAGGTATATATATATATCTATATATGTACAATGTGAGCAGGACATTGAACAAGGTTGTGCTAGAGGCATCCCCACAGAAGAAGTGATCAACATTCTGGTAAACTCATACAAATCATCTCACAGATTCCGAGAAGTTCAAACACAGGTTGCTGAAATATCCAACCAGGTAATATATCATCATCATCATACTTAGATTTCTTGATGTTGCAGAAACTATAGGCCGGGAATAACTTCAGTCAATTACATTTCAGGAAGGAGAAGTGCTGAAGAAAATCAGTCGTGCAGACTTTTTCACTCAAAGCATTGTGCTGACAAGAAGATCTTTCTTGAACATGTTCCGCGATCTTGGCTACTACTGGCTGCGCGTGGGAATTTATGTGGCGTTGGCTGTCGGACTAGGATACATGTACAACGATGTTGAAAACAGCAACAATTCCATCCAGGCAAGATGCTCAGTGCTGGTGTTTACTGCCACGTTCTTTACATTCATGGCGATCGGCGGCTTCCCCTCCTTCGTGGAAGACATGAAAGTGTTCAACAAAGAAAACCTGAACGGGCACTATGGGTGCGGGGCATTTGCCATTGCCAACACACTTTCTTCCCTGCCATACCTCTTTCTGGTGTCACTCATTCCAGGAATGATTGCTTATTTCCCAGTAGGGCTTCAAAGGGAGTTTGGGCACTTTGCATACTTTGCCTAGGTCATTCTCATGAACATGTTGCTAGTAGAAAGCTTGATGATGATCATTGCCAGCCTGGTGCCAAACTACCTAATGGGAATCATCACCGGAGCCGGATTACAGGCGCTGATGATCCTCGGCGGCGGCTACTTCCGGCTGCCCAAAGATCTACCAAAGCTGTTCTGGCGGTACCCAATATATTACATCGACTTTCAGAGGTTCGCTTACCATGGCCTATTCAAGAACGAGTTCCTGGGGCTGAGATTGCAAACGGAAACCGGTTGGATCATCATCACTGGAGAAGAAATTTTGAGGGATGAATTGCAGGTTGAAATGGGTCATTCAAAGTGGATTGATCTCTTGGTTTTGATGGTGATGGGAGTTGTGTGTAGACTGGTTTTCTTGTTGGTTGTGAAGATGAGTGAAAGGGCTAAACATGTTGTGAAAGCAGTGATAATGAGAGTTTCACCAAAAGAAAGTCACCAGGTTGTAGCCACCTACCCTTCTTCTACACCTTCCCATACACCCAGTGCTATTATAAGGTTTCTAAACATATAACTTCCGCACCAGCAATTCTGTTGGTTCATGAATGATAGATTGTGTGAGGATATAAGATCGAGCCCTGACAACGTTACTGCATGCAGTATAGTAAGAATTTCACCTTTATGATAGACTCTTTATGGGTACCAACACTGGTCCTCTCACCTAATGGACGGTTGAGGCATTGTAACGACTTATCATGAATTCTACCATTGTGTCAAGTTGGAGGCGAGGGAGTTGACCTTTTGTGAGTAAGATTTTTAAACATATAGTGTATGAATTAAGAGTTAGACTCTAATTTTTTTTTTTTTTAATTGAAAAGTAGGGTAACAAAAGCCCTTAATAGTCTTCAATGAAGATTCTTCGTCGCAAGAAACTCTAATGTTGTAAGTGGGTGTATTATCTTCCCTGGGCTAGAGATGTGTCCTTGTTTAATCCCCCAATAATAGTCAATTACTCGATCTTCTAATATATTTGTCAAACTAACTTACTTTTTAATGGTGTTAAATATAATAGTCAATTTTTTATTCATCTTTGATCATCATCTTTTATCAATAAAATTGTGCTTCGTGACATAAATTTTACGACTTCAGTGTCTATATATTGTTTTCCTTTCATCAATAATTAAGACCTTTGATGGAGTACACAAATATGTGTTTTTTTTTAATTACAAATATGTGGTAATTAAAATAACATAATTCACAATTAACACATAAATATTAAGAAATTTCCATTTTTTAAAACAACACGTGCACACACAAATATAAGTTTGAATTGAACCTCACACTTAAAAGTTTCTCACCGCTCTTGTCTTGGAAACCGATAAAGAGGATAAAGCAAGGGATGTGCTTCGACTGACCTACAACCCCCAAATGCTTGTACACTAGCCTAGTGCATACAAATATATATACATATTATGTGTGCAATTATATATGACATTAAAAATGAATATTAAGAGATACATAATAATTTAAAACAAGCTAAGATAGAACCTAGAAGAAGAAAACACAATTACATCAAATGATTTCGACCCGTGATGTCTTCCTAGGGTGACTAAATGAAGAGAACATAAATCAATCTATGGTTGTAAGCAATTTGGTTAAAGGCGCCAATCTCTTGGGTCAACATCCACAGTTACCCATTAATCCTCAACCACAACTTTGAGTTGAACTTGGATACATAGTCCAAGATATTAGGGTTTACCCACAAGTAAAATGTTGGAAGTTAAAACCATATGTATTTGCCAAAAAAAATAAATCATACATATCGTACGGCACGTTTTAAAGTTTAATGAAATTGTGTCCATTCATTTGACATGTACAAGACAAAACATACGTATGCCAATTGCCAACCTTTACATATTATCAACGTCATTTTGTCAATTTTGTGGGGTTATTGGCAATGAAATGGAGTCTGCACCACGTAAAACACAATATTGACCCTGTTTAATAAAATAGTTAGTTTATTAGCCAATTTTAATTTATTTGATCAATATAAATTGTTCGACTTGGTTAAAAAATCAATATAAATTTTTGGTTAATCAATTTTTTACAACTCTAAAATGCTAAAAATTTAAAATGCTGCTCAAACTAACTTTTTTCAATTAGCTTTTTTGAAAAAAGAAATTATATTAAACAGTTATCAGCTAACAACTAATTTACCAAACATTTTTATACAATAAGCTAATGTTATCAACTAGTTATACTCTCTAACTCAATCAGCTAACAGTACGTCATTTACCAAACATGGTCATATTTTTTTTTTTTGGCGTGTGTCAATAGTGCTTTCCATGTTCTCAGATCAATTACCTCCAATATATATCATTGTTGGAAATCTTTAATTTTCCGACCACCTAAATAAATTGTCGAAAAAGTGACATTGTTTCAATTTTTCGTCGAAGGATTATGGTGGGGAAATAGGTTGGAAATCTTTAATTTTCCAACCACCTAAATAAAATTTTAACCAATTTGATCCTCTGTTTGTTTGACCGTTAGCCAACCGTTAACTTGGGGTCAAATTGGTAATTTCACTATAGTCAAGGGACCATTTTGATAATTAACTTTAGAGGTGGGCAATTCGATTTAGTTTGGTTCGGTAATATACCGAACAATCGAACAGCATTGGATTCTTGTATACCGAACGGTTCGATAAAAAAATGATCTGAACTGATCCGAATTGTTCGATAAAAAATTGAACTGAACCAAATACCGTTTGATTTTTTTAAATATAATAATAATAATAATAATAATAATAATAATAATAAATAAATAAATAAATAAATAAATACATAAAAAGTAAATCCAAGCCCCTTGATGCTTGCTCTGCCGTTCAACTCATATTCTCACGGGTATCTCTCGTAAATGTTTTATTTGATTTCTTTATGGTTTGTTATCAAAAGTTCTATATTATGTGTTATGGTGTTTACATAGTCCATATCCAAAGTCTAATATATAACAAAATGGCAATTCAAAGTTCAAACGGTATTCGGTTCGGTTCGAGTTTTTATTGAACCGTTCGGTATACAAGAATTTATTACCGTTCGATATATTATCGAATATAGCTAGTTTGGTACGGTTCGGTTCGAGAAAACTGAACCAAATTGTCCACCCTTAAAGTTAATTATCAAAATGGTCCCTTGACTATAGCGATTTACCAATTTGGTCCCAAGTTAACGGTCAAACAAATGGAGGACCAAATCGGTTAAAAAATTTAAAGTTGAAGGACTTAATTAGTTAAAAAAATAGCCAAAGACCAAATTGATAATTTCGCTATAGTCAAGAGACTATTTTGATAATTAACTCTATTTTAAAAGTTCACAATCTCGATCAATACTAAAAATATACAATTTATGATCAAGACCCACTTGCGAGGTGGACCTGTTCCATGATATAACAACTGATTCTCCATAGGCTGGAGTTGGGGTTGAAAATGATACCAAGAAAATAATGACTGATCCATATATTAAATTAATTAAATTCAATATATTCCTCATGAATAGTTCATGCACGTATATATATATATATATATATATATATATATATATATATATATATATATATATATATATATATATATATATACCCGCATACACGCACTAATACTGCACCATATTATTTCTTCAAGAACTAAAATATTAAACCTGCTTTCTTAGCTTCTTTCTATTTCATCCTCTGATCTTTTGATTTAGATAATGGATTGTGATCATGAGTCCCCCATTAAACCGCAAGCTAGTAAGGAACTCATCAACGTTATCCCATTAGAGATGGAGAGTGCAATGGCGGCAACCCAAAGAGAAGATAAAAGAGGCGGCGGCGGCGGTGTTTTGTTGACGTGGGAGGATTTATGGGTTACTGTGTCTGTTGGAAGGGAAGGGAAGAAGCCTATTCTTAAAGGTCTCACTGGGTGTGCCAAACCTGGGGAGCTCTTAGCCATCATGGGCCCTTCTGGCTGTGGCAAATCTACTCTCCTTGATGCCTTAGCAGGTACATATATAAATAGTATTAATAATTTGGTAACCACAAAATTTCAAATTCAACTTTCTATATATAAAAAGGGTATTATGTCAGACTGGGCTTTATTATATTATATTCATGAACTCAAGCGTATAATGTTTTATAACTTATGCATTATCGATCTGTATTATCACATACAATTATGTGAGTGTTTATATATATATGGAGCAGGAAGGTTGGAGTTGAGCACTAGGCAAAGTGGGGATATTCTGATCAACGGTCGTTCACAACCATTAGCTTATGGAGCATCGGTATGCAAACCAGATTCAAATTACTCTCACTCTCATCTCTTTACAGGTTAAACATACATTACATATTATATATATGTATATGTATGGGTAACTTACCAGCTCTCACTACCCGAGAGTACAGTGTGCACTGGTAAACCTGTCTTGTGATCCTAACTAAGAAGGCTTAGATTTAAACTTGTGACCTTGTGATTACATATTGTTTGATGGGGCGGGGGGAAATGTATTGGCAGGCGTACGTGACACAAGAGGATACACTGATTGCGTCGCTAACGGTGCGAGAAGCCGTGCAGTACTCGGCGCAGCTGCAGCTCCCGAACTGGATGGCGAGATCGGAGAAAGAGGAGATAGCGGACATGACGATAAAGGAGATGGGGTTGCAGGGCGCCATGGACACCAGAATCGGAGGAGGGTGGGGGAGCAAAGGGATAAGCGGCGGACAGAAACGGAGAGTGAGCATTTGCCTGGAGATTCTCACCCGCCCCAAACTTCTCTTCCTGGACGAGCCAACCAGCGGTCTTGACAGTGCCGCTTCCTACTACGTGATGGGCAAAATCGCGCGGTTGGCGCGCGAGGGAAGAACCGTTGTGGCGTCCATTCATCAGCCCAGCGCCGAAGTTTTCAGCCTCTTCACTAATCTCTGCCTCTTGTCTTCTGGTTCTGTGGTCTATTTTGGCCCTGCTTCTGCTGCAATTGAGGTACTATATACATATATAGGGTCAGGTTCGTCTGAGGTCAGGTCTTCCCGTGCGATCAGTACGGCATACACCATTAGGTATGCATAAATGCACCACACAGTGTTCGTAAATATAACATATGTGTAGTGTATTTTTTGACATTTCATTATGATGTATTTTCAAACAGTGTATGGTGCATTTATGGATACCGTATGTCGCATTGACCGCACGGAAAGACCTGACCTCACAGGAACCAAAATAAATAAATAATATATATATATATATATATATATATATATATATATATATATATATATATATATATATGCATTCTTGGTTTTGAAGTATTATATATTGTTGTTTAATTTAACCATATATATTTATATGTGTATGGTGTTTTGATGATGCAGTTCTTCGAAAGCTGTGGTTTCCCCTGCCCAACTCTCCACAATCCATCTGACCATTTCCTCAAAACTATAAACAAAGATTTTGATAATAATGATGAGGTAATTAAATTAAAATTACTTCTAAACCTGTTAATGATGCGTTACATATGCCAACTCCTTGAATGGTTGTTAATGTCTCTAATAACACATTTGTTACATACACTTTAGTACGTCTTTCACAAATCAAAGGCGGAAGAGAACATTACGTACAAAGCAATCGAGTACGGTCCACACGAAATATGTGTCTAATTAATACAAACTCAAAAATTAAAGAAATAAAGAGTTTATTCTACAAGGCAAAATATCAAAAGTGTTACAAGTTTAGGGTGTTAATTAGTCACGCCACAATCAAATCTGTTCCTACATTGACCAAAAATAACTAAACCAACTATTAAAAATAAAGCAATTTAATTTTAAAATATAAGATACTGACTCATTGTGCATAAGTACAAACTCCCCGCCCACTCGATTTATTACAAGGTAGTATCTGCTCTATACTTTTTCAAAATGTTGAAAGCCAAAGAGTTAATACCCACCATTCTGTGACCTTTCCTCAAGAGGAGCCACAAGAGGTGCCATTTGAGCACAAGGTGTTTGGCACCACTATCTTTCAAATCTCTAGAAACTAAAAATATAAAAGTTGTGCATAATTATTTTTAACTTTTTATAGTCTTAAATCACCCCAATCTAATTTCATATTAGAGAATAATAATAATAATGATAATAATAATAATCTATGTGTGACAGATTTAAACTCGTTCAATGTAACAAGGGCGGTCCAATTCATAGGACAAATTATTATGTGGACAATGGTTCACACAATGCTGTGTGGACCACAAAAAATACATTTTAAGTATATATTAAAAGTACATTATTTATGTACTAAATATACATTATATAAAATAATGTACTTTCAGTATTCAAAAAGTGTATTTTTTTTTCTGAATATAAGATACATTTTTAATATATTAAAAGTATATTATTTGATAGTATAAAAAATAATGTATTTTATGTACACAAATAATATAATATACTCTGCCATGCTTCAATTCATAGCTTTCAATTTCGACCATGCTGGGAAATTATATTGTGCGTCCTGGTCCAAAACGACGTTGTTTTTATAAGTTGGTTAGGAGTTGACACGACGGATACCGTTTCGTCCGTCCAATCACGTTACAGTTTTTTGATTATTATGTTAAGAGTTTATGTTTATTATGTTTGAAGTTTATGTGTATTCTATTATATAAAACGACGTCGTTTTAGGCCAGGGCGCATTGTGCGCCCTGGTGCACGATATAAGGATTGATCTTCAATTAGACCAACTCTTTGGGCTCATTTTTAATAATCTTTAATCAAGAAAAATCTGCCTTGTCGTTAAAAGTATTCGACCCAAATTGGGCTATCTCTATATATACGAATAATGTGGGCAGGACATTGAACAAGGCTGTGCTAGAGGCATCCCCACAGAAGAAGTGATCAACATTCTGGTAAACTCATACAAATCATCTCACAGATTCCGAGAAGTTCAAACACAGGTTGCTGAAATATCCAACCAGGTACTCATCATCATACTTTTATGGGATAGATTTCTTCTTTGATTTGAAGTTGGCAAATTAATTACATCGTCTGATCTCAGGAAGGAGAAGTGCTGAAGAAAAGCAGTCGTGCAGACTTTTTCACTCAAACCATTGTGCTGACAAGAAGATCTTTCTTGAACATGTCCCGTGATCCTGGCTACTACTGGCTGCGTCTCGCAATTTATGTGGCTTTGGGTTTAGGCCTTGCCTACATTTACCTGGATCTTGGTCGGAGCTATTCTTCGATTCAGGCACGGTGTTCCGTCATCATGTTCGTCGCTTCATTCTTGACGTTCATGGCGATCGGCGGCTTCCCTTCATTCGTCGAAGATATGAAAGTGTTTCACAGAGAAAAGCTGAATGGGCACTATGGGTGCGCCGCATTTGTGATCGGAAACACCTTTTCTTCGCTGCCATTTTTGCTGCTCGTCTCGTTAATCCCAGGAGCGATTGCTTATTTCCCCATCGGACTTCAAAGAGGATTTGATCACTTTTCCTACTTTGCCTTGTCCCTTTTCGCTAGCATGTTGGTGGTCGAGAGCTTAATGATGATCGTCGCCACCGTAGTTCCGAACTATCTAATGGGGATCATCGCCGGAGCTGGAATACAGGCTCTGATGATACTCGGCGGCGGGTATTTCCGGCTGCCGGACGATTTGCCTAAGCTCTTCTGGAAGTACCCTTTATACTATACTTCCTTCCATAGCTACGCTTATCAAGGCTTATTCAAGAACGAGTTTCAAGGTCTGAGATTCTCATCTATGAGAGAAGGTCATGATGTCATCACCGGAGAAGAAGTTCTGAGAGATGAGTTGCAGGTAAAAATGGGGCATTCAAAATGGGTTGATCTCTTGGTGTTGGTGGGGATGGTGGCTTTGTATAGGCTGCTGTTCTTGTTGGTTGTGAAGGCAAGTGAAAAGGCTAAACCTGCCATGAAAGCACTAATGAGAGTCTCACCAAAATAATCAAAAGCTTCAAAGTTTGACTCATAATGGAGTGACCTATTATTAGTCTTTTTTTATTTGAGTCGGTCAACTAAGATCAGTTGGTTTACCTGTTGTGTTATCATTTGTACGAGTAGTTGGTTTACCTTCTTATGATCGGTTGTCAGCTAATTAAGGTCATAATGTAGGGCCGATTTATTTCGTGCACGACTTTAGATAGTGACAATGGTTTCCCGTCATTCACTAAAGTAATAATAATGTAAAATTGTGCCCACCTACCCTACTACTACCATACACTCAAATGACTCAATCTTGTATCACAAGCTCTAGCTAAACTAAAAGAGTGTATGAATAGACAAATCATTATATAGATGTATTATGTCTTTTGCTCCATATGGTACTCATATATGTATGTATGTACCTACCATAAAATTGTTATATATTTGAAATTATTGGATGTACTTGGCACTTAGCTTAGCTTGTTTAATTTCCTTCTATAGTATGAATAGATAGGTGTACCAGTATTTCTTGTACAAAAATGCAGGGCAGTTGTTTATCTTATATATAGTTGTATGTATGTGTTTTGTACTTGTGTATATTTTTTAAAATGCCACATTCATTAACAAGTTATTACATAGTGCTCTAACTTATTTGGGTGAAATTTCTATTGTTGGAACCAACAGAAATTGGGTAACTTAAACTGCGTTCACTCTGATTCTCCAATTTTTAAATCTTTCTCTAGTTTTTTTTTTTTTTTTTTTTTTTTTTTTTTTTTTTTTTTTTTTTAAATGGTATGTACAAACAAATTTAAAAAAACATATAATCCAATAGTTTGGAACATATGTAAATATAGAATAGGAAAATAGACTCCTATACGGATGTATCATGTTAAAGAGTTTTGGGTAAGTCTTTCCATGTTCCACCCACACCACACTTTGGATTAGTTTTACGAAGATATGGAAATTTCTTAAAAAAATTAAGGGGGTGTTTGGTTCGAACATGAGAATCGGAATCGGAAAATGAATCAAATACCTGATAATTGGAATGAATTTTGGCGGTAGAGTAGAATTAGAATGATTACAAATATTGATATTTGGTTATGTATGATCCTACAACCAGAATAAAAGTTTTAAAAATACAAAAAAAAAAAAAAAATCAAGGCAATTGATCCGACGATGAAATGAATAAGCAATGCAATGATGAAGTGGATGATGTGAGGAGACGAAATGCAATAATGCAGATGAATAAGGCTAAATTAATAATATAAAATGATACATGATTTAAATTAGGCAGGTTAAATTAATAATATAAAATGATACATGATTTAAATTAGGCTCGACTCGATTCCCTCGAATTCAATCCAATTCGTGCCAAACAGGTTCAAGTAAGAAGAATAGGGTTTAGGTTGTAATATTGTATTTCACAGCAAATAATATAATAATCTAGCCATTAGCCATGCATGCATGCATGCAAGAGCTTTCGAAAAGAATCTGCAGGATCATATATAGTGTGCCCAATAATATAATCCATCCATTATTATATTACGGAGTATATATATTGTTGTATGTATTTTTCTGGGTTTTCTACTACGTTTCTGGATCATGATGACCATCCTCCTCAGCTCGTCTGTCCTCGTACAGGCGGGCACAAAACTGAAGAACCACGTCACCTATTATAAATATAGTTTTGGTAAGATTCGGTAAGGTTTTGGGTAAGATACTCAAACCTACTGCGCGGCTGCGCGTAAGAGTTAAGGAGTGGTCGGAGAGTCGTTCCCTGCAAGTTGGAATCAACATATATAAATATTTATATACACACCATAACTCTACCCACACCTGCTGCACCCTGCTTTTGAGTTGGAGATCTGATCTCTTTTTTTGGAGGGAAACCCGCAGTCATTACCTGAGGGTGTTGATCTGATCTTTACGGCTATGGAGGCGGGTCGTGGGTTGTTCGGCAGCGGCGGTGGAGATTTCCGGTCGCCGGAGGAGCCTTTCCTCACCCCTGCAAGCTTCTTTCCTTCTTCTCAGGGTTAGATCCAACTAGCTATCACGTCACTGCTGAAAATTATGAAATTTCCACCACCTAAAAGTGATCTTTAAGTCTTGTTTCGACCACTTTTTGCTTTCAACTTAATTTAAAATCACTTCAACTACTAGTGCGTATTATATTATGTGGTTTTGTTAACTCTTTTTTTTGTTTTTTTTGTTTTTTTTTTTGTTTTCTTGATTTTCTGTGCATTTAATTAGTAGATGGTGTTTTCCTGACATGGGAGGATTTATGGGTAACGGTGTCTGCAAAGGAAGGTACGAAGGCCATTCTTAAAGGTCTGACCGGGTATGCGAGGCCCGGTGAGCTCTTAGCCCTCATGGGCCCTTCTGGCTCCGGCAAGTCCACTCTCCTTGACGCTTTAGCAGGAAGACTAGAGTTGACGACTAGGCAGAGCGGCGACATTCTCATCAACGGTCGGAAACAGACACTGGCTTATGGAACATCGGTACGTGATAGATTCCGATGAATTGAATATGCTTGTGATAATGAAATGGGATTAACAAGGAATATAATTGAACAGGCGTACGTGACACAAGACGACAATCTGATCTCATCGCTGACGGTGCGAGAGGCGGTGTACTTCTCGGCGCAGCTGCAGCTGCCGAACTCGGTGGCGAGATGGGAGAAGAAGGAGATAGCGGAGATGACGATAAAGGAGATGGGGCTGCAGGGCGCCATGGACACCAGAATAGGAGGAGGGTGGGGGAGCAAAGGGATAAGCGGCGGACAGAAACGGAGAGTGAGCATTTGCCTGGAGATTCTCACCCGCCCCAAACTTCTCTTCCTGGACGAGCCCTCCAGCGGTCTTGACAGTGCCGCTTCCTTCTACGTGATGAGTAAAATTATGGATTTGGCTAGCGAGGGAAGAACCGTTGTTGCGTCCATTCATCAGCCCAGCGCTGAAGTTTTCAGCCTCTTCACTAATCTCTGCCTCTTGTCTTCTGGTTCTCTTGTCTATTTTGGCCCTGCTTCTGCTGCAATTCAGGTATATATATGTTGAGCATATAACCATTAATATGCAATTCAATTATTAGCTTAAGCTTTTAGTTAAGAAGGAACACATGCTTCAATTTTGTATCAGTTCGAATCTCTACGTCTCCCATAATCCACGTGTTGCTTGGAACCCATAACCATTAGTGTGCAATTCAACTATTAGCTTAAGCTTTTAGTTGAGGTGGAGTATGTGAGCATATAGCCATTAACGTGCAATCAAACTATCAGCTTAGGCTTTTAGTTGAGATGGAGCACATGCTTCAATTTGGTATCAGAGCCAGACCAAAGGTTAAAATCTCAACGTCACTCGTAAGCGACAACGGTTTATCAGTCCACGCCCACCACAATAGGTGGGGGAGCTTGACACAGCCCACCACAATAGGTGGGGGAGCTTGACACAGCTGGACAAGATAACAAGATAACAAGCTTGTGACGGAGGATGGAGCACATGCTTCAATTGTATTCTTGATTATTGGTTTTGAAGTAATATTGTTCTTTGATGTCACTAACGCAGTTAGCTTCTTTAATTTGACCATAAATGCCCATGCATGGTGTTTTTGTTGATGCAGTTCTTCGAAACCTGTGGTTTCCCTTGCCCACCTCTCCAGAATCCATCTGATCATTTCCTCAAAACTATAAACAAGGATTTTGATGGTTATGATGAGGTAAGCCAAATTTATTGTCACCATTCAATTTTCTAATATAAACAATTGGCCTAATTAATGTACTTAGTACATACTGACCAAACAATATACATATTGTGAGCAGGAAAGTTTACGAGGTCGTGCCAGAAGCATGCCCACAGAAGAAATCATCAATATTCTCGTACGGTCTTACCGATCATCCGACAGATACCAAGAAGTTCAAACCCAGGTTGCTGAAATATGTCGGCAGGTAAGATGATGAATATATAGTATACAAATTAATTAATAATAAGGATTATTATTGGTTAATTATAATCAAGTTAATAATAATCCTTCAGGAAGGAGAAATGCTGAAGAAATCAAGCCATGCAAGCTTCATGACCCAAAGCGTTGTGCTGACGAAAAGATCATTCTTGAACATGTACCGGGATCTGGGCTACTACTGGCTGCGTCTGGCGATTTATATAATCATGGGTGTCGGACTAGGTTTAATGTACAAAGACATCGGTCGGAGCTACACTTCGATCCAGGCACGATGTTCTGTCATCATGTTCGTCGCTTCCTTCCTGACGTTCATGGCGATCGGCGGCTTCCCGTCGTTCGTGGAGGACATGAAAGTGTTCCAAAGAGAGAAGCTGAACGGGCACTACGGCTGCGGCGCGTTCGTGATCGGAAACTCCTTCTCTTCCGTCCCCTACTTACTCCTCATATCGCTAATCCCAGGCCTGCTGGCTTATTACCCCATCGGGCTTCAGAGAGGGTTTCAGCACTTCGTGTACTTCGCTCTGGTCCTCTTCACCAGCATGTTGTTAGTGGAGAGCTTAATGATGATCGTGGCGAGCCTGGTGCCGTCGTATCTGATGGGGATAATCTCCGGGGCGGGGCTGCAGGCGGTGATGATATTGGGCGGCGGGTATTTCCGGCTGCCGGGGGACATGCCGGGGCCGTTCTGGAAGTACCCGGTGTACTATGTTTCGTATAACCGGTACGTGTATCATGGGCTGTTCAAGAACGAGTTTGTGGGGCTGTGGTTTGAGGGGATGAGGGAGGGCGAGGTGATCACCGGAGATGAGGTTTTGAGGGATTTGTTGCAGGTTGAAATGAGGTATTCGAAGTGGGTTGACCTGTTGGTTTTGTTGGGGATGGTGGTTTTGTATAGGGTTTTGTTCTTTTTGATTGTGAAGGGTACTGATGAGGCTAAGCCTGCTATTAAATCACTTATGATGAGAGCCACACCCAACCAATTATCTCTCCAAACGCCCACTTATGTTGTGTAGCTAGCCTCTAAAGTTTGAGGCAACGAGAGATAAGGTTCAGAAGATGCTTTGTCTTGTTGGGATCGGAAGGTCCTTAAAATTGGGGATTCAATATTTTGGGAAGGATAGAAAAAGCAGGAGGAGTGGGTAATTGTATGGTTCATTTCTATTAACTCTCTAATCATGAGTTCCTAGTAGACTACTTATCTAGGAATACCATAATAAATAATAAAAGTGTGAGTTTCTTGAATTGTGTTGAGTGTGGAAGTTAATTAATTATGCTAATTGAATAAGTTTTATCTTTGTTCATATTTGTCATGATCAATTTAATCTAGATGTAATCTGAATCATGTTAGCAAAGTTAGAGCTCTTTAACATGCATAACACATCATTTACAGTAATGAAACATCTAACTTTACTTGCATTAACAGTTCACTTACTAATATTATCATAATTATTTAGTTACATTATTTGAGGAAATTACTAACCATATAATATGATCATACTTTGATTTTGCAAAACATTATAGAATGACATCCTTACCACTTAAATTGATCCATAATAAATTAATAACTACCCTTAATTAAGTAGATAAAAATATAAATTTGCTCTTCTCCCAAAATGTTGAATCGCTAACTCCAAGGGCTCCATAAAGTATTTGAGAATATGTAAATCACGGTGATTTAATGACTTTGCATACATGGTCAAATGCTAGTCTGGACAATGAATCTGTTCACTTTAGACATAATCTCCACATTGTCACTATCAAAGTTCGAACATTGGTATATTTTTCTAAATATAAACTTTCTCTGTTCATACCTAATGCTATCATGCCTAGCAATCCATCATATAGAATGAAATATTGATTTATCTTTTTATTATGATAAAGTCTATAATAGTTCATTAAATTAGGAATATAGTTTGAGGGAGATGAAAAGTTTGAGTTATAAAAATAATAAAACAGTTACAAAAAATGGTGATCAAGTGAAACGAAAATATTTATAGAACGGGATTCAAACCAATAAAAATCATAGTACAAGTGGTCATGATACTCCGTTATTCAATTAACACCCACATAACTTATTGATAAATGTACCGAATTGTAAATTTCCAATCTCGAAAAAGACATCGGATTGCTAATGTAATACGCGGAGTAAAAAGTTTCGGGGTCGATTTTCATAATCATAAAGAGTTAGGACATAAGTGTAATTAAGCGGTGATTATTTGTTCTCCACTACAGTGTATGTGTCTTTCGGAGATTCTTATGTAGGAGACGATCTTAGCCTGTGACCGAGCGGTCCAGCGAGAGAAGTGGCGAATCGGCGATGGAAGGCGATGACGTGGAGATGGCTGCGCCGGAAAGCGGAGGAGCTGTCGTGGTGTCTCTCGCCGTCTTCTTTATTTCATTCTGCAACGCTTCAATTTCTGTTCCAATCGTGCCCTAACTCGCAACTACTTGTAAACTGGTGTGTGTGCAGGAATTGGATGAAATGAAGAAGAGATTGAAGGAGATGGAAGACGAGGCGGCTGCTCTCCGCGAAATGCAGGCCAAAGTTGAGAAAGAAATGGGCGCCGTTCAAGGTCTTTTATCTCTCCCTCTGGCGACATCTAGGGTTGATGTTTTCTCAGTTTCAGCAAAAAAATTTAACGTTTTTTGTGCTTACATGTATATACTCATGGAAGAACTGATATTGTACTATGTTATTTAGTTCATCAAAATGACAAATGATTTTGTTTTGCCCCAATGCCAACCAGACCCTTCTGCTGATGCTGCAAACCAGGCTAATAGGGAGGAAGTGGATTCTCGTTCTGTCTTTGTTGGGAATGTGAGACTTCTATTCATTTTGTTCTTTAAGGAATGTATACATTAGTTTTGAATTGAATGATTTTACCATAGAACATTATATATGACAACTGACAAGTGTGTCAAATTATGTTGTTTTGTTTCTCAGCACCATGGACTTCAAATACTAAGGAATGGTTTTTTTTTTAACTGGAGCACTAATCTTATAGAAGTGACACTACCTTAGACTCCTAATCTTATAGATGAAAAACCAGTTTTGAAGTGAACCATGGGTTTTTAACTGTTTACCCTGTTTACTAGTAAATGTATTTAGGATATTAGCTTCACTCTTTTACAGTTTTACCTACTAAAGAAGTTCTTTGTGTTATCTTATTTAAACCGTCCAATTTTACCAAACACAACTGTTATTTGGTTCTAATTACAGTTTAAACTGTGACTATAGATCAAAGGTTTTATGATTAGACTGTATCACTGTATGTTGATATGGCTGGGAATAGAAATCATAGAAATTACTATGGATGGTTGAAGCTAGTGTTTAATGTGTATTGCCTCTCTCGTACCTTAAGCTTTACTTCACTTCTAATTCTGCTTATTAGCTATTTTCCTTTCATTTAGAGCTTGTTTGGCCCAACTTATGCTTCTTTAAAGTTCTTAATTTTCTGCTCCAGCTTTTGGTTTTTGGAGTTAATATAAACCCTAAAATAGGTTGAGCCAAACAAGCAGCACTTGCTAGCATGTATTTATGCTGCTTGATTGATCTATGGCCTAAGTTCAACACAAGTACTTTGTATCTGTTATAGTGCAGTCTTCTTGGGGAAGTAAATTTGCTACTAAAATTGTTTCACAGGTGGATTACGCGTGCACTCCCGAGGAAGTACAGCAGCATTTTCAGGCATGTGGGACAGTAAATAGAGTTACGATTCGGACTAACAAGTTTGGGCAACCGAAGGGGTATGCATATGTTGAATTTCTTGAAACTGAAGCTGTTCAGGAGGCTCTTCTTCTCAATGAATCTGAGCTCCATGGCCGCCAACTTAAGGTGACAAAAACCACTGATCTAATCTCAGTTTATACCATTTGTCCTCTTCTTTTACGTCTCTCCTCCCACTTGACTTTAGTATTCTAAATAACATGGATGGCAGGTATCAGCAAAGCGAACTAATATACCTGGCATGAAGCAGTTCCGGGCAAGGCGTCCCAATCCTTATATGGGGTTCCGGGGGAGGACACCATATGCAGCTGCCCCTTTTTTCTATCCTACTCCTTATGGCTATGGGTAATGATAAACTGATGTTGGGGTTGCTTTAGTTGTTTGAATGAGTGAAATAATTTGTTGACTTGTGTTGTTGCAGGAAGGTGCCTAGGTTCAGAACAGCGATGCGATACAACCCCTATTTCTGAGCCGCAAATTCTGCAGATACAAATGTATGCTTCAAATGACAGATCAAGCACACACCCCCACCCCACCCGTGAAAGCTCCTCCTGAGGGTGTGCTGGTGTTGTTTATTCTTACATTGAGCTTTCATGTGGCTTGGCTAATGCTGTAATGTGACTTCATTCAACATTTTGTTTGGGTTGCATCTTCGAGTAAAAACCATTCTTGCTCTTCCATTCCCACTTTTGCATATTCAAAGTTTCTTGTAGTGTATAATTCCTCCAACCAGTTAAGGTCACAAGATAAGATTTACCCAAGCACATAGATAGTAGATACAGGTTTCCCTTGTTACTCTTTAAAAAAAAAAACAAAAGGATAAAGTTATGGGATTAAATTTTTTCACAATATGATATGGCACATCGTCACCAGCAAAACAAAATCACATTAATATCAATCGATCATGAAGCTTTAATATCAATCAATCTTCATTGGGTTGTCCCTATTATCTTAAACTTTAATTGAAATTCAAGGTGAAAGGTCTGGATTGGATCTTTTGTGTTCACATAAAGACTGGAGACTAGAATCTGATCGGTGAGATATTGTGACGTAAAAATTAGAATCGGAGTTAAGGTCTGGATTGGATCTCTTGTGCGCACATAAAAATTAGAATTAGGAATATGATTGGTGAGCTGATTGTGATGATAGAAGTAACTCTAGAAACAGGGTGTGGCTCTAGAAACAGGGTGTGTAATAACTCCAGAGACAAAGATCCTAAACTTAGGATTAGTCCAATGAAACTATGATCACATTTGGTTTATAAAAAAAATTAATTTTACGTTTTAATTTTACATAAAAAAAAGGATTTTTTTATTTTTTTTTCATTTTCTTATCCATTCTCTCTCCATATCTTGTTTCTGACTAAAGATCAGAGTATCCAGAAGTTAGAGTTGAGAATTGAATAGAAACAAGTCATGGCTCTAGCAGCCGCCACCACCGCTAGCGGCAGCTCCGCCCTATTCAGCGCCAATGCCACCTTCAAACCTCCTTCCGTTATACCTCTCCCCGCCACCCCCAACGCGAATCCAAAATTCAAGCCCAGAATCAAACCCGTCTCCGCAATTCTATCATCCCCGTCACCGAAATCCGCCACCCCGGATCCCAACGCAAGATGGGGCCTTAACAGCTGGAAATCCAAACCCGCTTTCCAGATTCCGGAGTACCCGAACGAAGACGAGCTTGAATCAGTCCTCAAGACTCTCGAAGCCTACCCTCCGATCGTTTTCGCCGGCGAGGCCCGTAGCCTCGAGGAGAAACTGGGACAGGCGGCTATGGGGAATGCGTTCCTCCTTCAGGGCGGTGATTGCGCCGAGAGTTTTAAGGAATTCAGCGCCAACAATATTAGGGACACTTTCAGAGTCATATTGCAGATGAGTGTGGTGCTTATGTTTGGTGGTCAAATGCCTGTCATCAAGGTGATTTCACTTCTTCTTCTTCTTCTTCTTTTTTCTTCGAAAATTGGGTAATTTTATGATAAATTGTGAATCTTGGAGTTTCCTATGCTTTCTGATTGATGTTTAGGTTCATTGTGAAACCTGAACATTATTGTTTCTTGCGTCTTTGTTGATGGATGTTTCATATTACACTTGTGTATTCTTCTTCATTGAAAGTGGCATTTTACAAGTATTAGTTATAGTGGTTAGTAGTTGAAGACCTTTTCTACAAACATTGGAATATTTGTAGCAGTCTAGCATTGAACATTACTTGAGTAAATCCCGCATTGTGACCATAGTTGTAAAGAACTACAAGAGGTAAACCAGTCTAAGTTGTCCACAGTTGACCGATTCTAACCAAGAAGGCCAATAGGCTACTCCCGTTGGGACTCAAACTTGTAACCTTACTGTTACTAAGTAAACAGTCTGACCAACTTGGCTGGGGTTGCCCCTCTAAGGTTTTAAATTTTGTGACTGCAATATCAGTGGTCTTCAGGAATCAGGATATCAAAGCATGTTTTTACTTGCATACTGTGTTTTGGTACTGGAATTCTAGTTGATGGTTGTGAGTGTGTTACTGGTTAGGTGGGGAGAATGGCTGGCCAATTTGCGAAGCCGAGGTCTGATCCCTTTGAAGAAAAGGACGGTGTGAAGCTGCCAAGTTACAGGGGAGACAATGTGAATGGAGATGCTTTTGATGAGAAATCAAGAATTCCAGATCCCAATAGGATGGTCAAGGCGTATACTCAATCTGTGGCTACATTGAACCTACTCAGGGCGTTTGCTACGGGAGGTTATGCTGCCATGCAGAGAGTTAGCCAGTGGAATCTCGATTTTACAGATCATAGTGAGCAAGGGGATAGGTGTGCTTCTGTTAACTTATTTGAAGTTTTGAACTATCCTTTTATTAGTGAAATGTTTCTCGTTTTTTGCTTTGGCTGTGACGAATATTTGATCGAGACAGATACCGTGAACTTGCTCACCGAGTAGATGAAGCAATGGGATTCATGGCTGCCGCTGGGCTCACACTTGACCATCCAATCATGACCACAACAGACTTCTGGACGTCCCATGAATGCCTACTCTTGCCTTATGAACAAGCGCTTACAAGGGAGGATTCAACCTCGGGCCTTTATTACGACTGCTCGGCTCACATGCTTTGGGTCGGGGAGCGCACAAGGCAATTGGACGGTGCACATGTTGAGTTCCTGAGAGGAGTTTCCAATCCACTCGGAATCAAGGTATTGTATGCTACTTTATGTAGAGGAGTATAGTTTCCTAATAACGGGGAAAGCAAAGGTTTTAGCACTGGCATTATCTCATAGCTGTAGTATGTGCCCTCCTTTGTGGCTTTGATACTCGAACAATACAGCTGGCGTTTTTTTTTTTTTTTTTTTTTCTTTTTTTGGAGTACTACTGACTCTGTTACAATGCAGTATCTGTTCATAACTACTTTCTCAACCTACTGAAGCACAAAGAGTCAATACCGCCTCTACTAACACTCTGGATTTTCCGAGGCAGGTGAGTCAGAAAATGGATCCGAGTGAGCTGGTCAGGCTTATAGATATTCTAAATCCTAAAAACAAACCAGGAAGAATAACGGTGATAGCCAGAATGGGAGCCGACAACATGAGAGTGAAACTTCCCCATCTGATCAGGGCAGTTCGGAGTGCAGGTCAAATTGTTACTTGGGTCAGTGATCCTATGCATGGGAATACCACTAAGGCTCCTTGTGGACTGAAAACCCGATCCTTCGATGCAATCAGGGTATCTTCTTTTATGGCGTCTCAGTTGCTTTTGCATTTTTCAGAGCATCAAGTTTAACTTTTTATGACACTGGGAACTCTTCAAAAGAAATTCATTCGATATCAAATTGATGACACACATTTGAAGTTAAATCACGTTTTTACTGCTGTAACAAAATCTCCTTACAGGCTGAGCTTAGAGCATTCTTTGATGTACACGACCAAGAAGGGAGCTTCCCGGGGGGTGTGCATCTGGAGATGACTGGGCAGAACGTGACAGAGTGCGTTGGAGGGTCTCGCACAGTTACTTACAACGACCTAAGCTCGCGGTATCACACACACTGTGATCCAAGACTTAATGCTTCTCAGTCACTCGAGCTGGCCTTCAACATCGCAGAGCGCCTCCGAAGAAGGAGGCTTGGATCTCTCTTCAAGCTCTGAAACCATTGGCCTTGCAGGGTCAGGTCTGGTTTTAGTTTGGGTAAGAGAATCAAACACCTATTTCACCATCTACAGTGGATTACCGGTAATATAAGATGCTATACAACTTAGAAGCTTTCTTGAATGTAAGCCTCAACTATAAAGTTAGGTTGCAGTTTTGAAGTATGATGTTAGTAAGTACAGCAATAATCATCTGCTGACATAACTGGGTTTTGCTTAAATTATTACTTCCTATCAGAGTATTATTAAGTCATCTTTGTTATAATAGTTATCTGCAAAAGCAGAAATGCAGATAGTATATTGAGAAAAGTAGAAAGAGAGAAAAATGGCAGCACACACTTTTCCATTAATAACTGTTATACATATACACCACTAGTCTCTGTTTTATATATATACAGTATTGATCTCAACCGTACATAAACATAAATATAGGAAAAACACCACTAATCTCTGTTATATATATACACTATTGATCTCAACTGTACATAAATATAGGAAAAGTGGAAAGGTGAGACAATAGCCATCAAGTGCAAAGATATTTAATTATTTATAACAATCCTAACTATTTTCTATTTTATTGATATTAAAATGCGTAAATATTTGTATAGAAAATATTTAACTCCCTTAAGTGGGAGGTTGTAGGATCGAGCCTCAATGGAGGTGATATTGGCTCTTTGTGATTCAATGGGTTGAGAAAGTAGTTATGAACAGATACTCTATTATAATAGTCTCAGTAGTATTAAAAAATAATAATAATAATCCTCAATTTTTATAGCACTTCCACTCATAATCATTGACAATCGTTTAAAAAAAATAAAATTATTTGGGTATAAAATTAATCCATAAGATTTTATAATATTTGTCCTATTATGAAATTAATCCAAAAATAGATTTGAATGACCCCTACATACTCCAAAAATAGTTCTTGTCCACATAATTGTTTGTGAGGCAAACCCAGCAAACGTAAGTGCTTATATCATCCACTTTTTTTTTTTTTTTTTTCTTTTTTTTTTTTTTTTTTAAATCTTTTCTTTTTTGTTAAAGAAAGAAACTCATTCATAATTTAAAGAAAGAAACTTATTTAATGCATGTTACGTTACAAGTCTTTTCCCAAAAGGCCGAGTCCTAATCCAAAACGCTCACTGTACTCCAGCTCGACAAAGCATTTGAAAGAATGGGGACATGGTCAAATGTGATCTGTCCACTTTACACATAATTTTCATACCGCTACTGTCGATATTTGAACATTGATTTTTTTTCTCAAATATTGTTTGCTGAATCAGTGAGCTAACCTTGTATGTACATGTTATACACAAGTCTGTGAATCCTATGTAGGTGATTATGGACTAAACTAAACTCTTTTTTTAGGTATACAAAAAAATTTATAATTACTATTTGAAAGTGTGTTCTGGTATAATAATATATACAAAAATCATATAAAAATTAAATTGCATTAAGAAAAATTATGTACAATAAATTTGACCGACAACACAATGCATGTGCACTACGCGTACAACATGCATATATTTGCATGCATGTTTGAGGATGGCTCTGACTTTGCCAGCTTGCTGTGTCACGGATTTTTGGAAGGACACTGAAGGAGTTTGTGCAGAATGAATATTCCCCTCCCTTCCTATTAATTATATTGTTCAATATATATTATATTATATTCTCATCCATAACAACACACTACGTGTTAGTATTATTATTGTAATCAACTTACTTGACGTATAGAATGAGTCCAACTTAATTAGAGTGACAATGATGAAGGCTGAGTAAACAACGTAACGTCATTTCAATACGTGTTAATTAGCTTAGCTTGTTATTAGCTCATTAGTAATGTCGTAGCATGCATTCACAATACAACATTATTTGACACCATTATGGCCTTAATTATGAAAGGATAAGAATAAAGGCCGGAGTTGTCCTATTGAATACCTCAAGTAATTGACTAATTAATGGTTTAGTCGAGGAACTTGATTTGAAGGAATTGGTGTGAGCATATAGCCATTAATGTGTAATCCAATTATCAGTTTAGACTTTTAGTTGATACTTCAATTTGGTATCAGAGCAATAACTGCAGCGGGTTTCCCAAGGAGTTGTTGGGTTGTCAACATCAAAGCCAAATGCCAGCTAATTTAAGGATTTGCCTAATTGATGCATGGAATTCATGACGTTAATATATAAAAGCCTTTCTATGATTTGGTTTCTTGTTTCATTAATTTTCACAAAAATAATCCCATGGCGCATCTCAAGAAGCCTCATGTAATATGCATACCCCTTCCAGCCCAAGGCCACATAAACCCCATTTTCAAACTAGCCAAGCTCCTCCATTCTTCTGGTTTCTACATCACCTTTGTACACACACACTTCAACTACCACCGCCTGCTCAAATCCCAAGATCCGGCCACCCTCGCCGGCTGCGGCGTCGCCGATTTCCGGTTCGAAACCATTTCCGATGGGCTGCCTGAATCTTGCCAGCGAGGGATTCTTGACCTCCCGGACCTAGTTGTCTCTTTGCCCACACATGGCCTCTCATCGTTTAGAGATCTTGTGAAGAGGCTCAACGCCGCCGCTTGCCCGGAGGTGCCGCCGGTTTCTTGCATTATTTCCGATGGTGTTATGAGCTTTACGTTGGAGGTGGCTCAAGAGTTTGGCATTCCTGAGTTCCTTTTCTTCACTCCTAGTGCTTGTGGCATGTTGGGTTATTTCCAGTTTGCTGAGCTTGTTGAAAGAGGCTATTTCCCTCTAAAAGGTCGGTCAAATTTACCTTTGTTTAAACAATAGCATTCCAATTCCTAGCTTGAGAACTTTTATATATATATTTGGAAAAAGTGCCAAAATAGACTATTGAACTTTTACACTTTCTGCAACTCAACCATCAAATCATTAAAAACTAAAAAATATAATTGTGTAAATAGCATATTTTTTTTACAGTTTACATCTAATTAGTTTCCATTAAATATGATGTCATAATGTCAAATTATATATATAAATTATTTTAAAAATTAAAAAAATAATAATTCTTTTTTTTTTTTTTTAATTTCAAAAGAAAGCCACCTTCGTCCCCTATGGATGAAGGGGATGGTAACCATGGCTGACCTCACCTTTGTCCTGGACGAGAATGGGGGCAACCTTCATCTAGATTGGACGAAGGAGGGGGCAGCTATGGCTACCTCAATCCTCGTCCAGAATGAAGGTAAGGACAACCATGACTGCTTCTCCTTTTAATTAATCCAGAACAGATGAAGGGGTAGCTTGTCTCTTCTTTAGATTTTTTTTTTTAAAAAAAAAAATAGTAATTAATATAATTTTTATATATAATTTAAGACACCGTATTTTACCAGAAACTTAGAAGTAATTTGTAAAAAATGTTATTTGCACAATTTTTATTGGTTTAATGGTTCAATTGCATATTTTGTTTGTTGGTTTAATTGCACAAAATGTAAAAATTTAGTGACTAAAACTTTAGGAACCTTGATGACTTTAGAATTGGGGTGCAATTTTTTTTAGATTTCTCTAGTCTTTCTTTCTAAAGTGGAGATGATGTACATGCAGATGAAAGTTGCTTAAGCAATGGATTTTTGGATACCAAGGTTGATTGGGTTGCTGCCATGGAAGGGGCTCGACTGAAACATCTTCCAACTTTCTGCAGAAGCACCAATCCTGCAGATCCAATGTTCAATTACAACAAGCTGCAAATCAGCAATCTCATGAAAACAAGAACCCTAATTCTCAACACATTCAATGACCTGGAACAACAATTCTTGGATGCCATTAGACTCAAAATCCCAAACATTTACACCATCGGCCCACTCTCTAAGCTCCAACAACAATTCTCTGCAAAACTGGGTTCATCAGTAGACTCATCATCAAGTCTGTGGGAAGAAGATGACAAGTTCTTGGAATGGCTGGACAAGAGGGAACCAAGATCGGTTGTGTATGTGAACTATGGAAGCCTTGTAACCATGAAACCCCAACAGCTTAGTGAGTTTGCTTGGGGATTGGCTAATAGTAAGTACCCATTTCTGTGGGTAATCCGACCAGACCTAGTGGAAGGTGGCACTGAGGTTATATCTAATGATTTCTTGGAAGAAATCAAGGATAGAGGCTTGCTGCTAAGATGGTGTCCCCAAGAGGAAGTGCTTAGGCACGGGTCCGTTGGAGGGTTCTTGACGCACTGTGGATGGAACTCGACACTCGAGAGTATTTCAGAAGGTGTGCCGATGATTTGTTGGCCGTTCTTCGCGGAGCAACAGATGAATTGCTTCTACTTGTGCAACAAATGGGGGATAGGGATGGAGATTGGGAGTGATGTGAAGAGAGAGCAGGTGGAGGGGGTGTTGAGGGAGTTGATGGAGGGGGAAAAGGGAGAGGGAATGAGGGAAAAGGCCATGGAATGGAAAAGGAAAGTGGAGAAGGCAACAAAGCCAGGTGGATCATCTTATAATAACTTTGAAATGTTAGTAACACAACTCAAAAGCTATGCTACATACTAGTGTATAAATATTTAGAGGTCTATAAGCTAGTTGATACATATTCTCAATTTATTGTCACTTAATAAACCAGCTTGGTTAGCGTCACTTTCGTTCCTTAAGAGAGGTCGGAATGGAGTTCGAATACCCTCTACCAATCTGACGGTTGAGAGTTCCAACCCCCATTACCAATCTAGCCAGCATATAGGCACTAGGCATGACCACCACGCGCTCCAAATACTCCATTTGTGCATGTTCCCCTACCCCCCTCCCCCTTTCCCCAGGCGGGAGTACGTCACTCTCCCAGGTCGACTAGGGGTCAAGGAAGAAGGCCACATGATGCATGACATCTAAATAGACCTACCATCCTAACATTACTCGATACAACCAGTCATACAATATAATTACAATATCTATGTCGATCTACAACACACTTAAAATCTTTCAAACTTAACCATAAAACTAGCAATAATATTTTAAGATGGGTCTAGCTAGGCTTTGGATACAGGTTCAAGAACACTGAAAACATTCTTGACCAACTGATCCAAGATGAGATGGGAGGAGCCACCCAAACCAACAGCCTCTTCTGCCTTCCTCTTCAACTCCCTAGCCTTCACCTTCATCTCTTCACCCTTCTCCCCCCCATCCATCACCTCCCTCACAACCTTCTCAACTTCATCCCTATCCACTTCACTCTCAATCTCCACCCCAACGCCCCACTCGGCGCAAGCAAGCCTGCAATTGAGATGCTGGTCGGCGAAAAAAGGCCAGCAAATCATAGGCACCCCGCTACTAATACTTTCCATCATCGAATTCCACCCGCAATGAGTCAGAAACGCCCCCGTGGAGCGGTGCTTCAGCACCCGCTCCTGGGGGCACCAACGTACGACTATGCCCCTCCCTTTGGTCTCTTCATAAAACTCTCCTGGAAGGGCAGAATTGGAAGATTCTTCACCCATAACACCATCTGACCTAACCACCCACAGAAAATTTTGCTCACTCTTTGCCAGTCCCCATGCGAACTCCATAAGCTGCCGCTGTGTTATCACCGTCACGCTGCCGAAATTCACGTACACCACAGAACTGGGGGCCTTGGAATCCAGCCATTGCAGACAACTTAAGTCTTCTTTCCAGAGATTTGCCCCTAAGAACTTGAGACTCCCGTGATCTGGGAGCTGGTCGATGAGCAAGTGGAGAGGGGCAATGGGGTAAATTGGAGGGCACATTGCCGACAAAGATTCCAGGGTGTCATGTTCCAGGGAATCTAGAGTGTGGAATATGATTGCTGAAGCTTTTGTTAAGGCTCGTTTGGTTTCTGTATTGATGAAGCTCATAATGAAGGTATTAACCTCGTTGCTGATTCGGGCATAGGTTGGCAAGTCCCTTAGACGAATGCTGGTGCTGATTCCTGGAACGTCAAAGTCTGCTAAAACCCTGTCGGAATCCCCGATGCCGCCGTTTGAATCTGCGGCGGACCATGACAGTGTTAGCAAGAATCCATTTTTCAACATCGAAAGTGAATAGTTAGAATTGATTATTTTCTATTTCAAAACCTAATTTTGTGAAGTTAATCTGGTAAATTTATCTTAGTTTTCTCTTTCCCCTCCCATTTTCACTCAGATAGATGAGTTATTCCGTTATTGAGATGAAACGCTTAATTTCCTTGTCCATGAAGGTCAACTTTTTTTACCCCAGGGCCTCATATATATCCAGGCTCAATCATGATCAGACCCCATTAAATGAGAGGATGGGAATTCCCACAATGAGCCAACCACATTGTGTATAATTTCCACACATTATTCCTATCAGACTCAATCTTATGTTATTGTCCACAATCTACCCTGAACAGAAAAACACAATTTTCTAATCTCCAGAATCTATGACTTTAATAATTTATGAACTCAATTTGTCCATCTCAACAAGATAATTAATGTTTATTAAATGAATATTTAATTGAATGACCAATTTTTTTTTTAAAAAAAAAATCAATAATTAAGGGACCCCTTATAGTTAAATTAAAAGTTGATGTCCAAAATTGGTAAAATCAGTTAAGTGATCATTTATAGTCCAATTGAAAGTTGATAAATGACAATAATGAAGGACCATTTCTTAGAATTAACTCAAGATAATACTCCGTAATATGCTATATATACTCCTTATTTCTACTCTTCACTTTTATTTTTTGATGTGACAATTGATAATTAATTATATTCATTTTGTGGTTTCCAAAAAAGGAAATTTGTAGGCAACATAACTTTAGAAAAAGTGAAAGTGTAGAAGTAGTATTTTTCTAAAATTATTGTTGAAGAGAGAGTGGTTTGGCCCACCTTTAAGAGGAATAAGACCCTTTTGTCTAAAACGCTGCAACAGTGCGTTGCAGAAGAAGCTGCATGCAGTTGTGGGGCGGAAGGAGACGCCGGCGACACCGATCTCCTCGGCGGCCACCAGGCCGAACGACATTATATTGTCGGAGACGACGCAGGTCACCGGAGGAACGCCGGGCGAGGAGTTGAGGTCAGACAGGAGGCGCAGAAACGGCGCCAGACAGTGCTTGCTGGTGGAATCGCACAGAGACCGCACGTCCTGGGTGCAATTAGCCTCCTCGTCGCCGTCTTGCGGAGAAGACAGCCCGTCCGGAATTGTCTTGAACTGGAAACCTGGAAAGCCGTGGAGGGAATGGCGGGCCCTGAGGAGGCGGCGGTGGTTGTACTCGGTGTTGACGAAGGTTATGTGGAATCCCCTGTGGTGAAGGAGGATAGCGAACTTCAGCATTGGGTTCACGTGGCCTTGCGCCGGAAATGGCAGGCAAACTAAATGCTGCTGCTGCTTTCCGGCATCGCACCTCCCTCCGGCCTCCATTTTAGATCTGCGGCTGGTTGCCGGTTGCGTGAGAGAAACAGAAACGGACGAATTCAAATGTTATTTGGGAGAAGCAATGTTACTGACAATAATGTTTATGGAGGAACTTGTGACAGGTATCACAGGATTCACGAGAAACGTGTACATTATCATTTTTTAAATAAAAAAAAAAATTAAATTTAGTGTATAAAAGATCTTCATTTCTTCATCAATCAAGATTTGTTTTTTTTTTTTTTAATTTTATTTTATTTTATTAATGCTATTGGCTCTATTACATTGTAGCATCTGTTCAAATATAATTTCTCAACCTAATAAAGCACAAAGAGTCAACAACCTCTCACTGAGATCTCATGAGATTCAAACTATGAAACTTTTACCGAAACAGATTTTAAGGTCATCATTTTCCATTCTTTATTTAGAGAAGAGTTCTAGTATATACATACTCCCTTACTTTTAATGTGACAAATAAGGATTGATATTTTCATCATGTGAATCTACCTAGAAGTGTCTACACTAAAAATTTATGAGAAAAAATAAAGTTAAGAGTATAAAATGGAATTCCATCAAATATTTTTCAAAACATGATATAGTGATCCATTGTTTTTTTTTTAATTACAAAGGAAAAGGATGCCCACATATACACCGTATTCACCTACATTGAAGCTCAAACACTAGACCTCCCACATAAAAGAACAAATCAGATACCAATGGACCACAAGTCACTTGATATAATGGTCCATTGTTAGTATCGTACTATGGTGCCCCACAGCTCTTGGACTTAATTATATTTTTGGCGGGACATGTAGCCTGTAGTTATCAAGTACAATGTATTTATTTGATAAATAAATTAAGCATCAAAATTCTATAACAAGGGGTGGTGGCGCAGTTGGCTAGCGCGTAGGTCTCATAGCTTCTGAGTTATCCTGAGGTCGAGAGTTCGAGCCTCTCTCACCCCACAAAATTTTTAATTACTGTTTTGGATTATTAAGAGTTTGAGCCCCGTATTGAATCATTTGACTCGGATTAACAAAATCAGACACATACTCAAATTAATCGAACCAAACACAAAATATTAGTCATACAGTGATCGAATCATTTTACTTGAGTTAACTGAATCGGACATAAAATGAGATGAAGGGAGTATATATTGACAAGATTCTTCGTTATCTTTTCGCAAATTTGGTAGCACATGTACTATTTTGCAGACCTGCAGCATAAATTTACACATTGTTCTTCAAATAAGCATAAAATCCAGAAGGCAAGCATAGGGAGAATATGCTGGCCAAAGTCATGGAATTTGTATAGAAGACTAAACAATATTACATGATATATAGAATAAATCATCAAAATTTTCCTACAATTTAATGTAGATCAAGGGATAAAAAAGTCAATCATTCCAAGGACAATTCATAAGAATAGGCATTATTCATGTTGTGTTTTACTATCTCCTGCTGCTGTTTGGAGTTTTGGACTTTGTCAAATTGGCAAGTTCTTCTATGAGTTTTCTCTCTTCGCTGCTAAGCCGTTTTGGGATCTCGACTTGGACTCTAACTAACTGATCGCCCCTCATGTTGGGTTTGTTGAGGTAAGGCACGCCTTTTTTGGCCATTACTAGCGTCGTCCCTGGTTGAGTGCCCTGGGGAATCTTTAGATCGACCATGCCATCTACTGTAGGAACCTTCATTGTTGTTCCCAAAATGGCATCGATGTAAGAAACCTTGCAAGTGTAGAGAATATTGGTGTCGTCCCTTTTCAGTACAGGATCGGGTAAAACTTCTATGATCACAAAAAGATCCCCGGGGGCACCACCTCTCCTCCCTGCATTGCCTTCAGACCGAACCCTCAAACGGCTGCCAGAGTCTACACCAGGGGGGACTTTAAGGCTGATTCGTTTTGACTTCCTTACTCGGCCATCACCTCCACATGTGTTACAGGGAGTAGAGTTCTCTCCGGTCCCACCACAAGACGAACATGTCATCACTTGTTGGAAGACACCTAGAGGGGTCCTTGTTGATGACACGACTTGTCCTTGACCACCACATGTGCCACATGTTGTTGCCTTAGTGCCAGGTTTTGCACCTGATCCATCACAGGTGCTACAGCTCTCAAGCCTACTAATTTCAATCTCCTTCTCAACCCCAAATATGGCTTCTTTGAAATTTAAAACCAGATTACACGCCTGATCTTCACCTTCCATGGCTCTGTTTCGTGAACCTCTTCCCCCCATTCCCATGCCACCCATACCTCCC